GGCGTTTGTTGCGCCTTGCTTCATGAAGACCATGTGGTGCTGCAGGAATACTTTCTTAAGGTCGTAATAACTATCGATCGAGTTGCAATCGAGACGGGAAAACCAATTCAGAGCTTCTCCGGTGAGGTGCTCGACGAGCAATTGGCAACTCCCGGTGTCGCTCTGTTCAGGTGTGAAGTATGCGCGGTCAATGGCTAATTGGATGGATCTTACGAACTCCTTCGGGTCGGTGAAACCGTTGTAAGGAACGATCTTCATCTTAGTGACATGATGTACGTGAATGTCCGTGATCTTGGATGTAAAAGGTGACCGCTGCATTTCTTCGAGCACCTTCTCTAGATCGGGTGCCGTGCTGGCTTGTCGCATTTTTGAAGACAAGTCTTTGATCTGTGCCTGCAGTTGCGCCAGCTCTTGGTTTCGGGCCTGGCTCTCCTCGCTCGCGGGTCGGCTGACTAGGTGTCGTACGTTTGTCGGATGTTGGTCGCGGCGGTGGAGATGGTCGTTCGTTCTGTTTCGACTGACAGGCCGGTTCTCGTGTTGGAGCTCATCGATGGATCCCACAATAATCGACGCCGGCTGGCGTCTTTGGTCCCTGGTGCGTTCGTCTAACGGAGTAGGCGGGGGCGATGTTTCTTCCAGCCGGGAATGGTGAGGTCGCGAGCTGTGTCGATGGCGCCTGAGCCGGTCAATCCTAGTTCGGGTGTCTGCGTTCGCCTCTCCAAGTGCGTTGATCCTCTCGGAGGTTCGAACGTCTTGGTCGTCGAGACGGTCGAGGATGGTTTGCATCAGGCCGTCAAGGTGAGTTCCACCATGGGCAGTAGCCGCGGTGGCCGTAGCGATGCGTACTGGCCTGGTGTTTCCCGGGGCGGCGTGCACATGATCGGTTTGGCGGGCCGGGGGTCTCTGTCTTGGATTAGCAGCTTCCACCTCGACAGTCTCCGGCTCGGCACGGCGGTGCGGCAGTCTTTGGCCCGGCGCGGCGTTCTCCGTTTCAGCAGTTTCCGGCTCGGCACGTTCTGGATCGACATTCGTGGGCGCGGCGCCTGCTGTCGTTGCTCCAGGAAGGTATGGTAACGGATTCGTTCGGGCTCTTCTGCGTCCCCATAGGTGCCGCTCCGGAGATAGAACGGGCGCGTCGGGATCTGGGCGTCGGGAGGTGTTCGTTCCCCTGTCGCTGGATGAGCTTGCGTCGGACATGTTGCTTTGGATTCTCCGGGAGACTTCGGAATCTTCAAGGTTGCCAAGAAAGAAGTGTTTCGTATGCCCCACGGTGGGCGCCAATTGTTTGTGCAAGGGGGGAGCAGCTACGATAATGATACGAGATTCTTGGGACGATACGAAACAATTTTCTTTATTAGCTTTTGCGGAAAATCCGAAGTTACAAAGAGAGAAGTCTCGCTGCGGCAGTTATAGACTATCTGCCGAGCTGAGAAACTAATACGAAACAGAAGTGCAAAATCACGAGAAAGAGAGTCGCGGCGGGAATCTCGGGCTAGGGCGAGTTCGGGCGCGGCGCGATTCTCAGTCTAGTGGATAATAACCTCTGGACCGATCCCTGTTCCAAACAGTGGTTTAATGTATTTATAGTGGCACGGAAACCTAGAAGCTCTTTGTGTCTCCTTGGCGAATGACGATTTTGCCCCTGCGAAGATGCTGGGCCTGTTTTTGGTAAAAGGCTTCATTAATTGACACATCTTGTTTTATAGGCCTTCTAACTTGGGAGGGGCAAGGCCCATATCCAACAATATACAAATTAGAGAAGTTAATTACAATACTTATAATAATTGGCCTGTAACCTTCGTAGGTAGGCTCAGAACCAAATTTTGGCAAGTTAAATAATGTAAATCACCAATTCCCATGATATGCAGCTTCACTAGCTAGCATTAGAATAACAATCTGATTCAGATATGATTATAACCGGTTGAGTCAATTGCATATGCATCTAGTTACATTTCATTTTTTATTTTTTTTTGTGAAGTCTTGGTGTCAGTTCTCATGGTACAGAGCACTCATTTAATGTGAGAAACCACGGATGGACCAAAAATGTATATTATCTTCTCCTTAACTAATGGGGAATCAAATTTAGGATTATAAGATTACATAGTAAATTTAAAAATGTAAATTTATAAGATTTGTTTATTCTAAATGATCTGTAAAAAAAATTGAAAGTAATTAATGAAAACTTTTAGATAGGAAGTATACATAGTAAATACTAAAATCTACATAACAATAATTGACAATATGAGAAAATATTTTCTTGGATAATATATATCTATTATAAGAGTACATAGTAAATTTATTAATGTAAATTTATAAGATTTGTTTATTCTAAATGATCTGTAAAAAACAAACTTAAGTAATTTATGAAAACTTTTAGATAGGAAGTATACATAGTAAATACTAAAATCTACATAACTATAATTAACAATATGAGAAAAAAATTTCTTGGATAATATATGTTGTAGCAATTGAACCCGACTAATAATATCTATATGTATGTATTAGAATATAATAACACATTAGGGATTAGCAATAAAACATAGCTTATATCCAAGTAAATAGATAATTAAACAAAATAAAATATTTATTAAAAAAATTAATCAAAAGAAACCAGAATTCATGAAATTAAACAAAGACACCAAGTCAATCACACACGGGAGGATAACAATTTAAGAAATGGATAACTAAAAGTTATTTTTCAAAAGCCCACTCGTTCTCCTTGCGGATTTGTTCTTCTTCTTCAGGTGTGAAATCGTTTTCGATGTTAAAGATTTCTCGAACCTCTTCTACGGTCTTATCTTTGATGTAATCTGCAACGGTCTGGGAAGTGAGAGCTAGAAGGCGTTTAGATAGTTAGCAGCGATAATAAGTAAAAAGGTTGTTTCTAAATCACAACGTTTCATGAACTCTGCGTCCCAATTATTCATGACCTCCTCCTCCTTGGCTTCTTTGTTTTCTTCTGATTCTTCATTTGGATCAGAAGAAACATTTTCATTTGTTTCTTTACTTGAATCTTTAACAACAGTTGGATCAAGAGAAACGTTCTCGTTTGTTTCTTTAGTTGAATCAGACAAAGAAACATTTTCGTTTGCTTCTTTAGGTGAATTTGTATCATCAGAAGAAACAATTTCGTCTGTTTCTTCACTCGGATCTTTATCATTAACGTGTATCTTGCAATACTCAATGACCAAAGCAAGGATCTTTCCAGTGACGTTTGCAAGTGGGATTGCTTTACCAGCGCAGTCATCATCGATCATGTGTGCTATGATCTGAAGCTTACGAGCCACGGCTTCGTCAATCTCGAAAGATTCACCATCTGAGCTAGTTAGAACAATCTTGTTCGAAGTCGACATATTGTTTGTTTTTGTGGTTAAGCAAAAGATTGATTTTTAGGAGATTTTATTGAAGAAGTTGAATGTAACGTCGCTATTTATATATAATGATTGAGAGTATGTAGTCAATTGTAAAACTGAGAAAAAATTGAACAAAATAAATAAACAGAATCCTAGTTTAATTAGTTTAAGCTCTTATCTTTTATTTTTTTATATATAACTATTTACCCCATACACACACATGTTAATGATTAGATTAATTTTCTAGATGTTATACTATTTTAGTATTTTGTAATTTAATATATTTTAAAAATATTAAATATATAAAAATATATTAAAATATATGATTAGATTTAAAGTAAAGTATATAAATCTTTTATTTATTGGTATCACATATAAAATTCAATGTATATTTCAATTAAGTGAGATTTTTTTTACTTCTGATTTTTTAGAAGTATTTATATTTACTTATGAAATTCAGTTTTTCTAATATTTTTATTTTTTCAACACTTAGAAACAACATTTAATTTACAAATAATTATAAGAGTTTTATAGATACTATACCTTTTTTTTATTACAGTTGTCGCATAGAGCAGGCAGCTCCATGTTCTATACACGGTCAAGAGTATCTTATAATTTATAAATAAATTTATGATTAAATTTTAAAAGATAACTTTTTTTGAACCACTCATCAAACTATAAGTAAAGAGTTTAAGATAGAATCGGTTTTTATTTAAGAAATTCTCTCACTTTTTATTATTTTCTATCATTTATTTAGAGGTATTTAGTTTACAATGAGGATGCTCGTATAACTACTGAGGTCTTTTACTAAACTATCTTGGAAAGGAGTCCGAGTCTTAGATATGATATCTTACACTAGTGGCTACAGTTGGGGTTCGTTGGGTTAGGAAACATATATGCATGATATGGCTCGATCATTGCTGGTCCAGTCCAGTAACAAATTAAGAAATGGTAATCAAAGTAAATATCATTAACTTGAAATATGTTTGTAGCCTCATGAGATGATCAGTGTTGGAAAGTTCTTGTACAATAAAACTGTAGAAATCGATTATTTCGGTTATATAGTGTTGGTTAATGATTTGGGATTTGGTATCGCTACTAACATATACAAGAGGTTAGATAATTTTTCAATATTTTTTCTTTTGTTAAATGGTTTGCTTTTTGCTATAATAAAAAAGGAGAAAGAAAGAAATTAAATAAAAGAATGGTTTAGCTCAATTTTCAACGAAACCGAAACCATAATTGGAACATAATCTTAATCGGCCCATTATAAAGTAATCAGTTATAGAGAATGGCCCATTAGACGGGAGGGGAATCAAATCACCTCGATGAGACATGAATACACACATGAGCGTTTAGTAGGGTTTTTGTTTGTTTGATTTGGGTATGACTCATATCATATTAATGTTAATGAGCGTGTTAGGGGTTCCCCTGATGAAATAGAGGATTATAATCAAGTAGCAAAGTATTATTATACGTAAAACGTGGCTTAAATATCATAATAGTAATTATCGTTAATTATATATTTTAATAAATTAATAAGGGATGATTTCAAAGATACGGAGAAACCCTAATGATGGCGGCGATGTTTTGTTATACTTTAGTGCCGGCGAAGATGCAAAACAGCCGAAAGATTTTGGTCGACGTTTAATAATTAGGTATTTTCTTACGGTGGTTGAGGAAAAAAATTGGTTATACATAATATCCAAGAAAAGAAATAAAACAACGAAACTGAAATCAACATGATAAATCCAAAACACCAAATCAAATATGGAGAAAAAAGAAACCCTAAAACCCGACAATTAGAAACGAAACAAGAAAAAGTTAGGGTTTTGGAACAGCTTGTGCAGCATCCTCAAAAGCCCAAGCGTTCTCCGCTCGAATCGATTTCTCTTCTTCCTCAGTGAAATCGTTCTGGATGCCAAAGATTTCTCGAACTTGCTCAACAGACATGTCTTTGATGTGATCAGCAACGTTCTGGCAAGTGAGATCAAGAAGGCCTTTCACGTTGAGATAGTTAGCAGCGAGAATGATTTGGAAGATGGTTTCCAAATCTAAATCCTGCAAGAAGCCTTTGTCAAAAGCCTCGACCTCGAGCTTCTTGTCGGTATCATCTCCAGAGGCTGAAGCAGCATCAGCTTTCTTCTTCTTCTTGTCTTCCTCGCTCTCTTCTTTATCATCAGCAGCAGCATCATCTACATCGTTGACGTGTGTTTTGCAATACTCGACAACCATGGCGAGGATCTTTCCAGTAACGTTTTGAAGCGGGATCGGTTTATGGGCACAGTCGTCGTCGATCATGTGTCCTACGATCTGAAGTTTTCTCGCCACCGCTTCTTCAACTTCGAAAGTCTCGCCATCAGAGCTCACCAACACGATTTTTTGGGAAGACATATTGGTTTCGTCGATCGTTTTGTGGTGTTTTTTTGGGTGATGAAAAAAAAGAATTGATTTATGAATTATGCAAAGATGTGTGAATGAGAGGAGTCGAAGAAGGTCTCTCTATTTATAATGTTTAGGAGTCGGTTAATCTCTTAATTGTGTTTTCCTATTCACAATCGAAAAACATGTATATCTTCCTTTTTCTCTTAAGTTCCAAACAAAATAAGGAAAAAGAAAATCCTAATTTAACTAGGGTTTACTTTTTTTTGTAACTGTTAGGCTTCACCGTTACAAATTTTGGGCTTATCAGTAGATTCTATAAACTTCTTTAACATATTCCTTTTGTTTCTCAATTCTATATATTAAAAATAAATGAAAATAAAAATCATAAAACTAAACATGGATATCTTCTAGTTCTATTGTATTTTCTATGCAAAATTAGTATGGCATTTTTTATTTTTGTCCATCGTAGTTAATATTATTTTGTCGTGGGATAAGAATATACAAAGGTTTTGTCAAATATAATTCACTTTATCAGTTGCCTTCCTTCAGTTCAATAGGTTTTGGCATTACAAAGTACTAAGAGCCAGTGGAAATGGAAAAAGAATTAAAACAAAGAGACAAGAGATTTGGAAGTCACATAGTGTGAGTTCATGTTAACCAGACTTGCATTATATTATGTTGCGTTTACGTCTTGCCATGATCACATTCCGAACTTTTCTGTCGATTAACTTGAAGATGGTGGTATAGCTGTCAGCTGAGGTCAAGACTTGGTTGTGCACAACATTATTCCTTTGTTTTTTTCTTTTCTCTTTGAATAGATGCAACAAAAAAACCGTTGTCGATCTACAATATATGCATTTTGCTAGAATGTCTTAAGAAGATTTAGATTATTAAGAAACTTGAGAAAATTTAAATTTTAGTGAGATTCACTAAATGCTTGCCACATTACTAGAGAGTAGAGCCAAACCATATTTGCAGGCTTGCAGCCCATTATTGAACTTGGAACTCTCTAGTACACTGCTAACTATCTCAACTTGTGGCAAGAAGTTTACTACACGTATAAAGAGGATCTCCTTAGGCTACGTTCTCACAATTTTCCTTATGTGCAGTCATAAAGTGTGGCATTCAATCTAAAAGATTGAAACAAAAGAAAAGATACAAAAACTTATGTACTATGAGTTTGTTGGTTTATAATTGAGTTTGGTCTGATTATTTTTATCTAATTAGATTAATTAATATGTCTTTAGCTACTTGAAGAGGTGTGTACGAAAGAGTGTGCATTAACGGGTGTATATGATAGAGAGTTGTGTTGTTTCAAGTAGAAACGGTTTCGACCGTACGGAAGACATGTATATATAAGTGTATGTGTGTTGTTGTAACAACTTAACAAGTTACAGATTAACAAGTTTCAGTTTCATTTCTTATCTTCTTCACAAGAGAAGAGACAAAAGGTCTCTTGCTCTGTTTTCATTCTTCCTCTCAATATTCCAACAGAGTTGGCCTAAATTACAGAATCTCAAGGAAATTATAAGAATTTATGTTTTATGTTTAACTTGGCCTAGTCAATTATATGATCTAAGTACAGAATTAACAACGAAATTACGACAAAACAAAAGTTGATCACACACTTGAAAAAGTAGAGAAACATATAAGTCATTCACCATATCCTGTATGGAAAAGAAACGAAACTAAAAGCTACTCTTCAACAGCCCAAGCGTGTGCTCCTTGCGAATCGCTTCTTCTTCGGTCTTTGGGAGTGTAATCGTTCTTGAGGTTGAAGACTTCTCGAATTTTCAACTGTCTTGTCTTTGATGTAATTTGCAACTGTCTTGCAAGTGAGATCATAACACTGTTAATGAGGTTGTAGATCGTATCAAGATTGAGATTCTTCATGAATTCCTCGTCCCAATGATCCTTGAGCTTCTTCTTCACCTCCTCCGATGCATCTACATGATCATTATGATCATCAACGTGTGTTTTGCAATACTCAATAACCATGGCAACTATATTTTCTGTAACGTTTAAAAGCTGGATTGCATTATCGACTCAGTCTTCATCGAAAGACTTGCCATCAGAGCTCATCAAAACAATATTTTTGGTAGACTTATGGTTTGTTCGACCGATTTGAGATTTTTTTGGGTGATGAAATAATTGATTTATGAACAACGCAAAGATATTGAATGAGAGGAGTCCAAGAAGGCCTCTCCAATTATAAATTACAAGAGATATGATTGTATCCAGACATATATCAGATGATTCACTAGAGGGATAGGATTATATAACTATCCGGTATATAAGCTTAGAATGGAGATGAAACATAAGCCATTAAAGTTGATCACATACTTGAGAAACATAAACATAAGCCATTCATCAAATCTTTTATTCGAAAAGAAAAAGAAAAGAAACAAATCTAAGAGCGACGGTTTCGGTTTAGAGTTTCAAAAGCCCAAGCCTGTTCCTTGCGAATCGCTTCTTCTTCTTCGGGAGTGTAATCGTTCACAATATTGAAGAGTTTTCGCATTTCCTCAACACTCTTGTCTTTCATGGAATCTGCAATGGACTTGCAAGTGAGATCAAGAAGACTACCACCGTTGACGTTGAGATCGCTAGCAGCTTCCATGAGTTGCAAGATCGTATCAACATCAAGACTCTTCATGAACTCCTTGTCCCAATCCTCGAGCATCTTCTCCGCCTTCTCAGCTGCTACACGACGACCAGGGCGAGGCTCATCAGCATGTCTTTTGCAATACACGATGACCAGGCCGAGGATCTTCACTGTAACGTTTTCAAGGGTGATTGCTTTGTCGGGGCAGTCCTTGTCGATCATTTGCTCTACAATCTTCAATTTTCTCGCCACCACTTCCTCGACTTCGAAAGACTCGCCATCAGAGCATGTCAACACAATCTTGTTCGAAGACATTGTTTGTTTTGTGGTTAAACTGTAGGAAGAAGATTTTTAGGAGATTTTATCTGAGATACTGAATGAGAGGTGTTGAATGGAGTAAACCAATTAATGTAACGTCTCTATTTATAACAAGTGTGACTGTGTGAGTATGTAAAGTTAGCCTATAGATGTATTTCCCCAAGGAAGGTAAATAAAATAAATAAAGAACAAAATCCTAATTTTATTAAATAGGCTCTAACCTTTTTAGAATGGTTGACTTGACCCTATACATAGATACTAATATAATAATATATATTTCTTAAAATTTTAGATATCATACCATTTTCGTATTCTGTAATTCAAAAATATTAACTACTCTTATATTAAAAAGAGTAACTACTGTTATATTAAAATACAGGATTGGATTTAAATTACAATATGCAACTTTTAGTTTATGGTATTACCTATAAAATCAATTTAAATTGAGATTTTATTTTTTCTAATTTTTAAATAATCAATTTTATAATATTATACCTTTAAAAGAAATGCAACTAAATGTTTCTGAGTCATCATTACTTAATTCTCTAATATATTAAAATACAGGATATGATTTAAATTACAATATGCAGCTTTTAGTTTTTGGTATTACCTATAAAATCATTTTAAATTGAGATTTTATTTTTTCTGATTTTTAAATAATCAATTTTATAATATTATACATTTAAAAGTAATACAACTAAAGGTTTCTGAGTCATCGTTACTTAATTCTCTAATATTTTGGATTTTCAACACTTTGAAAACAGTATTTAACAACATAACATGAGTTTCTTTAATTTAATTTACAAATAACTCTTAAATTTTTTTGTAGATATTGTACTAGACTCTTCTTTTATTATAACTTTCGCCTATAACTTCTGAGGTCTTACTAACCTACCTTAGAAACGAGCCATAAATATACAGTATATTTCACTGTGGCTACTCTTGGGCTTCGTTGGGTTAGAAAACGTCGCCTTATTTAGGAAAAGAAGAATTTCATGTGTAACAAGCTATGGTTTCATGTTTATGTTTAACTTGACCTAGTCAATCTCATCTATAGTAATGAATTAACAACGAAACTAAAGAGACCTAAAACTTGATCACACACTTGAGAAAACAGAAACATAAAAGTCATGCATTCAACAAATCATGTTATGGGGAAAACCTTAAAAAAAACAAAAGAAACATACAGTATAACAAAAGTAGAAATCTAGCATATGAAGACTCTTCATGGTGAACCGAATCTGAACCGGTGTCCCTTAACTTTGGGTATTTCCTGAGAATCAAACGTGTTAATTTAAAAACATGGAAATCTTTTCAAAATATAGAAACAGCATGTGAAGAACCTATTAGAATACTTGGTACTTGGTTTAAACCTAGTTATTCAATAACCGGTTTAAACCAACTACCAAGTATTCTAATAGAACCAAGGAGTTGTTCTAAAACAGTTAAAGTACATGTTGATATCGGATTGAGAGAGTATGGTAGACCGAACTCCTCCATCTTCACTTGTCTGTTGAGATTAATGGTCATGCACCTTCTCTTTTAATGGCTCCACAATCGTAAACCATATATTTTGTTTAGTATTTTCTATGCAAATTTAGTATGGCATTTATCCATTTTAATTAATATTGTTTAGTCATGGAATATAAGATTATGTATAATAGGTTTTGTTAAATATATTTAAGATTATCAGTTGCTTTCCTCAGTTCAATATATAGGTTTTGTTAAACTGATTAGATTTGGGAGTAAATTATGATCTCTTTGAATGGAGATGAAGCATAAGCCTAAAAGTTGATCACACGCTTGAGAAACAGAAACATAAACCATTAATTCATAAAATCTTTTATGGAAAATTAAAGAAAGAAACGAAAGCAATTGTTAGGGTTTAAAAAACATCTAAGGTCTTGGGTCTTCAAAAGCTCAAGCGTGTTCCGGGGAATCGCCTCTTCTTCTTCGTTCTCCAGACCGAAGCTTTCTCGAATTTCCTCTACACTCTTGTCTTTGATGGAATCTTCAACGGACTGGCAAGTGAGACCAAGAAGACCGTTGAGATAGTTAGAAGCTTGCATGAGTTTGACGAACGTCTCAAGATCAGGACTCTTCATGAACTCCTCGTCCCAATCCTTGAGCTTCTTCTTCGCCTCCTCAAATGCTACATGATCATCATCGACATGTCTTTTGCAATACTCGATAATGAGGGCGAGGATCTTTCCTGTAACGTTTTGAAGCGTGATTGATTTTTCGGGGCAGTCGTTTTCGATCATTGTCCCTACGATCTTCAATTTTCTCGCAACCGATTCCTCGACTTCGAAAGACTCGCCATCAGAGCTTGTCAACACAATCTTGTCTGAAGACATATTGTTTGTTTTGTGGTTAAACCGTAGATTGAAGATTTTTAGCTAAGAAACTGAATGAGAGATTGTTGATTAGAGTTAACAAATTGAAAAAGCTAGTAATGCCTCTATTTATAACGAGTGCGAGTATGTAAATTTCATTTCCTTTTCACCGGAAAAGAAAAGTAAATAAAGAACAAAATCCTAAATTAATTAAATAGGCTCTAACCTTTTAATAATACTTGATCCCTGCATCTACAGATACTAATAAAAATATTCATCAAACTTTGTAGTTGTTATACTATTTTAGTATTTTGTAATTTAAAAGAAATTATTTATATATTAAAAAGAGTAATTATTTTTATATTAAAAATATTGGATTGGAGTTAATGTACAATACAACTTTTATTTTTTGGTATCATCTATAAAATCAATGTAAACTTTAACTATAGTCAGATTTTTTATTTATGGTTTATAAATAATCAGTGATATAGCATTTATTTTTATTTTTTTTCATTCTTTTTTTTAATAACTAAAGGTTCTGAGTCAGGACCAAAACATCTATGGCATATACTTAGTTCTCCAATATTTGGAATTTTCAACACTTTGAAAACAGTGTTTCACAACATACCATATTACTCTGAGTCTTCTTTAACTTAAATTTACAAATAGTTCTTAAAATTTTGCAGATATTGTACTAGACACTTTTTTATTAGAATTTTGGCTCATAACTTCTGAGGTCTCAATAAGTACTAACCTATATATCTAAGAAGGGAGCCATATATATAGGATCTTTTACTTGTGGACTTGTGGCTACTCTTGGGGTTCATATATTAGGTTAATTAGTAAACGTGCATATGATATGGCTGGTTAAGAGGTCTCGCTAATGAGCCTCATTATGATCATTTCTCGTCCGGTAACAACCTAATATGAATGGAAATTTAAGTAAGTATCACTAACTTGAAATTTGGTTGTCGCCTCATGAGCTTCAGTGTTACATTGTTGGAAGTTACAGGGAACGATTTTTCAATTAGGCGGTTAATGTTTTTCTAATGTAGTAACTAGTAAGTGTTGATTGCGGCCTTGGAATATATGAGTTTGGTTGAGTTTTTAACCCAAAAAATTCGGAAATGGTTTGCTATTTAATCAAAACATGAGAAAGAAAGATACAAGAATGTTAGTTATGGCTAAATATTTTCAACGAAATTAAGCCAAAACATATTGGAACCTAACCGGTGAAGCCAGAAACTCTTTTTAGCCTCTCTATATCCCTCAATCTTCTCTAGACTCCTGGAGACGACTCATCGGTTCCTCAAGGATGTGCAGTCTGTGTCACAACATTCTATGACTTTTTACATAGCTGTTATAAGATAAGCTTAGAATGGAGATGAAAATATGAAACATGCTTCGCTCACGCTCTTCCTTAGATGCTTGTTTTGTCTTTTTGGCATCCGTTTTGAGAGGCATTGTTTCTATTGCACTTGATCTGTTGCTTTCTTTATATATATTTTCTCCGACCAGAAAGGCAACCCTCGTCTTACTACTAATTAATTTTCTTTTGTCAAAAAGGTTCGACTTACTAGGAAAAGAAGAATATCTTGTTACAAGCTCTGGTTTCATCTTTATGTTTACCTTGACCTAGTCAATATTCTAAGTAAAGAATTAACAACGAAATTAAAGAGACCCAAAAGTTGATCACACACTTGAGAAACAAAAACATATAAGTCATTCACCAAATCATGCTATGGGATTCCTCAAGCTACATTCACCTGAGTGATATAGCTATCGGATAAGCTTAGAATGGAGATGAAACATAAGGCAAAAGTTGATCACACACTTGAGAAACAGAATCATAAGTCATTCATCAAATCTTTTATTGGAAAAGAAAAATAAAAGAAACAAAACTAAGAGCTAGGGTTTCGATCCCAAGCCTGTTCCTCGAATTTCCTCTACATTCTTGTCTTAAATGGAATCTGCAACGAATTGGCTAGTGAGATCAAGAAGACTACCACCGTTGACATTGAGATAGCTAGCAGCTTCAAAAAGTTTGAAGATCGTTGCAAGATCAAGATGAACTCCTCGTCCCAATCCTTGAGCTTCTTCTTCACCTCCTCAGATGCATCTACATGATCATCATCGGCATGTATTTTGCAATACACGATAACCAGGGCGAGGATCTTCACTGTAACGTTTTGAAGGGTGATTGCTTTGTTGGGGCAGTCCTTTTCGATCATTTTCTCTACGATCTGCAATTTTCTCGCCAACACTTCCTCAACTTCGAAAGACTCGCCATCAGAGCATGTCAACACAATCTTGTTCGAGGACATATTGTTTGTTTTGTGGTTAAACTGTAGGAAAAAGATTTGTAGGCCAAATGAATTCGTTGTTGCTCCTATGCTAAGCTTTTTGTAGTTAACAATTTGATAAAAGCTATGTAATGTCTCTATATATTTATAATAACAAGTATGAATATGTAAATTTAGCTTATAGATGCATTTCCTCAAAGAAAGGTAATTAAAATAAATAAAGAACAAAATCCTAATTTTAATTAAATAGGCTCTAACCTTTTAAGAATGGTTGACCCCATACATATATAGATACTAATATATTAATGGGGTAATTTCAAAAATACCTCTTTTCCAATACCACTTTTTATAAATACCCCTCTTTCTAATTTTATCAAAAAGTCACTATAAAATATGAAATTTTTCAAAAACATATGTGTAAGCTTATATTTATAGACACAAATTATCTTTATATGTGTGTAAATTTATATATATATATATATATATATATTTAAATACCGTATAAATACCTTTTAAAAATCATTTAAAAACCTTATAAAAACTGTGTAAACCTTTTAAAAACCTTATAAAAACCTTATAAATGACGTTTAGAACCCCTTAAAACCTTATAAATATTTGGATTTAATCTCATAGTAGTAATGATGATCTTGATTTACCTTATCAACCATATAAAAGTTTATAATTTTTCACATTTGAAAAAGGGTATTTTTGAAAATGGATAAAAAAGAGGGGTATTTTTAAAAAGGGATACACCAAAAGGGGTATTTCTCAAAAAATCTCTTTATTTTTTGGTATTACATATAAAATCAATGTAAATTTTATAGTGAGTTTTTATATTTTTATCATTTTTTAAATAATCAACTTTGTAATATTATAACTTTTCCGTTTTAAAAAAAAATAAAAATAACTAAAGGTTCTGAGTCATCATTACTTAATTCTCTAATATTTTGGATTTTCAACACTTGTGAAAACAGTATTTAACAACATACCCCATGAGTCTTCTCTAGTTTAATTTACAAATAATTCTCAAAATTTTGTAAATATTGTACTAGACTCTTCTTTTATAACTTCTGAGATCTTACTAACATATCTAAAAGAAATGAGCCATAAATATACAGTATATTTCATTTTGGCTACTCTTGAGGTTGGTTGGGTTAGAAAACGTGCATCATAGGGCTGGTTAATTAAGAGGTCTTGCAATTGAACCTCGTTAATTATGGTTTGATCATCGCTGGTCCGTTAACAGCCTAATGAATGGAAACAAAAGTAAATATCATTAACTTGAAATTTGGTCGTCGCCTATGAGCTTCAGTGATACGGTGTTGGAAAATTACAGAGAACGATTTTTTTTCATTTGGCGGTTAATGTTTTTTTAATGTAGTAACTAGTGAAAGTGTTGATTGGGGCCTTGGATATATAAGAGAGGTTGGATCAGATTTTAACCAAAATGTTTTGAAGATGGTTTTGCTATTTATTAATAAAAACATGAGAAAAGAATACAAGAATGTTATTACTTATTATGGCTCAGTTTTTTCAACGAAAGCCAAAACACATTGAAACCTAACTGGTGGCGAAGAGAAAAACCTCTTTTGTTGGCCTCTCTATATCCCTCAATCTTCTCTGGACTCTATGAAAAGGGTTACTTATGCTAAATTGTTGATGAAAGCGTTTGTGCTGTCCGTGTCAATTAGCATCACGTTGTTCACCGGAGGGATATGACTTCTTACATACCTGCTATAAGATAAGCTTAGCTAGAAATGGAGATGAAAGTATGAAACATTTGCTTAGCTCATGCTCTTTCTCCGATGCTTATTTTCTCTTTTTGGCATCCATTTTGAGTGGCATTGTTTCCATTGCACTTAATCTGTTACTTTACTTTTTATATATACTAGGTAATATGCGCGGGTTGTCGTATATTTATTTAATTATTTTAATTTATTTATTACTTATAAAAAATAGATTAAATAAATTTTAATGTTTATGACATTTTTACATTTTATTTATTTAAATCATACAATAAAAGCATACATCCATATCTTTTGAATTTATTCGTTGATTAATTGTTCAATTTTGATAGTAATTTTCTTTAGTGCTTTTAAGTATTTTTTGATAAAACAATAATATTGTTAATGATAAAAATAGGAATGATATTGGGAGAATTTAAAAAATACACTTTTAAAAATACCACTTTTTAAATTTACCCTCTTTTCAAACTTTATCAAAACAACCACTAAAAATGTTAAAATTTATCCATATATGTGTGTGAACTTATAAATATACACACAAATTACCTTTATTTGTGTATAAAATTTTATTTATTTCAATGTCTTACAAATTGGTTTGAATATAACCAAAAATTATTTTGTTAAAATAATTACATACTTTGAAAATAAAATAATATACATGAATTTGTGAGAAAGAAAAAAACATATAAAGTAAAACAATGAAAATGGTTTATTTAGCTTGATTTTCTTATGGTGCGATGGTCATAAATCAATATTTTTGAATCCCATCGTTAAAGTAATTTCCTTATAGCCATAAAATATTATTATACATATGTATTATATATTTAATAGTATAAAAAACAATGAAAAAATGAAGAAGTACATAAAATAAAGAAGAAATATAATTGAAAACAAAAGTTTTAACCAAATATATAATCAAGCTCTTATAATGATATCTTAATTGAGCTTTCAACCCATGCAAGAACATTAAAAATTAAACAAAGAAAATATTGAGAATATCATATATGGTGGAGGAGGATGTAAAAATGAGTATTTATAGGATAAAATATGATGTAAGTTATAATTCTAAAATAATTAAATTAGAGGAGTTATAATTATATTTTATAGTGTGTTAATTGAAATTGAATGGAGGAAACAAATAGTCAATTGAAAGGTTATATAGTTTATGTTACAATTTAATAGTAAAGCATGGATTTCAAGTATGAATTAAAGTATATGACTAAATGTGTTAAATATTTGGTTTAATTAAAAATAAATATTATAATTAAAAAATAAATGCTAAATGGACCAATAAGGAGAAACCTTAAAAAACTCCCAAAGAATAATTTTATTTTTTAATTTGATTTTATATTCCTCTTAATTTAAGCTATATCTCTAGGTTTAATTATATTTTTCATCATTGTAGTATATATAATAGATAGAAAATTGAATATCAAATTGTTTTTTATATAGGAAATCAAGTATAAAATTCAAAGTTAACAAAAATTATAATGTTGTTTATATTATTACATGTTGAATCACAAACTAAATATAAATATAAGGATCATTATTCTTAAAAGAATGTCTTACAAATTGGTTTGATAATTATATAACAAAAAGTTTATTTTGTTAAAAAATTACATACTTTTGAAATTAAAATAAATATACATGAATATGTGAGAAAGAAACAAACATCCAATGTAAAATAATGAAGCTGGTTTCTTTAGCTTGATTTTCTTATAACCATAAAATATTATTATACATATGTATTACATTTAAAAATATAAAAAACAATGAAGACATAAAGAAATACATAAAAACAAAAAATAAATAAAATTGGAAAAAAGTTTAAACTAAATAATTAATCAAACTCTTAAAATGATATTTTAAATGAGTTTTCACCCCATGCAAGAACTTTAAAAAAAAATAAAGAGAATAATGAAGATATGAGATATAATAGAGAAGGATGTGAGAATGACTATTTATATGATAAGAAGTGATGTAAGTTACATTTTTAAAATAATTAAATTAGAGGAGTTATAATTATAATTTATAGTGTGTTTAATTGGAATTCAATAAAGAAAACCAATAGTCTTTGGAAATTTATATAATTTTCAGTTTCATTTTAGTAGTAAAGTGTGAAACGTAATGTATATGATTAAATATGTTTTTTTGGTTTAATTAAAAATAAATATTATACTTTAAAAAATAAATACAAAATGGAACAATAAAGAGAGTGAAACGTTACTTTTATATATATGATTTTAAATAATTTTCCACCAATAAGCCTTATAAAATTTTTTGTATGATATATGATTAAATTCTTTCATTTTCTTTGCCATTTGATTATAACTTATAGTGTAATTAAATTTTGAATTGAATGATTGTCATAAACATTTATTTATTTATTTATTTAGTTGAATGATGTATGATTAAGTCCTTTCATTTTCTTTGTCATTTGATTATAAGTGTCCTTTCATTTTCTTTGCTATTTGATTATAACTTATAGTGTGCTTAAATTTTGTATTGAATGATTGTCATAAACATTTATTTATTTATTTATTTTGTTGAATGATATCTGATTAAGTCCTTTCATTTTCTTTAAATTTTGTATTGAATGATTGTCATAAACATTTATTTATTTATTTATTTTGTTGAATGATATATGATTAAGTCCTTTCATTTTCTTTGCCATTTGATTATAAATGTCCTTTCATTTTCTTTGCCATTTGATTATAACTTATAGTGTGCTTAAATTTTGTATTGAATGATTGTCATAAACATTTATTTATTTATTTATTTTGTTGAATGATATCTGATTAAGTCATTTCATTTTCTTTGTCATTTGATTATAAGTTATAGTGTAATTAAAATTTGTATTGAATGATTGTCATAACATTTATTTATTTATTTTTAAAAAAAAATTAAAGCCTTAAATATTTTTCCACCAATAAGGAGAGAGTGAAACCTTACTTTTATATATATGATTTTCTCCGACCAGAAAGACAACCCTCGTCTTACTACTAATTAATGTTAATCTTTTGTCAAAAAGGTTCGACTTATTAGTAAAAGAAGAATATATTGTGTTACAAGCTATGGTTTCATGTTTATGTTTAACTTGGCCTAGTCAATCATCTAAGTAAAGAATTAATGCAGAAATTAGAGAAGGATTTGGGGGAAAACTTTTTACGATGGTGTGTGTTTGAGAATTGATACAATATATAAAAACTAAATTATGCTTAACCTTCCCACCGTGGAAGTTGTCACCAATTGATCTGCAGGTCAGTTGTTAAAGGGTGAGGACCTGGGTTCGAGGAACGCCAGGCGCACCAATAACCTACCTAGTGGGCCAGGAGGCTGCGAGCAGTGGGCTGCGCAGTTTGGGCCCATAGGAGAGAGGTTAGGGTCGATGCGCTGCAGCGCTTGTAGCTGTCATATGGCGGGGTGTGCCATGTGGTAGGGGTTCCCACCGGGATGGGTTGTTACAATTAAAAGTCGCCCGTGTTCTGGAAATTAATAGGAGAGTTGAATGTGTATAAGAATTAGGGTGGAGTCGGTTTAATTCCGGTGGATTTCCTAAACTGGTCGATTTGTCAATTGAATCAAAGGAGGTTTAATTAATATCGGTTTAGGTAAATCATGGTTTAATCAGATTAAACCAAAAACCCTAACTTTTATAATGAGCGCTTCATTCTCTCTTTTGTTTTGTGGCTGTTGTCTCTGAGAGTTGAGTTGAGAAAAGGAGAAGGAGAATTTCACTTGTGAGAAGGAGAGGGTTAGCTTTGCTTTGGTGTTTAAGGCAAGAGAAGCAGTTTCGTCACATCTTGGTAGAATAGAGATCCGACGTATCAAATCTTATCGAAAGCTAGCGAAATTTGGTAGGTTTGGTCGTAAGGCGTGTACGTTGATTCTCCTTTTTACAGAAGTGAATTCGGATTAATATTCAGTGAGTTATATGCAGTTTGGTGAGACGCCTTTTCTCTGTTGCGAACTGGGATCAGCGGAGTTTGTAAGTGCGATCGTGGCTTCATCGTTTCTCCGATCGGCATCAAATATTTTGGGAAGCTTGGTGACGTCTGGGTCTTGCTTTCCACCGAAGGGATTAAGGAGTTAACGGTTGGTTTATGTTTTAGGGTTTCGTTTCTGCGGCTGTAGTTTTTCTGCTGTTTCTGTCCTTTTGGTTCTTAGAGATTTTTGTTTGTGTGGTTTGTTGTAGGGCGTTGTTTGGCCGTTGCAGTCGCGAGGAGAGTCTTTCCTGGTTGTTTTTGTAGTTCAAATCACCTTGTTAAGGTGAGTGCGTGACCATGAGATTATCTAAGCGATTGGGATTGAGTGACTTGTTGTGTGATGATTTGTAGGTGAATTGGAAGTGTTATTGGATGTTTAGCTTGCTGAATGGTTTGTTTATTTTATATATGTGGGTGTTATCTCATAGCTTGTGTGTATAGCTCGTAGATGGGAGGATCGCTCTCACTGAGTATTTATGATAATACTCACGCATCTCATTGTGTTTGTGGTGCAGGTATAGTGTGATCCGTGGAATCATGGCGAGGAGAGGAGGATGATCTAGGGTCTCGGTTGTTATATTTATGAATATGTTAATTGTTGTTGGAACCTGGTTTAGAGGCATGATAGGTTGCTGGTGTAAATTGTGGTTATTGAATGATTGGTTAATTAATATTATGATGAATTGATGTTGGTTTAATATGTTTCCGCTGTGCATGATGATTTATTGTTGGGTTAATTCGGTTAGGTTAATTAGTAGGTATGGGACTTTTAATTAATGAATTAAAAAAACGGGTCGGGTCTTTTCAATTTGGTATCAGAGCCCTTACGGTTCTAGGGCGGGAGTAAAATGGTTATTTTTAATGTGATGTGTGAATTTCATTGATGGAAAATGATGATGTGGATTGCATGCTGATTGATTTGTGTGTTTAATCAATTGCGTGAGCATGGAGACCTAGATCATCCTCTCGAGCCTTCAATGAGATTCCACGGTAAGTTGTGATGTTTTGTCTTTTCTATAGTCGTCTGTTTTCCTAGTTTCTGCTTGTGGCAGTGTGGGAGGCTAGAGGTTGCGAGCGTGGTGCTCGAAGTAGTTCTGTGGTTGTGGTGGTTGTAGTCCGGAGCGCGGGTCTTCGGTGGTGTTTTGTTAGAAATGGATTTCCGAGAAGTTAAGTTGGAGACTATTATGTAATACTATGAGTGACGGGATTGTTTGGGAGTTGACTTCAAGAATGGTCATGGTAGAGATGATATTCCAGGTGGGAATATTGTTTGGTAGGTATGACATTGTGATGTTGTACTTGGACTAAGATGAGTATTTCTTGGATTTGACTTGTTGTGTCATGTCTAAGAGAAATATGTGCGAGTTTCTAAAAATAGAAAGTGTCGGGTTTGACCGTTGAGATAGTTAGAAGCTTGCATGAGTTTGACGAACGTCTCAAGATCAGGACTCTTCATGAACTCCTCGTCCCAATCCTTGAGCTTCTTCTTCGCCTCCTCAGATGCATCTACTTGATCATCATCGACATGCTTTTTGCAATATTCGATAACCAGGGCGAGGATCTTCCCTGTAACGTTTTGAAGGATGATTGCTTTGTCGGGGCAGTCGTTTTCGATCATTGGCCCTACGATCTTTAATTTTCTCGCAACCACTTCCTCAACTTCGTGAGACTCGCCATCAGAGCTTGTCAACACAATCTTGTTCGAAGACATATTGCTTGTTTTGTGGTTAATTAAACCGTAGAAGAAGATGTTTAGGAGATTTTATCTAAGAAACTGAATGAGAGATTGTTGAATGGAGTTAACAAATTGATAAAAGCTATGTAATGCCTCCATTTATAACGAGTGCGAGTATGTAAATTTCATTTCCTTTTCACCGGAAAAGAAAGGGAAATAAAATAAATAAAGAACAAAATCCTAAATTATTTAAATTGGCTCTATCCTTTTAATTATGTCTTGACACCCCATACATAGATACTAATAAAAATATATATTAAACTTTTATAGATGTTACACTATAATACTATTTTAGTAGTTTGTAATTTTAAAAGAAACTATTGCTATATTAAAAAGAGCAACTAGCTATGTTTATATTAACATAGAGGATTGGATTTAAACTACAATACATTTTTTTTTGGTATTACCTATAAAATCAATATACTATAACTTTGGTGAGATTTTTTATTTATGATTTTTAAATAATCAGTTTTATAACATTTACTGTCTTTTTTATTTTATTTTAAATAACTAAAGGTTCTGAGTCAGGATCAAAACATCTATGGCATATACTTAGTTTTCTAATATTTTAAATTATCAACACTTTGGAAACAGTATTTAACAACATACATGCAGTACCATGTTAATTAATTAGTCTGAGTCTTCTTTAATTTAATTTACAAATAATTCTCAAATTCTGTAGATCATATTGTACACTAATAGACTCTTTTTTTATTAGAATTTTGGCTTGTAACTTCTGAGGTCTTTAGTAACCTATCTAATAAAGGAGCAATGTACATATTTAGGATCTTTCACTTGTGGCTACTCTTGGGGTTCGTTGGGTTAGAAAACGTGCATGATATGGCTGGGTCTTGCTAGTCCCGTAATAACAACCTAATATGAATGGAAATCAAAATAAATATCATTAGCTTTAAATTAGCTTGTCGCCTCATGAGCTTCAGTGATATGTTGTTGGAAAGTTACAGGGAAAGGATTTTTTTTCATCAGGCTGTTTTCTAATGTAGTAACTAGTAAGTGTTGATTTGGGCCTTGGAATATAAGAGGTTGGATGAGATTTCAACCAAAATGTTTTGAAAATGGTTTTGCTATTTAATAAAATCATGAGAAATAAAAATACAAGAATGTTATTATATATGGCTCAGTGTATTTTCAACGAAAGCCAAAACATATTGGAACCTAACAGGCGGCGAAGCCATAAACTCTTTTTGGCCTCTCTATATCCCTCAATTTTCTCTGGACTCCTGGAGACGACTCATAGTAATCTACAACTTAGATATATCTTCTTTACCATTCTTTCTCCACAGTCTCCACTTGCTGTAAGAAGTTTACTGCACGACATGAAGACATTACACATATAATTTCTCCGATCATAAAGGCAACCCTCGTCTTACTACTAATTAATGTTCTTTTGTCAAAAAGGTTTGGTCTGTGTTAGGAAAAGAAGAATATCTTGTGTTACAAGCAATGGTTTCATGTTTATGTTTACCTTGATGTAGTCAATTATCTAAGTAAAGAATTAACAACGAAATTAAAGAGACCCAAAAGTTGATCACACACTTGATAAACAAAAACTTATAACTCATTCACCAAATCATGTTATGGGATTCCTCAAGCTACATTCACCGGAGGGTCAGGGATTATATAGCTATCGGATATAAGCTTAGAATGGAGATGAAACATAAGCCATAAAGTTGATCACATACTTGAGAAACAGATATTTTATTGGAAAAGAAATGGAAAAGAAAAAGAAAAGAAACAAAACAAAAAGCTAGGCTTTGGAATAATTCTAGGGTTTTAATCTTCAATGAGGTTAAAGATCGTATCAAGAACGAGATTCTTCATGAACTCCTCGTCGCAATCCTTGAGCTTCTTCTTCGTCTCCTCAGATGCATCTACATGATCATCATCATCATTAAAGGAAGATATACATGTTTTTCGATTGTGAATAGGAAATCACAATTAAGAGATTAACCGACTCCTAAACATTATAAATAGAGACCTTCTTCGACTCCTTTCATTCACACATCTTTGCATAATTCATAGATCAATTCTTTTTTTTCATCACCCAAAAAAACACCACAAAACGATCGACGAAACCAATATGTCTTCCCAAAAGATCGTGTTGGTGAGCTCTGATGGCGAGACTTTCGAAGTTGAGGAAGCGGTGGCGAGAAAACTTCAGATCGTAGGACACATGATCGACGACGACTGTGCCCATAAACCGATCCCGCTTCAAAACGTTACAGGAAAGATCCTCGCCATGGTTGTCGAGTATTGCAAAACACACGTCAACGATGTAGATGATGCTGCTGCTGATGATAAAGAAGAGAGCGAGGAAGACAAGAAGAAGAAGAAAGCTGATGCTGCTTCAGCCTCTGGAGATGATACCGACAAGAAGCTTGAGGTCGAGGCTTTTGACAAAGGCTTCTTGCAGGATTTAGATTTGGAAACCATCTTCCAAATCATTCTCGCTGCTAACTATCTCAACGTGAAAGGCCTTCTTGATCTCACTTGCCAGAACGTTGCTGATCACATCAAAGACATGTCTGTAGAGCAAGTTCGAGAAATCTTTGGCATCCAGAACGATTTCACTGAGGAAGAAGAGAAATCGATTCGAGCGGAGAACGCATGGGCTTTTGAAGATGCTGCACAAGCTGATCCAAAACCCTAACTTTTTTCTTGTTTCGTTTCTAATTGTCGGTTTTTAGGGTTTCTTTTTTCTCCATATTTGATTTGGTGTTTTGGATTTGTGATTTTGATTTCAGTTTCGTTGTTTATTTCTTTTCTTGGATATTATATATAACCTACTAAACATTCCATATGGGTTTAGGAATTCCATATGGTATGAGTTACCCAAAACCCTACTAAACGCTCATGTGAAGTCATATCTCATCGAGGTTATTTGATTCACCTCCCATCTAATGGGCCATTTTCTATAGCTAATTACCTTATAATGGGCCGATTAAGATTAGGTTCCTATTATGGTTTCGTTGAAAATTTTGCGCTAAACCATTCTTTTATTTTGTTTCTTTCTTTCTCCTTTTTTATTATAGCAAAAAGCAAACCATTTAACAAAAGAAAAAATGTAGAAAAATTATCTAACCTCTTATATATGTTAGTAGCGATACCAAATCCCAAATCATTAACCGAAATAATCGATTTCTACAGTTTTATTGTACAAGAACTTTCCAACACTGATCATCTCATGAGGCTATATGTTCAAGTTAATGATATTTACTTTGATTTCCATTTCTTAGTTTGTTACTGGACTGGACCAGCAATGATCGAGCCATAACGAGCCATATCATGCATACATGTTTCCTAACTCAACGAACCCCAACTGTAGCCACAAGTGTAAGATATCATATCTAAAAGACTCGGATTGCTTTCCAAGATAGTTTAGTAAAACTATAACTTCTTAAATAAATAACTCTAAATAAATAATAGAAAATAATAAAAAGTGAGAGAATTTCTTAAATAAAAACCGATACTATCTTAAACTCCTTACTTGTAGTTTGATGAGTAAATATAAATAGTTCTAAAAAATCAGAAGTTAAAAAATCTCACTTAATTGAAATATACATTGAATTTTAGATGTGATACCAATAAATAAAAGATAAATATACTTTACTTTAAATCTAATCCTATATTTTAATATATTTATATATAGTTAATATTTTTAAAATATATTAAATTACAAAATACTAAAATAGTATAACATCTAGAGAATTAATCTAATCATTAACATGTGTGTATGGGGTAAATAGTTATATATATAAAAAAAAAGATAAGAGCTTCAATTAATTAAACTAGGATTTTTTTTTGTTTTTTTGGTTCAATTTTTTCTCAGTTTTACAATTGACTACATACTCTCAATCATTATATATAAATAGCAACGTTACATTCAACTTCTTCAATAAAATCTCCTAAAATTCTTTCTTCTTTATTTTGCTAAACCACAAAAACAGACAATATGTCGACTTCGAACAAGATTGTGCTAACTAGCTCAGATGGTGAATCTTTCGAGATTGACGAAGCCGTGGCTCGTAAGCTTCAGATCATAGCGCACATGATCGATGATGACTGCGCGGGTAAAGCAATCCCACTTGCAAACGTCACTGGAAAGATCCTTGCTTTGGTCATTGAGTATTGCAAGATACACGTTAATGATAAAGATCCGAGTGAAGAAACAGACGAAATTGTTTCTTCTGATGATAAAGAATCACCTAAAGAAGCAAACGAAAATGTTTCTTTGTCTGATTCAACTAAAGAAACAAACGAGAATGTTTCTCCTGATCCAGCTGATGTTAAAGATTCAAGTAAAGAAACAAACGAAAATGTTTCTTCTTATCCAAATGAAGAATCAGAAGAAAACAAAGAAGCCAAGGAGGAGGAGCTCATGACTAATTGGGACGCAGAGTTCATGAAACGTTGTGATTTAGAAACAACCTTTTTACTCATTCTCGCTGCTAACTATCTCAACGTCAAAGGCCTTCTAGCTCTCACTTCCCAGACCGTTGCAGATTACATCAAAGATAAGAACGTAGAAGAGGTTCGAGAAATCTTTAACATCGAAAACGATTTCACACCCGAAGAAGAAGAACAGATTCGCAAGGAGAACCTGTGGGCTTTTGAAACATAACTTTTTAGTTATCCATTTCTTAAATTGTTATCCTCCCGTGTGTGATTGACTTGGTGTCTTTGATTAATTTCATGAATTCTAGTTTTTGATTTTTTTTTTAATAATTTTTTTTTTGTTTAATTATCTATTTACTTGGGTATAAGCTATGTTTTATGGGGGAATTTCAAAAATACACCTTTTCCAATACCAATTTTTAAAAATACCTCTCTTTCTAATTTTATCAAAAAGTCACTATAAAATTTGAAATTTATCAAAAACATATGTGTAAGCTTATACTTATAGACACAAATTATCTTTATATGTATGTAAATATATATATATATATTTCATAAATACCATATAAAAACCTTTTAAAATCATTTCAAAACCTTATAAAAACTTTGTAAACCTTTTAAAAACTTTTTAATAACCTTTTAAAAACCTTTTAAAAACCTTATAAATACCACTCAGAACCTTTTAAGACCTTATAAATATTTGGATTTAGTCTCCCAGTAATAATGATGATCTTGATGTACCTTATCAACCATATAAAAGTTTATAATTTTTCATATTTGAAAAGGGGTATTTTTGAAAATAGATAGAAAAGAAGAGTTTTAAAAAAAAGGGTATACCAAAAGGTGTATTTCTCAAAAATTCTCATGTTTTATTGCTAATCTTTTGCTAATCACTAATGTTTTATTATATTCTAATACTTACATAAACATTTTTTTGTTTTTGGTAGGGTACATACATAGACATATTATTAGTAGGTTTCAATTGCTAAAACATATATTATCCAAAAAAATATTTTCTCATAATATTAATTATAGTTATGTAGATTTTAGTATTTTTTTTTTGGTGTGAATGTAGATTTTCAAAAATACACCTTTTCCAATACCACTTTTTAAAAATACCTCTCTTTCTAATTTTATCAAAAAGTCTACATTTTGGAAACAGTATTTAACAACATACAGTAGTACCATATTAATTAGTCTGAGTCTTCTTTAATTTAATTTACAAATAATTCCCAAATTTTGTAGATACATGTATACACTACTAGACTCTTTTTTTATTAGAATTTAATTTGGCTTGTAACTTCTGAGGTCTTTACTAACCTATCTAATAAAGGAGCAATGTACATATCTAGGATCTTTCACTTGTGGCTACTCTTGGGGTTCGTTGAGTTAGAAAACGTGCATGATATGGCTGGGTCTTGCTAGTCCCGTAATAACAACCTAATATGAATGGAAATCAAAATAAATATCATTAGCTTTAAATTAGGTTGTCGCCTCATGAGCTTCAGTGATACGGTGTTGGAAAGTTACAGAGAAAGGATTTTTTTCCATCAGGCTGTTTTCTAATGTAGTAACTAGTAAGTGTTGATTTGGGCCTTGGAATATAAGAGGTTGGATGAGATTTCAACCAAAATGTTTTTGCTATTTAATAAAATCATGAGAAATAAAAATACAAGAATGTTATTATATATGGCTCAGTGTATTTTCAACGAAAGCCAAAACATATTTGAACCTAACAGGCGGCGAAGCCATAAACTCTTTACCATTCTTTCTCCACAATCTCAACTTTCTGTAAGAAGTTTACTGCACGACATGACGAGTTGACGACAATACACATATAGAGAGGATTCCTTAGGCTAGGTTCTCGCATTTTTCCTTGTGCAGTCATATGACATTGTCGTTATTCTATTCTAAAGTGTTGTTGAAAGAGTTTGTGTTGTCCGTGTCGTTATTTACCATCACGTTGTTCACCGGAGGGATAGGACTTTGTACATAGCTTCTCTAAGATAAGCTTAGAATGGAGATGAAAGTATGAAACATGCTTGTTTTGTCTTTTTGGCATCCGTTTTGAGTGGCATTCTTTCCATTGTACTTAATCTGTTACTCACCTTATATATATTTTCTCCGACCAAGAAGGCAATTATCGTCTCACTACTAATTAATGTTCTTTTGTCAAAAAGGTTCGACTTATTAGGAAAAGAAGAATATATTGTCTTACAAGCTATGGTTTCATGTTTATGTTTACCTTGACCTAGTAAATTATCTAAAGTAAAGAATTAACAACGAAATTGTAAAGAGACCTAAAATTTGATCACACACTTGAGAAACAAAAACTTATAAGTCATTAATTCACCAAATCATGTTATGCGATTCCTCAAGCTTCATTCACCGGAGGGATATGGATTATATATAGCTATCGAATAAGCTTAGAATGGAGATAAAACATAAGCCATAAAGTTGATCACACACTTGAGAAACATAAATATAAGCCATTTATCAAATCTTTTATTGGAAAAGAAAACGAAAAGAAACAAAACCAAAAGCTAGGCTTTAAAAAAACAAAACTAGGGTTTTGGATCTTCAAAAGCCCAAGCGTTTTCGTTACGAAGCGCTTCTTCTTCTTCGGCTGTGTAACCACTCTCCAGACCGAAGCTTTCTCGGATTTCCTCTACATTCTTCTCGTTGATGAAATCTGCAATGGACTGGCTAGTGAGTTCAAGAAGACTACCACCGTTGACACTGAGATAGCTAGCAGCTTGAATGAGTTTCAACATCGTATCAAGATCAAGTTTCTTCATGAACTCTTCGTCCCAATCCTTGAGGTTTTTCTTCTCCTCCCTAGCAGCTACATGATCATCATCGACATGTCTTTTGCAATACTCGATGACGAGGGCGAGGATCTTTCCTGTAACGTTTTGAAGCGTGATTGCTTTGTCGGGGCAGTTTTCAATCATTTGCCCTACGATCTGCAATTTTCTCGCCACCACTTCTTCAACTTCCAAAGACTCGCCATCAGAGCTTGTCAACACAATCTTGTTCGAAGACATATTGTTTGTTTGGTTTGTGATTAAACCGTAGAAGAAGACGTTTAGGAGATTTTACGTAAGAAACTGAATGAGAGATTGTTGAATGGAGTTAACAAATTGAAAATAAAAGCTATGTAAGGCCTCTATTTATAACGAATGCGATATGTAAATTACATATTTTTTTCCCAAAAGAAAGTTAAATAAATAAATAAAGAACACAATCCTAATTTAATTAAATTGGCTCTAACCTATTAATAATATTTTGACCCCAAACAGAGATTCTATTAAAAATATTTATTAAACTTTTATAGATGTTATATTATTTTAGTATTGTAATTTAAAATGAAATTATTTTTATATTAAAAAGAGTAACTATTGTTATATTGAAATCTAGGATTAGATTTAAAACTACAATACAACTTTTATTTTTATTTTTTTCAATGTAAATTTTAAATTACAGTGAGATTTTATATTTATATTGCTTAAATATATATATCAATTTAATAACATCTTACTTCTTTTCTAATCTTTTTTTTTTTTGAAACTAAAGGTTCTGAGTCATCTATGGCATTTACTTATTAGTTCTCTAATACTTTGGATTTTCAACACTTTGAAAACATTATTTATTAACAACATTCCACTTTAGTCTGAGTCTTCTTTAATGTAGTTTACAAATAACTCTCAAAAATTTGTAGATACTGTACGCTAGACTCATTTTTTATTAGAATTTTCCTTTATGACTTCTGAGGTCTCTTTCACTTGTGGTTACTCTTTGGGTTCGTTGGGTACGGTTAGAAAACGTGCATGATCTGGCTGGTTAAGGGATCATTGCTGGTCCGGTGAACAACCTAATGAATGGATCATTAACTTGGAATGTGGTTGTCGATTTTTTCCATTAGGCGCTTAATGTTTTTTAAAGTTAGAGAGAACTAGTAAGTGTTATGAGGTTGGATGAGTTTTTAACCAAAAGTTTTTGAAAATGGTTTGCTATTTAATTTATAAAAGAAGACATGAGCAAGAAAAAATACAAGAATGTTAGTTATGGCTCAGTATTTTCAACGAGAGCCAAAACATAGTGGAACCTAACCGGCGAAGCCAAACACACTTTTTGAACTCTCTATATCAATGGCTCAATCTTCTCTGGATTCCTGGAGACGACTCATCGTCTCGGTTCCTCAAGAAGTTTATCAGTGGTCTCGCTGCTGCCCATGGTACATTGTCACCTACTCCCTATGCGCATCACTCTTGTTCTTCATGTATCCTTTTAGTGTTAAACTCCTTTAAGCACGTGTAAGTGAACGTACCATGGGAAATTTTAATTCTTTTCAGTAACTAAAACCAACCAATAAGCATGACTAAGTGGTGTGACTGCTCTAATGTTAGTTTCCAAGATTGAATTTTGTGCATTCACCAACAAAATTGATGGAGTTCTTCTAATCATGTTTTCATGAAGCAGCAAGGTTGTCTCCTTTTGGTGACCCTCATGATGCTGGTGGTGGTGTCAATCTACAAGTTGAAAAGAACGATACGAGACATGCAAGTTGACACATACTTATATTATTGTGTGAGAGTAGAATAGTTAATATTTATATATAAACCTTGGTTTGGATTAGTCTATTGTAAGACTTCATATGTTTTAATGGATCTTCTATGACATAAAAAAAATATTTTATATATATTTTTTGACGAAATTAAATTTTTGTAAAATCTATTAAATATAGAATGCAAAAACGTGTCAAATTTCATTGATATAAAATAGCTAATAAATATAATATAGCTAGAAAATTGACCTGCAATACATAAAATTATAATGCAAATATAGAGCTACTAAACAATATATCATGGCAATTTAAAAGATCTACAAAACATATTAGAATAGCGTAAAATTGTGCTACAACAATACAAATTAAAATTGTGCTACAACAATGATGAAGCTTCAAAACGCTATCGTATATGATCACCCTAAGATAGCTCCGGCATACACAGCGTTTATGAAATCGCTATGTTATCGATATTATAGCGTTTTCCGTGTGCTAAGAGCGCCCATATTTCTTGTAGTGAGTCATATCACACTGTAGTTCTTCTATTATAAGGTGTTATTGCTGAAAGAGTTTGTGTTGTCCGTGTTATTATTTACCAACACGTTGTTCACCTGTACAGAGTTACATAGCTGCTATCAAGCTTAGAATGGAGATGAAACATCCTTTGCTCACACACTTCCTCTGATGGTTGTTTTGTCGTTTTGGCATCCGTTTTGAGCTTTATATAAGGCCAAGACAATCAGGAAGTAGCATTGTTTCCATTGCAGTACTATATAATTTCTCCGACCAAGAAGGCAACTATCATCTTACAACTAATTAATGTTCTTTTGTCAATGAGGTTCGACTTATTTAGGAAAAGAAGAATATCTTGTGTTACGAAGCTATGGTTTTATGTTTATGTTTAACTTGACCTAGTCAATCTCATCTAAGTAAAGAATTAACAAACGAAATTAAAGAGATCACAAGTTTGATCACACACTTGAGAAACAGAAACATATAAGTCATTCACCAAATCATGTATGGAAAACAAAACAGCTAAGGTATTTTGTTTTTAGATCTTCAATTATAAGCCCACTCGTTTTCCTTGCGAATCGTTTCTTCTTCTTCGGGCGTGAAGTCGTTCTTGACGTTGAAGATTTCTCGAACTTCCTCTACTTTCTTGTCTTTGATATAATCTGCAACGACCTGGCAAGTAAGATCAAGAAGACCGGTGACATTGAGATAGTTAGCGGCGAGAATGAGGTTAAAGATCGTATCAAGAGCGAGATCCTTCATGAACTCCTGGTCCCAATCCTTGAGCTTCTTCTTCGCCTCCTCAGCTGCTACATGATCATCTTCGACATGTCTTTTGCAATACTCGATAACCAGGGCGAGGATCTTCCCTGTAAGGTTTTGAAGGATGATTGCTTTGTCGGGGCAGTCGTTTTCGATCATTGGCCCTACGATCTTCAATTTTCTCGCCACCACTTCCTCAACTTCGAAAGACTCGCCATCAGAGCTTGTCAACACAATCTTGTTCGAAGACATATTGTTTGTTTTGTGGTTAAACTGTAGGAAGAAGATTTTTAGGAGATTTTATCTAAGAAACTGAATGAGAGGTGTTGAATGGAGTTAACCAATTGATGTGATGTCTCTATTTATAACAATAGTGACTGTGTGAGTATGTAAAGTTAGCCTATAGATGTATTTCCCCAAAGGAAGGTAAATAAAATAAATAAAGAACATAATCCTATTTTAATTAAATAGGTTCTAACCTTTTAAGAATGGTTGACCCCATACATGGATACTAATATAATAATATATATTTCTTAAATTTTTAGATATTATACTATTTTAGTATTCTGTAATTCATAAATATTAACTATTCTTATATTAAAAAGAGTAACTACATTAAAATACAGGATTAGATTCAAACTACAATGCAACTTTTATTTTTTGGTATTACCTATAAAATTAATGTAAATTTTATAGTAAGTTTTTATATTTTTTATCATTTTTAAATAATCAACTTTATAATATTATACCTTTTTCGTTTAAAAAAACATAATAACTTAAGGTTCTGACTTCTGAGTCATCATTACTTAATTCTCTAATATTTTGGATTTTCAACACTTGTGAAAACAGTATTTAACAACATACCCCATGAGTCTTCTCTAATTTAATTTACAAATAATTCTCAAAATTTTGTAGATATTGTACTAGACTCTTCTTTTATTATAACTTACGTTTATAACTTCTGAGGTCTTACTAACCTAATTAACGAGCCATAAATATACAGTATATTTCACTGTGGCTACTCTTGGGGTTTGGTTGGGTTAGAAAACGTACATCATAAGGCTGGTTAATTAAGAGATCTTGCAATTGAGCCTCATTAATTATGGTTTGATCATTGCTGGTCCGTTACAACCTAATGAATAGAAACCAAAGTAAATATCATTAACTTGAAATTTGGTCGTCGCCTATGAGCTTCAGTGATACGATGTTGGAAAATTACAGAGAGAACGATTGTAAGTCTCCTTATATATAATTTCTCCGACCAGAAAGGCAACCATCGTCTTATGTTGGTTTATAATTAAGTTTGGTCTTATTATTTTATCTAATTAGATAAATTAATGTGTCTATACTTACATGAAGAGGTGTGTATGAATAGGTGTATATTAACGGATGTATACGGAAGATAGTTGTGTTGTTTCAATTGTTTGTGTGAGCAGTCGTGACTGTAACACATGTATATAAGCGTATGTGTTTTGTAACACAAGACAACAAGTTCCAGTTCAATACAAATTTCAGTTTCATTCTTTTCCTCACAATAGAAGAGACAAAAGGTCTCTTACTCTGTCTTTATTCTTCCTCTCAATATTCCAACACTTACTACTAATTAATGTTCTCTTGTGAAAGAGATTAGACTTATTTAGGAAACGAAGAATATCTTGTGTCACAAGGTATGGTTTCATGTTTATGTTTAACTTGACCTAGTCGATATCATCTACGTAAAGAATTAATAAACAGAATTAAAGAGACCTAAAAGTTTCATCACACACTTGAGAAACAGAAACATATAAGTCATTCACCAACTCATGTATGGAAAACAAAACAGCTAGGGTATTTTGTTTTTAGATCTTCAATTATAAGCCCACTCGTTTTCCTTGCGAATCGTTTCTTCTTCTTCGGGCGTGAAGTCGTTCTTGACGTTGAAGATTTCTCGAACTTCCTCTACTTTCTTGTCTTTGATATAATCTGCAACGACCTGGCAAGTAAGATCAAGAAGAACCGTGACGTTGAGATAGTTAGCGGCGAGAATGAGGTTAAAGATCGTATCAAGATCGAGATTCTTCATGAACTCCTCGTCCCAATCCTTGAGCTTCTTCTTCACCTCTTCAGATGCATCTACATGATCATCATTAACGTGTGTTTTGCAATACTCAACAACCATGGCGAGGATCTTTCCAGTAACGTTTTGAAGCGGGATTGGTTTATGGGCACAGTCGTCTTCGATCATGTGTCCTACGATCTGAAGTTTTCTCGCCACCGCTTCCTCAACTTCGAAAGTCTCTCCATCAGAACTCACCAACACAATCTTTTGGGAAGACATATTGTTTTACTTTGATTGAGAGACAGAGATGGTTTTCTTATGCAAAGATATTGAATGAGAGACAGATTGTTGAATGTGTTCATATTTATAAGTCTTAAGAGTCGGTCAGTTAGGTCACATGTGTTTCCTTTTCTCATAAACATATAAGGAAAAGAAACGCAAATCCCTAATTTAACTAAAGTCTATTGAAATATATATTCCAAAAACCAATACTCCTTTTTGTATAATACTCTCTAGATTTTCCATATTTGTTAGAATTAAAACAAATAAATTATAGTTTTTTGCTCTGAGTTGTAAAGTTGTAAAGTTGCCTGTGTCTCCAATATTATTATTATTAATGAAAACAATTTAAATGTGTTTGGTGGATTCAGAAACAAACTAATTAGGGAAAAACATTTATCAGGAAGTGACAGAGACACAAGATGAGAACATTATTAGTATTTTGTTTCTTCTATAGAGACAACCTAACAAGTTTGTTGTATAAAATTCGATCATCTCTTCCAGTGTTGCTCTCTAACAAAGCGCTTTGCACAAGTTCCTGCAACATACGTAAATCACACATTCTTTTTTATTTGATTTCACACTTTTATGATGATTCTATATAGAGTGATGACAAAAGAGACATCTATGTTTTACCTTGACATCACGGTGAGATAGAAACTTTCCCAAGCTGTGAATGGTCATTCTCATATCTTCAACCTTAAAGAAAACAATCACAAAACATTACTTCAGATTCTTTCTTAGAGATTTTGAGATGACTTTTGTGTACAAAACAGATCTTCCTTCTTACCCTAACATAGCCTGCCTGGTTACGGTCAAAGAATCTGAAAGCCTGAGGCAGAGAAGCAAGTGAACAGAGCTTTTAGAACCAAAACCGCAAAAAAAAAAAAAAACAACAACATTTCTCATGTTTGGTAGGGATTATTTAACCTGTAACAGCTCTTTATCAACTGCTTCCTCTCGTTTTGGTGCATCAGAGGCTCCTCCATCTTGCTTCCCGTGCTTATCAGTTTCAGACTTCGTCTTGATTTCAGTTTTTTCATCGATCCGGCCTCTTTCTTCTTTTTTATCAGTTGCAACTTCAGTTATAGAATCGGCAACAGTGCCAATAGTATTCTCAAGATTTCCTTCTTTCTTCTTCGGCTGAATAAGAGACATGAAACAAGGTGAGAAGATTTATGAAGAACACAACTTCTTGGATTCAATGTGAAAGAGTGCAAGTCAAATGAGTTCATACCTCTTCAGCAGGGTCTTCTTGCTCAGAATTTTCAACGTCCATTTCCTCGCATTCTTCTGGATCTTCTTCAGGGTCTTCTTCAGGATCCTCCTCGGGATCTTCCTCTGGGTCCTCCTCATCTTCCTCATCCTGGTTATCCACTTCCCTATTAGAAGTTTCATTCCCCGTAACTTCTTTACTGCCCAAAGTTTCTTCAGTGTTAGCTACAGCTTCCTTATCTGAATTTTCCTGACTATCTACGATCTCCTTTCCTGAGTTTTCTTTATCATCTTTCCCAGGAGCGGATTTGGTTATAACAGAGGTGTTGTTGTCTTTGTGTTCAATTGTCTTCTGACGCTTATTTTGAGATTTTGCTTCGTTTGGCTTGACAGACAACTCCTCCTGGTGCCTCTTCCGTTGATTTCTTTGTCTCACAAAATTTACACGTAGTTTCTTGAAGGAAACCAAAAGAAGAAAAAAAACAAAGTATAAGAAAACAGTTCATGCGAGTCAAAAATAATAACATCAAAGGTAATTAATTATATACCAACCTTGAGAAATTCAAATATACGGGAACCCATTTGATACTGCAGCATCTCAAACAGTGATTCCGCAAACAACGAAAGCTGCAAGAACATCGACAAAAGTTTGATGAAAACTTAGTAGTTCAGATGTAAAAAAATAATGTGATACACTGAGTTCCAGTAGAAATCAAACGAAAACATGATTAGCAAAACAAACCTCGAATGATGACTCATCAATGTCCTTGTCAGTGTAATCCAAGAGCGAATCCAAAGAGACCGAAAGTGAACGCAACTGCAAAAAAAGAAAAAAGAAGGTCACGACGATAATATAGCCATTACCAAATGTAACGAAACCTTTAATTTACTGTCCACCTACTTTGGAGTCTTTGTTCCGTTTCGTCTGCAAAATAAATCCAGGCCGAGGAGGTTCCTCAGACTTTTTCCTCTCCTTCATTTGTATCCTGGACTCATCTTTTCCACCTCTCTCTTTAATCTCTTTCTCAGTAACCTTTTCTTTTACCTTTTTCTCGTCAGAACTATTCCTCTCAATATTCTTCCCCTCAGATTGAGCCTCTGAGTTGTTTTTCTTTTCACCCTTCTTGTCTTCAACTGGCTTAGTGTATTTCTTACTAGAACTAGAGGAACCCTCCTTTTTCTCAGTATCCGGAGATCCTGTATTCTGTCTTATTTCCACAGCAGTGGAGGCGTTCTTTTCTTTTACTTCTTCTAAAGATTCAGCCGTCAGTTTCATCTCCATACTATCTGAATCAGGGGTTTTCTTGCCCGCATCCACTACCTTCTTCTCATCACTATCACCCTCTTTCTTCGAGTCACTGCCCATACTATCTTCAACTTCAGCAACCTTCCTTTTAGCCACCCTTTTAATAATTTTTTTCTTTACAATTGTCTTTGAAGGAGTCTGCTCATTAGCCTTAGCACTGGGATCTGAAGTATCTCCAGTTTCAGCTCCCGTCACAATTTCTGAGCCCTTCTCTTGACCTTGTGTGGGTCTCACTACTACCTTTTTCACTATTTTCTTGTTAGAAGATGTACCAGTGGATTCTTCTTTTGGGACTGTGGTCTCCGATATGGCAACATTTTCAGGAACATCCTTCTCATCCGACTTCTCACCTTTTTTTCCAGTTGCTTTTCCATCATTAACAGGCCTTTTAACAACTCTTTTAATGATCTTCTTTACGGTCTTCTTAGTTCCGGTTGTCTGAGCGCCGGAAGCATCTCCTGGAGACTTTTTCTCTGCATCCTTGGTTACTTCAACATTATTATTGCTGCCCTTTCCCGCGATGGCATTTTTCTTACCCTCCTGAGAGAGTAGTAGATCTCTCTCAGCGAGAGCTTTCCTGTGTGCCAACCATTGGGTTCTCCAAGCATCAAATGAAGGAAGACATTCTGATAAATCAGGGACAAATAGTACAGTGATCTCTTTGTGGCTAAAAACTCCATCTGACCCAACTCTGTCATAATGTATCTGTAAATCCCAAAAAAGAAAGCCATCTCAAATCTACAAACTGGTAAACAATATCGCTTTGTTTGCTTGTAGTTATCCTAGAGCTACCATATTAATCACAAAGAAAATGCAGCAAGACTGGACACAAATTAATAATACTTGTAAAGTATTTATAGAGCAAATCTCTGGATAAACCAATAGCAATGATTGATACTCCACATATTGTATACCATCAGAAACAAATCTATAAATCAGGCAGTCGCACCACTACTAAGCTTTATATCATCTTCAACGACCACTACATGTTAGAATAAGAGAGATTGTATGGTACATATACTATCTTAGCTACAATACTCCAGTCATGTCCCCACATGTCCAACATCTCAATGCAGTCTTAAACCAAGAGAATCAAAACCGACCTCGAGAAATGGATTCCAGTGACGGCAGTTGCTCAGATCAAGATTAAGTTTATCCTTTGTGTGTCTGCAAAGGCAAAGGCTTTTTCGTCTTAGACTATGGAGAAAAGGCAGCAAAGAAGACAACAAGAAAAAGTGCAGAGACAAACCTTAGCATTGTCTTAGTTAAGGAAGACTGATCAACTGATGGGTCCATACCATCAGTGGGATCCCAGGAACCACCAATCGCCATGAATGAATGATCTTTTTTAAGAACAGCGAACTTTAATATGTTGCACACATGAGGTATACGGTCCTCGAATATTTTTTCTGAAGAAAGATCTTCCAGGGCAGTTCTGCTCAGCCCGCTCATCAAAACCATCTGAACAATAGAGAATACCCATAACACTAAGCAATTCTTTCAATATACTCAGAAACAATAGCAGCAACGATACATTGTGCAAACATGACTATATAAGAAGATAACAATGAGCAATGACATAATTAAAGAGGCAATCTTTATCAATGAGAAAGAAAAAAAAAAAAGAGCCAACCTTGGCATTCCAAACAGTTTTTCCTCCAGTTTTCAAAGCTAAAGGCTTCGTGGAAGTACTTTTCACATCAGCTCCACCATCTTCAGTGAAATCATGCTCAAAACTGCCATCCTCAACAAACGATGGTTAGGTTGGCAAACACATTTAACAAGAAATAGTGGAACAAAAATGAGTCCACAAAATTTGAGAAAAGTGTGTAACTCTAATATACGGACTGGTCAAGGGAAACAAAAACTCCAGAACAGATCTGTTTTTCGTGAGAAGGATTATAATCCTAGGAGGCTAGGACTGACAGAAATGTAAAGAAGAAGATGAATATTTCACCTCACAGCAGTATGCATAGAAAGTGTAAGCTTGTGTTTCGGCCAGTTCACTACAACCTGAAACATATATATTTGAGGTTAACAATCATTTAGACTTCCACTAAGGATTAGATAATAACTCGGAGAAATAATTGGGAGATAGAAAAACATAGACCTTGGAAAACTCAGAAGGCACAAAAAGCCTGGGATATCTTTTATCTAATGTCATGTAATCTCTCTCCATGTCAACCAATCGCGAGGATAAAACCTGCAAACAAGTCACATAATTATCAATAAAGAATAATGCACACTGCGCCTAAGCACTGGATCACACATACAGAGGGCAGGTAACTCTGGTTGTCTACATTTAAAGCAATACAAAGTCTAATAAGACAAAAACTAGCAATCAGCCAAATTAACTGGAGACAACAAAAACCAGAAGCCATATATCAGGTTGCAATTGCCCTCCAATAAACTATCAAACTCACGGAAACATAGATGGAGCAGCCGGATATATGTCATACTAATTTTAGAAGCAGGCAAAATATTACCCAGAGGTGGCAAGAGGTCAGATGCTTGGCCAAATAACACCCACAACGAGAGAAGGCCAAGTAAACTGACAACTAAAAGAAAGAGGAAGTATAACATCCGCAAGTACAGGAAGATAACTGATGGAGAGAAAAGGAATGAGAAAGCTGAACTTGACAGAATTTACATGGAAAAGAGGCAATGGTCGGGAAGCAGGGTTGTCATGATTTTTTTTTTGTCAAGGATTTTCTTGATAGATGGCAAGGCTGATATAGTAGTTAAGGAGGGACCAAGAGATACCCAAGTCAATTAATAAGAAAACAAGTAGAATGCAGGAACTGATAGGAAGATGAGATAACCCTGAGTAGGTAAAAACATCACTGAATGACGAATCTCTTGGAACACTTATTACCTTGCAGACATAATCTCTCCTTATTGGCTTAATAGGTGAAGTTCGCCTTCAGGTATAACAGAAATAAGGTTAGTGTCTGGTGCAGCAACAGAAAATTCCCTGTATTCCAGATGAAGAGCGTGACAGAGATCAAAAATAAAACCTAATTGATGCTTCACGAAGTTGTGCATCCCGTCGCAAAGAGGAACTACGTGCATCCCTAGAAATAGATTTAGGCACTGGAGTCCTCTCCTTGGTGTCCTTGGACGTAGCTCTTGCTGTTGGAGTCCGATCTCGTTTTATTTCGAGAGCACGTTTTCGCTCACGTTCTCTTTCCGCTTCTCTATCCTTCTCCCGTCGCTCCCTTTCCCGGTCCCTAGCTCTTTGCCTTTCTCGTTCCCTCTGGCGCTCTCGTTCTCTTTCACGTTCGCGTTCCCTCTCTCGTTCTCGCTCCTTATCTCTGGAGCGCAGATTCTCGCGACGACGCTCTTCTTCCCTTAGTTCAAACTCCCTGAGATAACTCGCGCGGTCATCTTTCCGGAGATCATCAACACGAGGACCACCACCACCACGAGCCAGTATGCCACCAGGGTAGTCCAAGTCGAGAGACGCTGCACTATGGATACCTTTCCCAGTACCATAATCCCTGCCTGGAGGTAAGCTAACGCCATAACCAGGATTTGAAGAACTCTCCGGATAATTATAGTCATCTAAGTTTCTCCGAGGAACAGCTCCTAATAACGATGGGGTATGTTGGCTGGCATAAGAAGATGTGCTGCGTACTGATAAACCGTGAGGATCAGACTCAAGCCTTCCTCCATAATGCATAGCTTCTTGTTCAGAATGGCGTACAGTAGAACTTCGTTCTGTAAGATAATCGGGTTGTCTGCCAGAAATGTATGCTACTCAGTGCAATAAGATATAAATTTTCTTCAAACGTTATTGCAAGTTTCGACAAGAAGGTACAGTTGCTTTATATAACACAGGTCTTGGGAGAACCGAAAACAGACATACCAAAAATACAACTATGTGAACAAAAAATATATGCTAGAAAGAAATCTACCGCTAATCATCGAAAAATACCTGACACCTCCATCAACAGAAGAGGTATGGAGCGACTGAATTTTTAATAATTGTTCTCCTCGGAGGAGCGATGCTTGATCAATGCGATCATACAAGTCAGTCTGCCAAAATCATATAATAACAAGTATCAAGCCAATTGTAACACGACTGAACAGAAATTTGACCACATTTATAAGATTTTCTAATAAATGAAAACGTAGGCGTACCTGACGACCAAAACTAGATGAATCAGGATATCGACTAGTTGGTTCATTTTGCAACTCCCTACCGATATAAGCGCTAGACCGTTCACCATACGACCTTCTGTCAACCGGAATGTAACCAGACAGCTTATCAGAATACAAATCGTCCGCCTTTTGACCGTAAACATGACTGGAAGGAGACAAATAGCTTCCAGATGCAAATTTTGGTGAATCTGGTAAAGTAGGAACATATCCAGAGCGGCTGTCCAAGACAGAAGAACCTAATCCATTGGTGCTTAAAGGCTGAGAGCTGCTAAGGGAAGTTGATCCATAGGTAGAGCCATACTGCGTCCCATAATGACCAGCAGCTGTAGATAAATGAGATCTGTATCCACCAATGTCAGTCTCTTGAGGAGCACCTGTAATCGAAGGATGGCGAGAACTACTCAAAGAAATCTGAGAGCCTCCTTCTGCACCACTGACTGAATTTCCAGGATAACCAGATCCAAGCTACATAATAACAACATAACAATCAGCTGTAAATTCGACCCACCTAAGCATAATGGACAACAATGATCAACACCCTCAAATCAAATATGAGATTCCAGTATATTGTATCAAAGCAAACATCAAAAAAGGGGCTTTTTGATTTCATGAGACTGATGATCTTACATTCTGAGCATAACCAGACTGCGAGCCGTATTGCTGCTGTCCGTAGCCACTTCCTCTTGAAGAATACATATCTCTATGCATCTGATTCAAATTGTAACGTAGTTAGTAAACCCTTGAGAGATAGGTAAAACAAATAACGAACAATAACAAAGACATATCAAAAATCGAGAAAGAATCACCGGAAATGTCACGACCCTAAACTTAATAAAACCGATGGAAAAAGTAATCTATAAGAATCCACATACATGATTCACTCAAGCAAGTCTAATCAGAAAAGGGTCTTACCTACAAGAAGAATGAAAAAAATCGTTCTTTTTTGCGTGTAACGTGTTGGCAGATAAGGAAGAGTCTAAGCAATTGAGAGATTAAGGAAGAAAAAGAAGAAAACAAAACCCTAAAAATCACAGATTGAGGAAGACGAACTTTAAGACTGGTTTGAGGATTAGTTTGTTGTGAAGAAGAAGGAGAAAGATGTGTGAGACAAGGGTTTTCTTTTTTCTTCTTCTTCAGAGTTAGGAACAGAACACGCATGCATTGTCTTTTAACGGGCTTATAGATTTTAACAATTCGTTATAGGCCCATTCTTTTTCCTTATACATTGGTCTAGGGCCTAGGGGACATAAGTCCTTTTAATAATAAATTGACAGAGTCGGAATATGTTACAAGAGGCTAGAGGATTCATTTTACTCCCTTTATTTTGGCTTCAAAACGATACAACCAGGATAAGTATGTAATACCTCCTCTAGAGTCTTTAGCCAATGATCTATTGAAACTAAAAAAAATTCTCAGGTGTTAGTTTTACAAAGAATCTTACCTCTCTTTGGTTGTTCTTTTCGAAGATAAAATGCTTTTGCTTATGTGAGAAATTGTATTTTGTCCATAGGAAACAGGAACCCATGGGAACAAATTGTATTTTGCTCTCAAGAGCCATTTTAGAGTCCCAGAAGATGAAAGAGGAGTATGTGCTGCCCGGATCATCTGCATTATGTTAGGACTATAACTTAAGCCCAAGGGAAGAACTGTCTTCTTTTTATTTATGTCGAGTCTGTTCTTCGGTCTGAAAAGACGAGACAAGCATGTGTCAATAGATTTCTGAACGCCTTCAAAAGCTTCTTCTCCATGGTAGCAATTTCTTGAGAGTTCAACCGGGATTGTTTCTTCCTTCAAGTTACCTTTTGGTTAAAAAGATTGCTCTTCTGCGTGTCGCAGGTTTCTGACAACATTTTCGCAACTCTTTTCTGCAGCTTGTTGACCAACCAGTTTTATTGGAGATGTCACTTCTTTGTGATTTAGCTCTAGATGTAGGCTTGCTTCCTCAACCAACTTCTTTTGATGCTTTTGAAGCAAACGAATTATATGAACTTAGCGCTCTTGGATCCGTTGAAGTAAACGACTAACTGCCTCAATCACATTATCATTTCTCCTAAGCTGTACTGCGGCTTTTCGGAACAGCTTTGCTTGGAATGGACTCCTCAATTAAAAAAAAATGTTACTACCAGCGACTATGTTCATCAACTTAAAAGATAATTTAGACATTCCCAAGGAAAATCATGGTTTTCAAACCATTATGCTTTCGGATCACTCTAGTAAGTGTCATTAAGTGATAGTTGACATGGCTTTCTTCCTTCAATCTTAGACCATCTGCATTTGTTTGACAAGCACGTTCACTTCTAACAAGATTCTGCATCAATTAAAGTGTCTTAGATACCAAGTGACGCATTAATCCAAAGATAATAAAGTGACTTACGAGAGTAGCTATGAAAGATTACACAGACTACTCTGGATAGTCTGAATATCAAAAGCAGAGAACATGAGAAATTATAGAATGAGGTACACTTTACTGTCTAATGGCTAAAACCAATATCTATGCAACTATCTTCTCCATGTTTTAAAAATTAAGGATTTTGATTATTTGTTCAATCATGCAGCAAGCATATCACATGAACATAGATCATACCAGCCGGATAATTATGATGTGCCTTCGAAGTTTTGTCGTTCAAAGCAGTTTCACCTACTTGCCTTAAGCCGTAAAAGCAAATGGAAAATCACATACATGAATGGAAAAGATGATTACCATATGTCTCATGTAAGAGACAATGAGTTATGTCATCAACACAGTTCAGGCTTTGTCAAACGTATGCATCTAGAATACTATCACCATCAAATGCATAAAAAGTATCTTAACAATACCTTCACAAATGTCAATTATATGCTGTAAATGGTGCCTGGTTTCTACCACTTCCTCCACCAGATTTTCCACAATGGTTCCTTTCATTGCAAATGTCTTGCCACTGCTGGTCTGACCATAAGCCAAATTACTTGCTACAATGAAGATAGACAGCAAATTACATAAATACGAGCATAAATAGGTAAAGCTTAATGAAAAAACAGGTATCCTTCAATGATGGGATATTATATCTGTTTATTTACCGTTGGTTTCTGCTAATGGATAGTATGATGTCCCTAGAACCTCCTTCGTAGATCTCTGAGTTGAACAGATTGGCTCAAACACTTTATCTATAAGTCTGACCATAACGAAGACAAAGAGGCACCGGGCAATATAAAAAACGAAAGGAAAGAAGACAAAGGGGCGCTGAGATTCTAAACAAAAACCAAATTGAATAATATTTCATAATGCGATCTTTTTTGGCTCCACGTTTACCCATAGTGCAAGTCTTGTGATTTCTGTATTCAACTTCATTTACATCTTTTTTCAACTCCAACATCTTCTTTGATTTAGTTCACTCTGTCAGGAACCCGTAGCAGACCTGCAACCTGAAATGATAGAAGTATATACCAAAAGAGTTGCTCTAAACACCTATAATGAAGTTACAAGTTCAAGTTCTGGACAATGGACTATGGTCACAATAGGTCAACAAAGTTAGTATTAATTAGCGTGCATTTCCAACTTCCCGACTCTGATTGTTAGAAAACTAGACCCCATCTCATTTACGCAGCTTCAGGTCGTATTATTGCTTCTTTACCAATTCTTTTTTCCCTACCCACTCAATGGTAAAGACGCATAATCAACATGATCCTGAAATGAAAACTAAACCTCTTTTTGTAAGATCTGAAGCAACTTTAGTTTTCATCTCTGCCTCAGCAGCTTTAAGATACCCAAAAGATCATATACAACTTTTCTATATTATGTATACACTATTATGATACTTAACCAAAAGCATATATTCTACTAGGTACAGAAGATGTACACAAGGGGTTTTATGCATCCTACTTACAAGCATGCAGATCCGAAGCTCTTCTTCTGTCCTCATTGTTTATACTTTCACCTTCTCCTTTTTATCCTTTTGCTCACAGTGAAACAAGTTTCGCTCTGCAACTCACAGAGAGGGCATGAGCACAACATGCCGTTTCTTATTATTTCCCTTCTTCTTAATTATATTTCTGCATCTTGGTTCCTGGAGAATATCTCGGATAAAGAATGAATGCCAACGCCAAAGAGACCATAAGACCAACCACTCCGCTAAAAGGCTGTAAAGGGCGGCTCCCTGCAATCCAAGCCGGGGAATTTGGGTTGTAGGTGAGGAATCCACCAGACTGTAGTATAAAGCTCGTTGCTATGATTCCTGCCCGCAACCCGATTGGAACAATCAGATTTCCATTGCTTCTTTCACGAGCCCCAGCGAGCGCCAATGACAGAAGCCATAACCCTGGAATTGATCTCAAGGATCTGGAGAGTTCGAGAAGAACAAAAACAATTAGGAGTTAATTTCAAAAGAGTTAAGCATCACGCTATGTATTGTCCATGAAGAATAGTTGTGTGTAACTGAAGTATGACATACACATATACCCAGTTGTTAACAATAACATACTTAACAAAGATATATACCTCTGGAACAAGGCAAATATGAGTCCTGTAATGATAATGCTTTGATGGTAGCCCAGATCTATAGCAATCTCGTCAGGCATCCATGATCTGAAGAGCAACTCTTCCACAAGCACAACAAATGTCGCAGCTGTTAATCCCCTAATTATCAGCAGAAGCAATTGCCCACATCCCTTAAGCCACTTAATGGAATCAAAAGGATGTTGAAAATATGGCGGCCGAGAAAAAACCGCAGCTCCTGATATTGCATTTATGAACTGTATTAGTAGTACGACTGTGATGCCCCCTGCAAAGGCCTTTAAAAACTCTTGAATCTGCAAGGATTGAATTTACCATATCATCTTTACTGTTTTATTAGTATGAATGTATGGGAGTGAAGAGAATGAGAACATGTGAAGATAAGAGAAAAGGAAAATCACAACTACGTCATATCTTGTTGCTGTTTAAAAAATGTCCACCAAGATCTTAGTTGTAGCAAATTGACATTTGTATTATTTCCTTGTTTTCTTATTTATGAAGGAAACTAATGCTAATGCACTGCGGGGCCACGGTTATAAGGTTAGTCTGGTGGCTAATGAAGCATTAATAGTCAAGAATTTTTCTTCAGCAGTGCAAGGAAAACCAAACTATTATAATATTCTAGTCTCAGTATTACGTTTAAGGTTTTACCTTTTCTTTGTTTGATGACTTAAAATCAAGTCCATATTGCTTGAATGGGTTTTCATACTTCCGTACTCTCTTTCCCCACAGCATAACAAGAATGAATACAGCGACATAGAGACCAACTACACTAGCTAGTTCCGCCACTCTAGAAGGATTACTTGTTGACCAATTCTGGAGAAGTGTTGGAAGCAATGGAATCACAACCGGTGACCATAAAACGAGCACCATGCCAATAAAACCCACAGCCCTAATAAACAGTAAAAAATTATCATACATATGAAAATCATTAGGACTAGCTAGTATGGAGATGAATCAAATGACCCATTTCTGGTACTAAAATCACAAGAGTATGGAATCTTTAACATGATTGTTATCAGAAGAGAATCTAACAAAAGGGATTTACTGCAAACATGTACTGAAAAATGTAGAAGATTAAGAATGGGGAATTTATTCGTAAACCTGTAGCAAAGAGAATAGAACATTAGTTCTCTTGTTTGTTTTTAATTTCAAGGAAATGGTTTACGCGCACCCATACATTCATTTCATTTAAGAGCCAAGTAAAACACATAAATTAGTTTAGTGAAAAACACTCTGCCAATAGTAGTAATAAAATTAACAGTAATACAAATATGAGCATCAATGCAATATGCTGATGAGACTACTTCAAAACCAATCACTTGAGTTCCACGATAGTGGAAAGAATCAACAAAGATGCTTAGAGAGAAACCAGCTTACCTCTTGAGTAAAGGCCACTCATCCATGCGCAAGAATTGGATTAGCCTATCAGTTAAACTCATAGCACCACGAAGGCCACCCCAAAGAAGAGCAAGTTTTCCAACTAACCTCAATATGCCACCCCTCTGACCCAAATCTGCCAACATCGCCACAATCCTGTTCACATGAAAACCAAGGGATTTCAGGTCAAGAAGAATCTTAAGGCACTGATATAGAGGAATGGACTTATCTACTTTAGATACCTATCCTGATCCACTTCACCAGTTTCCTTTGTTGGAACAGCAGGACCAGCTATGGACATGGCTTTCTCAGCAAAACTTGCCACTATACTGTTTTGGTCAATTTTTCCAGATTCTTTATGTTGACTATCTTTCTCCGATGATTTTGACATGATGCCACCACTTTGTGGATCCTGCGCAGGAAGCACTGATTAGAAAGAGCGAACATATTTGTATACTCTTTTGATTATTTTTCCATATGAACGCTAATGTTAAACAATACCTCGTTTTGAACCAGCATTGCAGATGCTCCCAAAGCTGCTGTTACAGCTCCAACCATGACACCCTCATTGTTAATATTTTGCAGGCCAGATTCTACCATTTCTCCAATGCTCGAGTTGTTTCGTTTGGTCTCCTTGCTCACTTTGTCTGGCACAACACTCGCTGTTACACCATTGTTCTCATACTTCTGTGTTCTACCCGGGAGAATATCTCTCTTAGCATTGTTGGTTGTTGTAGATACATCGAAATATTTTCTCAAAGCAGCTAAAACAGAGCCAACAACAACACCAATAGGCAGTACTTGTCTGAGAAAATGCGCCTCCTGGACAGCAGATGCAATTGCCCTGATGATAGCGTCCCCATGAAGTTTACCTACCTTTCCAGCAGGGCCATTGGAACTTTTGCTATTCCTTATGAAAGTCCAAGTAGGCTCCGCATATACAACAGCATATGAAAATTTCTTTGCCACCATTTTTATATCATGACTGAGTTGAGACTCAATTTGCCTCATACCAGCTGAATCCATTCGGCGCTGAACTTCTACATTCAAAGAGTCTGATACAATAACTTGAATGAGGTGCTCCAATTCCTCATATCCTTTGTCTAATTTGTGAGGACCATCATTTTGATTGTCCGCTGCATCATGCGTTTCGGAAAGCTCCAACTCTTTTTCATGGTCCAATATCACATATGAAGGCTCAATGATGTTCTCTTCGTTACCTACATTGAGGGAATGAGCCTGAACATTTTCGTGCGTATCTCTGCTGGCTGCTACGTTGTCAGCAAGGTTACCCAAGTATTCTGGTTGTTTATCTAGTAGCTTCCATTTACCTTCCTCAGGATAATAGTCATCAACCAAGTGTTCTGGTTGTTGATCTAGTAGCTTCCATTTACCTTCCTCAGGATAATAGTCAAGCATGAGAGCAGTGGTTGTATCTATGTCTAACTGTTTCGCGATCTTTTCTTTTGAAAGTTCCTCCCCGAGGTATCCGTCATGAGAAGAATTTTTGACAGAATCTGTATTTCTTTCAGGCAGAATCTTCGGTGAATGCTTGCCAATCACAGATTCATCTCCGCGCAAAAGTTTTTCAATCACTACCCCTGTTACCTTATCATTGTCAGAAGTTTTTTCAGTTTCATTCACACTGCCAACAGAATCATGTGATTTTTCAGAGGGTATAGGCCTGTCAGTTTCTTTCTTGTAGGAAATTTTTTCTTCAGATAAAGACGTTACCTCATTCGTGACATTCTTCTCATCCTTGAGATTCTTCTCATCACTTGCCTCATTTCCTTCTTTATTTTCTTCATCCAGCTGAGAAATCATGTTTTCGAGCACACCAAAAACACTATTGACAGCTACCTGAGTTGAATCATCCATTCCCGTCAATGCTTCAAATGCTTGGGAAACATTAAATTTGGGCTGATTTGGTTCCTGAATTGCTGGCTTAGTTTGGTCTGATACAGGCTGCATAACTTTGGTTTCTTTGTTCTGGTCATCACTTTCGTCTTTCTCAACAGGCTGTGAAACAGAAGATTTTCCAGCATCTCCCTCATTGCTGGTAGATGTCACTACCTTGTTTTGATCTGAGGCAGGCTGTTTTGCATTCTCATCATTTTTATTAGTTTCCTCCTTTCTTTGTTGTTGAGCTAGTACATCACCTTGGTCCACTTTGTCCCCATCACTAGGTATATCGTCTGCACCAACTGGATGTGGGTTATCATTCTTTCCATCTGAAGCCTTCTCAACATCAACTACACTGGAATTTTCATTGGCATTTGGTTCTCCTTTCTCATTGTTTTTATCAGTTTCTACCTGTCTTTGAAGCGTAGCTACTCCAGAACCTTGGTCCACTTTTTCATCATTACTCGTAACATCCTCTTTGCCAATTGACCCCTGGTTGGCACTATCACTCTTTGCTTCGGAAGCCATCTCAGAACCACCAGCTGCACTGGTCTTTTCATTGGTATAGGACTCGTGATTTTCAAGACTACCATCTTGATCACTGTTGACAGGTTGGGACTTTCCGGAATCACCGTATTTCTGGGAAACCTCAGTAGGGAAATGCTCTAGTTCTTTTCCACCTGGAGAATTGTCTGAGCCACTAATACTTTCGTCTGAGCCACTCACTGAACCATCGCTCGTATCTATCCGGACAGGAGAATCAGAATCCTTTTGACCTATGGCACTTGATGGTTCTTTACTTGCCTCCTCCGCTTTTTTCGATCCTGGTGATATACTAGGAAGCTTAAGCTTTTCAAGATTTAATTTAGTGCCACCTGACTGCAAGATCCCAGATACAGCTGTTGTAAGCTTCTCACGAACGTCTTCTGGCACGGCATCTTGCAATGCTTGTAGAACTGTCTCTCCTCGACCAACAGCATCCATAACCTAAACATTTACTGAATAATTGTCAAGCAATTGTTAATGCAGCTATCTCAGTAAAACTAGTAAAAATGATTTTTACTATAGATATGTGGAGTGTTACCTTTTTCTTGTCTTCAGCTTTTAGGGTGCCAGGCATGGTTACATCCAGCATGTTCATAACCACTTCTGCAGTCTGCAACACCTGACCTCTTTCAATTTCTTCTACGTTGGACTCATTATCTTCTGTATCAACTTCAACACGACTGCTTGTTGAAACTCTACTATTTTCTGTTTCATACTCGTTTTTTACGTTCTTGTCTAAATCTGTTCCAGACGACAAGTTCGAGTTCGGGGTGATGTCACCGTATTCAAGTGTTTCCCTGAACGGATCTACGTGATAACCATTCTTCTTTTCGTCGGCTGCCTGCACAAGCTTCTTGGCACCGATACTTTTTTCAGGTGCTCTGGCTTCCGGAAAAACTAAGCCCTTTGAAGGGTTAACAGTAACATCCACATCTTTCAAAAGTGGATGACGACCTTTCAAAAGCCCAAGTTCTACAGCAGTCAACCACTGCATGGCCAACATAGGAAAATCAATCTCTTAGACATAGAAAAGAACGTAACAGGAAAATCAACCAAGACTTAAAGAAAAAAAATAAAATAAAATCATGTATGAAAGAAAGACTAACATATTAGTTTAGCCAGTAATACAAGATGGTGTATCTGTAGGAGAAGCAGTATGTAGTAACCATGATTCTTAAATTATGACGAGAACCTAAGTTCCCCCCAAGATGGATTGAATAATAATCACTGATTCCAATAGATAGTTTTCCACGTATATTTCATAACATTTGTGAGTAGTGTGAATATGCGTGTGTGAAAAAAGAGAAATATAGGGAGAGAAGTTGCCTCAATCGCAAGGTCCTGGCACCAAGACACGGCCACTGCACGTCCATGGATCAGACTTGGTGAAGCAGAGCACAGAAGCAGGCTTGTAAATGGGTTTTCAGCTATTGAACTTCGTGGTATTGTATAAGGTGGCACTACATCGTCATTCTGACAAACAAGCAACTTTGAGAGTCGAAATATGTACAACACTGTTCACAAAAAGTCATTAGAGAGACCAGTATAAGACTATCTAAAAATTTACATGTAAATGAACTCTGATTTAAGTTTAGAACTGTAACTAATGAGTGATATGTCAAAGGAGATATGCGCATATTGTTCCCTTTTAAGGAAACTTTTAAGCATGTTTATCCGAGGAATCAAGATCCTAATATCCTATCTTGTATCAAGGCAAACATCACCCTAAAATAATGTCATTATAGCAACTAGTAACCTATTCAACATTATTCTCCGTTAAATTCATGATCTGTGCAGCATAAGAACCCTTTTTGAGTCATAAAATATCCAATAGTTCTATCATTGAATCTTTGTATGTCCGACTATGTCCTAAACAAAAGAATCTTCTTGCAATGAATTCCTTAAGTAAAATATACCTCTAAATATGAAATCTTAACTAAAATAATACCAGAGAATATAGCACTTCTGAGGTATCAATCAGGTCATAGAGAGAGGTATAACCTTAAAGATAACTGAATAGCCAGAATATTACCTGTATAAAGAGGACAGGAACTTTTACTTCCCCAATCACATCTCTGGTGGCACAAATGGAATAGAAATCTTCTATACTCTCGCAACCATATGTCACCATGGACAAGGCTTTATCAAATTCGCGAACTGATTTTGAAGACAAAGCCTTTCCAACATCAAAGGATTTTGCTCTGCCTTGGAAAAGCTCCTAGAAAGTGCATCCATACGCATAGCCCAGTTAATATAAGAAGAGCTCACTGTAAATGAGTTCATATATCATTATATAGCGTTGTTATAAGCAATACCCAACCTTGTTTGCCAGCAGTATCTCAACTAATCCACCTGTAAGTTGTTGATCCAAACTAGTAGAATAAGGAGATGTCCGTGACCGTGTGGTCTCCTCAAGATCAAAAGGATTATCAATGCATACAGCAGCTGTAAGAGGTGATCTTTCCCCGGCTTCTGCCAGGTATTTTGTCAACATATTTGCACCATACCCGCGGCCAACAGCAGTAAGTGTCGTCCATGGCCTTGTCTTGGTTAAGAATCGCAAAGCTGTGGATACATCATCACTGTCACCAGCTGTAAATAACCTACAATCACGAAATTGCATGAGATCAAGATATACTCAAAGCACACAAGAGATAAGGAACCCATAAGAGTATCTAGTGTTAGCTCACCGAGGTGTAGTGAGAGGCGAACCAGCACAACCTCTAGGGTTCATGACCACAGGAAACATTCCCCGTCTCAGAGCTTCGCATACAAATGATCGGACGCCTTCATCCATACTGCCTTGCGGCGTTCCAGGTACGAAAATCACCGTCGTATCCATCCCACGCTCCTCCCTGATGTCTAAATTAGCCGGCCAATCAAGCGAAACAACGCCGCCGTCCTCAGTAGTGATACAAACTCTCTGATACTCCAACGGATTCTTCTCATCCGCAGCCGATACAATAATCTTCCCGGTATCCAAAGTAACGAAATGCCTCTCCTCTGTGAGGAGTCTATCGCTTAAACTGTCAGAATCATCATCAAAGGAGAGCAAAGAGCAACGAAGAAGAACAAATCTGTTAAACGGCGTAGGAGTGGTGAGAAAAATCCATTCCCCAACAACATCATCAACGATTCTAGTTCTATCACTAATCTCTAAAGACTTTCCAAACAACCTCGACGATAAATAAACGGCGAAGCCGGAAGCGAATCCGGCGACAGATGGAGCAAAGGAATCGAGAGGAACGCTGCCATCGAAAGGCGGAGGAAGAATTGACGATTTCACAAGGAACAAACTCCGACTCTGTCGTTTGAAACGAGCTCGTTTCCTGTGAAACACACCGAAGCCGTAAGAGCTGCGACGGAGCATAAACGGAGACGCGTTGGGTATGGGTACGGTGGTTGTTGTTCGGTGAAATTGAAGATAATTGCAAGACGAGTACATCTTGAAGAAGAAGAAGAATTTGGTTTTGTGAGGATAAAGTTTGTTTGTGAAGAAGAAGAAGAATAAGAAACTCTCAGAAGATTTGAGATTTTTTAAAATTTCTATTTGTTCTTCATTTTTGCCTTCTTCTCATCGTTCATGTCTTTATTGTGGTCTATATAATTCTCATTTCTTCTTAACACTACTAGATTTAACTACAAGTACGATAATACATAAATGGGGTATTTTTGTATCACTAAACAAGATTATGCATATTAACAAAAGTTTAAAGTTTTATAATCCCATCAAACGCTGCAGTAATAAGCCAAGAAGAACCCAATTATCTTTTAATGGGCTTTGATTTTATGCTATTATAAAAAAGTTCGTTATAGATAGGCCCACCATTATTGAAAGATATAGGAAGCAAATCTCAAACATAATCCACATATCCTAAGTTCAAGCATTAAGATAGTAGTAGAAGGAGATGAAAATTAAACCACTATGACAATGATAGTGAGTGTAACATTGTTTCTTAAGACCCATGATTCTTGTGATGGCAAAGTCTCAACACAAGTTGGTTGTGGTGTGGAGCCAAAGCTAATATTACAAATGAACAAAGTAAGAACGCCGAGTGAAGATCATTAGAGCAATGGGAATAACAAAGTTCCCAAATTTTACGATTTTTATTATTACCAAGACGTGGAACAACTTGTGATACATATTAAACTAGCAGCAAACATTATTAGCAATGACATATCCTAATTGACGTACGGTACCATCAGCTCATCATAGATGAAACAAAAGATACACACCAGACTTGGAAACTCACACCAAGACAGCTGTGGCACCAAGTGCTTTGAGCTTCTCCACGATCTCCTCTCCTTCTGCTTTTGATACTCGTGCTTTCACAACCCAAGGAGCCTTCTCCACCAAATTCTTCGCTTCCATGAGAGTCACACCTGTGAAACTCCTCACCTCCTTGATCGTCTTGATTTTCGAACATGCTTCAAATGACTCCAATCTAACATTGAACACAGTCTTCTCAGCTTTGATCACCACTCTCATTTTTGTTTAATTTCTCAGGTTTCCCTTTTTTATTTCTTGAAGAATTCTATACATTTCTATTGACTCCTTACATATACATATGTACTTCACACACGACTTGCTCTCCAAGCAATAATTGTACTAGAAGATGTCAGAAACAAAGCAATAATTGTACCTTACCATCTTTGCTTTCTTAACTCGAAATTGCTCTCCAAGCAAAAACATTGGGATTTTACATTTATTAGCCACAAGTTACACTGTTCACATCTTTCTATGTCGGTCTTCTCCATTAGGTTAAAAGCTCGTATCTCGAATACCATTAGAGATGATTTAAGGAACACAAAAACACATAAGGAACAGTCGAAGGGAACATATTATCTTAAAAGGTCAAAATGAAATCTCTTGTAACTTAATAGTAGTAACTTACACAAGTCTTTGACAAAAGAAAGTTTGAAAATCTAATAAACCAAAAAAGGTGGGTTAGAAGGGGCTGATTGATCATTTGGAAACAAGATTCTTTTTCCATGTATTAAAAACACATTTATGTGTATATATTTCTCCTATGCCCTTCTTTCTCGATTTTTCCTCATTCATCATGAGCTTTGTTAACCTCTTCACTAGTCTTCGATCCATCAGTCTTTGCTTCCTCAGTCTTTGATTCATCAAAGGCCATCAACTGCAAAACAATAACAAAAAAAAAAACAAGAAGAAACAAACCATAAGCTCAATAATCCTCTACAACAACCATAAACATGTTAAGCAAACACAAAGTAACAGGAAGGTCCTTCTGCTCTCCAATGACATTAATAAAAAAACTGAAAATGTTTAGACATATGTACATGTAAATGAAAATGTAAATAACAAAATCTAAGAGGAGAATACAAACCGGTTTGATGTCACCATTCCAAATGCAGTGAGAAGCCAAGAACCCAATTACGGCTGGGACAATGTATAACAAAGCAGGCTGAAACAGAGGCAAAACACAAGCCAAAACCCATCAGAGAAAATCCCAAAAATTACGTTACAACAAAATGGATGACAACAATTAAGACAAAAAAAAAAAACTGACCTGTGCTGCTTGAAACCAGTTCATGACTACAATCGTGAGGATAACACCAACAGCGTATCCGATAAATGCACTTGTGAAGTATTGTGGTTGTCTACGTCTTGACACATCAAATCTTAGAGCTAGTGCAACAAAAATACCTAAAGGAAAACAAAACCTAATGTCTCATATTCATATAATATCCCAAAACATGATTCAAGAATGCATAACCATAAGCTGAAATTTAGTTATTTGGTTAAGCAATAGAGGACATACCAGGAATGACAATGTCACCAAGCCCAAGCATAGAATAGGGTCTTAGAGCATCTCCGGTAGGGAACAAAAGCTGAAACATATATGTAACAAATGAGACTACTACTGACAAAAGCTCAACGAAAATGAAACTATAATTGTTTGATGTGAGCTTAGGAGGCATGTTTACTAACCTTTATCGGTGCATCAAAGGATTTGGCAACACTAACCATAACTGGAGTAAAGAAAACCCAGAAAATATCATAGAAAAATAGTCCTGCCTGCAATTCAAATTAAACAAGCACCAACCAATTGAGACATCTTCAGAAACTTGAATTTTCTTATCGTTCAATAATTCAAAACAAGTTTTTAATAATAAAATTCAAAAATGCGGTTCTTACCAAAAGGATGGCACCAGTCTTGAATGATCCAAGAGAGAGCATCTCAATTCCCTGTATTGGCCACACCGTTTATTAAAGACATACCCAACAGTAACGACACTGATTCCACTTCAATTTATGTGTTTATGTGTTTATGTGTTTATGTGTTTATGTGTTTATGTATTTTCAGAAGGAAGCCACGTAGTTTATGTGTTTCCAAATCATATTCTTAAGACTGGATGGGAAGGAACCTGAATGCAGAACGAAAGGCCGAGAATATTGTTAGCCAGCCAATGTTTTTTCCACGCATACCAAGCACAGAAGAAGGTTCCGGGGATTCCTGCAACAACTTGGGACTTGGTGAACTCTACCTCCAAAGCTGTTTAAGAAAAAAGGCGTCAGTAATAAAGGAAACCATTATTCAGCATTACACAAGCAAATATCAACCAAAAGGATAAAAACAATCACTGAAGAGAGTAAGAAGAGTAAAACAGGTTTGCAAACGGGACCAACACATAGGAGCTATCAAAGAACAATTTATGGTAAATCTTAGTTTCATACATTTGAAGTAGGGAAAACGCCAGATGATAAGATTGTCATTCCAAGGTTTAGGCAAAAATCTACTGATGGCTGGTAACAATGTCGCTCTGCAAAACACATAATTATGTCATGACTTGACCACAGATACATGAAAAGAAAAAGAAAAAACAGAAGCAGAATTATGATAAGACATACGAAAGAGCGACAATCCCAAGAACAAAGAAGTAAGCTGTTAGAACAGCATTGACCAAGTCCTTGGAGAGAAACTTGAACAATAAGAAAAGTGAGAGAAGCATAGCACTCCCAACCAATGGGAAACGCATAGCATGTTCTTTAGACATCGTCTCCTACATCATTCAAACAAACAAAACAAACCTTTTAGATCGACTTGGAGAACTGAATCACTGAAAAATCTAATAAAAGACATTCTGATTGCGACTTCTTCTTACCGTTGGAGGAGAATCCTTCACGGAACGAAAGCAACCAACGTAAACAGTGATACATGCCGTAAGGATAACATTCAAATTTGGATTTACTCTAACAACGAGTGGTGCCAATGTCAAACCTGCAACACAATAAAAAACCTCAATTTTGAATCTTGACACCATAATCAAAAACATATGAATCACACCCACCAACCCTAAACCCTAGAGAAACCAAACTAATACGAAACAAAACCAAAACCAAACAAAAAAATTGCATATTTCCAACAAATTCTCAGAACAATCCTAAAACCAAGAAAGTTAACAACTTCATAACCAAAATCGCAAATCAAAAGAAACCCATCACATGATCGTATATATATAAAAAAAACCCGATCGAAATCAAAATTCACGAGACGAATTGAAACAAATCAAACGAGTGAAAGAGACAAAGAACCTGCGAGAGCGAGATTCGCAAATCTCTCACAATTCTTCATAATTGCTTCTCGTGTTTCGTATTACTTCTGTAAACTCTGATGAATGTGTATGTATATAGAGAGAGAAGAGAGAAGAGAGAGATCCAGTGATGTGGTGGGGTCAAAAAAGATAAAACTTCCACCAGATCTGTTAAAAAACTTAAAATAAAAAAGAAGATGAAGACGAAGAAGAAGAGAGAGTAAGGAAAGAAAATTATGATACTCGAAGACTACGAAAGTTACGGGACTGTGACTTAGTTATGTGACAGACGTATATTACTGGTAACATTCACGTGTTTATGACATTACGCTCGAATTATATTGGTTGATTAATTGAAACATTCATCACCACATCATAAATGTGTATTTTGTTTTCTTGTTTTGAGGTAAGTCAATTAAAAAAATAAAAAATGTAACCGATACTCTTCTACTTCAACTGAAAACAAAAGTGCTAAACAAAAAATCATCAATGTTAAAAAAATCTAAGACCAAAAATTAAATTTATGGAGATTTAATAATTAAAAATTAGTCTAACTTTTCTTTTTTGTATATATTTTTTTCCATATTTAGTCAATGTAAAAATATTCTCTTACATATACAGTTTTAGGAAAAATTCTTGGGTTCACCCCTAGGGGTGAACCTATCTCATTCACCCCTCTTAATTAACCAATCAAAATATAATAACGTGCCATGTCATTTTCTATTTAAAAAATAAATCAAAATTAAAATCATAAAATAAAACAAATTAAGGAAACAAATTCTGTAGGATTTTTATTTAGGAAATTTTATTTGGTTTGGGTTTATAAAATAATGGTTAGGGTTTAGATTTTATAAATAGATGAATTTATTTTTTTGTTTGGGTTTATAAATAGTGGTTAGGGTTTATATTTTCTAAATAAACAAAATTATATTTCGGTTTGGGTTGATAAAATAGTAGTTAGAGTTTAGATTTTGTAATTAAACGAAATTATATTTTGGTTTGGGTTGACAAAATAGTGGTTATGGTTTAGATTTTGTAATTAAACAAGATTATATTTTGGTTTGGGTTGATAAATTAGTACTTTAGGGTTTAGATTTTATAAATAAACTAAATTATATTTAAGTTTAGGTTAATAATATAGTGGTTAAAATTTAAAGTTTGTAATTAATAAGATAAATTATTTTAATTCATTTAATTAGATGACATGGCTAATTTTGATTGGTTAGCTTAGAGGGGGTGAATGAGATAGGTTCACCCTAGGGGTGAACCCAAGAATTGTTCCAGTTTTAGTATTTTTTTCTGTTTTAGTAAGTTTTACAAAAAGAAATCAATTAGATGACTAAACCAAAAATTTGACTTTAGGGATGATGGTAAACGGAAAGAAAAGATGGGAGCCGATCGTGTCTGACTCTTTCAGTTTCATCTAGTTTTGTTCTTTCTGGTTTTTAAAATACATGAAATTGTTACATTGATTATATTAAAATACATGAAATTCAACTATAGTATTATATATCATACCATTAGAACAATTGGCTGCAAGTTAAGAGACCCAAGTGGCCAAGTACGTAGAACATGAACATGATGTGCAGCAAAGACGTGTCTGAGTTCGAAACAATGCATTAAAACCCGTGGGAGTGAAAAGTTAAAACCTGTCGTTCTAAATCTTCCACGATTTTGTTTCAAGAACTTCCTGCGTTTATACATTCTCGAGACTCAAAAACAAGCCCAAAATCCTCTTTTTTCTTGGATTCCAAAAAACTCCCCAAGTATTTTATCCCGAAATCTAAGTGTTTCAAACATAGAACGATAACCTTTTAGATTCTTGGTGATCAATAAACTCGGTTTCTTCTTGGGAAGTTCAAGTTCAAGTTCTGCAACATTAGGAAAAAAAAAAAAAAAGACATTATCAAAGTGAATCTCTATGCAGTTTGCAAGTAAGTTTGGTGACCATAAACATAAGAATTTTATGAGAATCATACCACTTGACTACTATAGTCTTCATTTCCAGCAAATGCCATGGAGCCATGAGAATGGTTCTCGCTTTTTCTGTGCTTAGGCTTGCTCAAAGTCTCTGTAGTTTGAGAGATATAAGGAAAGAACGTTGGAAGTAAGACAAGACCACGATCCATGTCGAATACATTGGCTCTTAATCGCAACATCACTTGCGTAAGAGCTTTGATTGCTGCATCAAGACTTCCTGTTATCTAAAGCCCAAGAAGAAGAAAAACATGGTGTTAAGATAAGTCTCTCTAAAACACACAAAACTGAGAAGCATTAAGCGATAAAGGGTCAAGATTTTATAACCTGGACCATCTCCTCGTCCTCAACAGCAATTCTTGGTACATCTTCGCCTTGAAAAATGCGGATATTTGCTTTTGTGACACTCCTCATCTCAGATATAAGAGCTCCGCCTTTTCCAATGAGACACCCTACTTGTGAACTAGGAACAAGTATACGAGTGGAGATTGCAGAATCACTTGAATCTTTCCCCACATTCTCACTGCATCGTGTTTGTAAGCGTAAGGCTGCAATCACAGTTGGGGATTGATCTTCGAAGACCTGTTTGTATATAAATTCGGGTCAACATTTCACATATTGAAAATGAGATTCTCATTAAGAAGAGAAGGTCACCTCATTTGATGATATGTATATTATGCAATCATCATCTTCACCAGTTTTTGAGGTATCGACTTTGATGGTGGCACCAGATTCTTGCCTAATCTGATTGATGAAACAGCCGCCTTTTCCTATTACACCTCCAACATTTTCAGCTGGACATATGAAGGAGATAGAAAAAAGTCTCGCATCAGCGACATCCCTTGGCGCAGAATAATTTTTGTGAGAGCTTGTTAGTGCAGGACTCATTAGAATTCCACCGTGCTGATGCTGCGGGGTACTAGAGGAAGAGAAAAAGTAGTTCTGAAATCGCGACGGATTCTCATAAAGTAGAGAAGCAATTTGGTAAAGAGCTTCTCTAACAGCAGAGGGATCTCCAATTATCTGAAAGTCAACCAACAACATTCATAAGGTAGATATCAGAAATACAACCACAGTAACTCTTCAGCTGGAAAATTTTCTTAAAAGACAGTTTTGACAGTACCTGAAGAAGCTCATCATGACTCAAAGCCAAAGCACAAAGAGGCAGATTATCACTAATAACACGAATTTGAGCATTGGTTTCATTACGCAGATTTTGGATAACTTGTCCACCTTTCCCAATAAGGCAGCCAATTTGATCCGAAGGCACAAGCATCCTTGCAGTAACAACAGTCTGTTTCTCGCTATACTCATCATCGTCATCATCATCATCATCTTCAAGCTCCTGTCCCACAATCATATCATGAACCTTGAAAAGAGCATCAAAAGCAGGACAAACAAAGTCCTCATCATCTTCAATACGATTCGTCTCCTCACTTGTAGAATATATAGTAACAACACGCTCGTCACAACCGGGTAAAGCCTCGTTTATCCTCATGTTTGCTTTCGTCTCAGCCCTTATCTGCTTTGCAATCTCACCACCTTTACCAATAATGCTCCCTGCTTTTCTCACAGGACACAAGTAACGAAACACAGTATCTTCGAATCCAACACCATTATCATCTGTATCATCAGAAGGAAATTAAAAAAAAGAAAGATCTCATCTCTTACTTCCTCCGTTTCGAGTAACATCAAAATTTGAAATAAAAAACAACTAAATCAGATCTCGTACCATAATCACTCCTCGGATAAGCCATTCTAGTGAGACAAATACTCGAAATCACAACGCTGAAGAACACAAGTAACACAAAATTAGGGTTTATATTAGGTTACAAATAAGCAGCAGAAACAAACTTTCGTAACTTAGAAGACGACTTCGTTTCTCTATAGATAGATTTTAAGAAACCTAATCGACGACGATCGATACGCAAAATCAGATTCTCACGCAACCGACCGATAAAAACTTGATAGCACACTTGAACATTGCTATAAAACGGAAAAAACGTAAATAGGAAACTCTTACCGGAGAATGAAACAACCGATGATCGATTAACCCGTCTGTATAGCCGTCGTCTCGCCGGAAAACGCAACGGCCTCTCTCCCTCTTTTACTAGCTTTTGGAATTTGAAATTGAAGAAAAGATCAAAACTCAAAAGAGTAATGAATGAAGAAAGAAGAAGAGAGAGTCTTTGGGCTAATTGTGGTGGGCTTTTTTTCAATAATTCTTATATCGTGACAAGATGTGTAGCATTTATTTAAATGAGCCATATTTCAAAATTCTAATATCTCGGTCAAACCATGAAATACGTTAACCATCCAAAAAAAAATATTTGTCTACTACACAAAAGATCAACAATCAGTTTTAAAAAATGAACGTTGTAAAAAAAATAAAAAATTGAACATGATTAAATGAGGAAAAAAATGTATTGATACGAGTCAGATAAGTATATACACATGTTGTGGCTAATCCAAATTAACAGTACACTAAAATGATGTTTCATGTGTGTGTAATCTTGATAAATTATTTGAACCTTTAGACTTTAGTAATTTTCCTAAAATAAGTGATAAAAGAAAGTATTAATCAACTTTTTAATGTACTAATGATAACCCTTGATCATATATATCCAGTTTATTTTTAACATACAATAGTTTTTATTCAAACAAAAATATAATCATAACATAAATGGAAAAAGAGCATGTAGATTTCAATTATACACCATTAGATCTTTATTTAAATCCAAATTTATGCACCAAATAGGTACATGATAGTGTGTTTTCGAAATATCATTAAATTTAATAATTTTCATCATCGTACTAGGAAAATGGGATTATGAGAACATACATGATTGATGTATGCTTTGAACTATATAAACTATTTATCTTTTTCATTCTCCTCTTGTATAGTCCTTTATGTTTAAATATCCTTTCCAACATTAAAAATAGAAGAAGGTGAGAGATTCGGGAGGAAAGATTTTAGAGTTTAGTAAATGAGAGTGAAAGCGAGAAAATGTGGGAATTAAGACTAAGAATAAAAACCAAAAGAAAAAATTGGTTTGATTCTTAGCAATAGAAATTCCAACAATTTCTTAGCAATATACGAGTACCAATATATATTAGAACAATGGGATTTTGGGGACATTTTTGTATCCAAAAGTTATAAACAAGTTATCTCTTACACATACCAAATATTTCACATTTTAATTTTTTTCAAAAGGTTTATACTATTTCAGTAAACAGACCGATTTTGGGAATACCCAATATTTTTAATACAAAAAAAAAAATTCAGATATTTCGAGGGACAAATTCAAACTCACAAAGTTATTAAAAAAAAAAGAAACAATATTCTCTTTTCAAACACATGTGCCTCAAAAAACTCCCAAAATTAAAAATAAAAAAGTGTTTCCTTATGTCCGCTTTGTACAATATTATATTGATTACTGGTGATATGTTTTTAGGAAAATGAATTTTTTTTTACAGAAAAAATGAATTAAAAAAATATTTTGGCTGTGAGAAAAAAAAATCTAAAGCATATAAAACTGATTGGATCTATTTTATATATTTAGAAAATTATTTACTATTTTAGAAAATGCTTCGTAAAGTAAAGCATTTGCCAATCAAACCCTATATAAGTTATCAATTTCTAATATATCCAATTGGTTACTGGGCCGAGCCTCCTCTCGAATGACATTTTGTAGGAACGGAATTTTTCTTTTTGGCAAGTTTTGATGTTGTTTTATAAATTTTACTACAAAAACGCCTTGGCCAGTAATAAGGCTGAAAAGTCAATACATAAACAATATGAAAAAAAAAAAAAAAAACTGTTTCGATCATAAACTGATACAATCATAAAAATGTTTCATAATACATTTTGTTTACCTTATTTTTACTATATATATTTAGGCTTACGTTAAATCACACTCTTATATTATATTCTTGGAGACTAAAAAGTTCAGCTAGTCATGATACCAATCACCACATTTGCAACTTTTTATTCTTGTTGGAATTTATTATTTAATAAGATAAATCAATTTTCATAAATATGTATAGCGAAGCCTGCTAAATTTACTGTCGGCAGTGGGCTTACTCACGGTCACGGACCCATATTGCTGAAATTTTTATTAATTTTCAAATTAGTTGTTTTTCTCATAATATAATTTATTGTACCTTTTGTATAAAGTAACATTTTAATTTTACTTTAGGATTTCGAATATATTAGATGGAAAGTGTGTCTCAAATCTTTATAATCAGACAATTATATAAAGTGGAATTTGTATTAAACAAACAGAAGAATATTAATTAGAGATCACTCAGAAAATTATAGGCTATATGAAGGGATCACTTGTTTTTTACATTCATTAGAAAATTCTGTGAAAATATTGAGGTTAAATAAAACTATTTGAAGACTACTGTTGAGTTTTGCGAATCACACATTCATTAGAAGGAAGTATAAACATACATAATTAGTCGGAATGAATGATATATAAATTCTTGTATAGATAACTCGACTAACGATTTCTTAAAGCACAAAACATAATTAGTTGGAGACATAAGACTTTTATGAATTCAAGCTTTTTACACGACATACTTTGCTTTATCCATGTTATTGTAGGCATCTACTAGGAATAGGTGTCGGCTTATTTTAGTTTTTGCAATAACGTATGCATTGTTTGTGTTTTATTAATCGACATGCCATACCATAGTTAGTGACAATTCAATCACAAATTATCAGAAATGCATGCTTTGGCCATTTCGTTTGATCAGTTGTGACAATACTTCTTCTGTTTCACCTAAAATTCGTATTTATATTTTTATTTTCCTAATTGAATTTGAGTCGGTAGTAGAACTAAAAAAAAAAAGTTATAGCTAAATTTTGAAAGCATTTGAGATTTTTCATTAGATTTGTTGGTTACCACGTCACTTTCGGATTTAGTGGAATATGATTCGAATGTTAGAATCATTAAACGAGAAAATTAAGAATTGACAATCACCCTGTAATGAACAAGGAAGATATACATCTTATCAAAGAGAAAAATGGTAAAGCCTAATACAAAAAGATCAACTAAAATGTTGGGTTTTAATTTAAGATTAATCGTATCTTAAAGACGACCTTACAGCTAAGCTGCATGGAATCGGAAGCGGGTACGCAGAAGCGGAAACGTTAGTAAGCGCGAAAGCGATTTTTTTTGAAAATATTAGGAAGCGGGTACGCGTTGGAAGCGTCTATATAAACATATGAAATATATATATATATATATATATATATATATATAATATTAGTTGAATTAGTCTTCAAAACAAAATTAAACAACTTAAGTTTGTAAATTACTAATCAGAATCAAAATTACAAAACATATATTATAATTTTAGTGTCTTGAATTTTTTCTTAATTTGCAAGTGTATAATATTAATATGTAATTCAACCAAAGGTATTATTTTCAACAAGGATTGAACTGATAGAACCAAAACAATTAACCACGTTAAAATGAGAGGTGGAAAGGTTAAAGCTCCAGCAAAATTTAGATATTTTCTATTTATTTTAAAAATAAAATTAAATAGAATCTGTTTACAATGAAATAAAAACAAGTGGGTGAAGAATAATGAATTGGGCTTATAAAACGCACGTGAGAGAGAAGTAATTCATCTTCTTCTTCCTTCAGGTCTGGTTTTACAAAACCAAAAGAAAAAAACCCGATTACGATTCCATTTATTCACTTTCACGCTTCCAACACAGAATCGACGTTTCCAAAACGTTTCTAATTACCATTTTTTGAGAAACGCGTTTCCTTTGCGATTCCAAGCGCTTCCGGACGCTTCCGCTTCCGATTCCGGTTCCGAAGCGGGAATCGGTGCTTTACCCACGCTTCCGTGCAAGGTAGCCTTAGAGTCTCGTCGTATCTCTCGTGACACCTACCTTGTCCCTTATCTTTTTTCGTGACCATGGTGGACATACATTTTTTTTTTTTTTTGATAAACCTGATCTCCGCTCAGCTCTGGAAGGATCACACCGAAGTGCTACAATGTGGACTCGTCGCCAATACGTAGGTGTTGGGCTACCACATCGCCTGAATCCAGATTAACGTTTTCTGACTAATGTCCGGAAGTAATCAGGCCGCCTACATTTCTGATTATTAGGTAAACCAATTGGGTATAAGCCCACCTGACATACTTCCCACAAAGATGGTGTTAACAGCAAAGCGGAAAATCGAACTCAGGTTGTGGGAGTTGCACCCTTTCTCCAAGATCCCCTACCACTAGCCCACCACCTCTTGGGCATGGTAGACATACATATGCGCATATAGTAAGAAAGCAAAACAAACTAGACAAAATAAAAAATAAAAATTATTGAGGATCATATTCAAATCACTTAAATCTTCAAATTACTTTTACATGAAGCACAACAACAAAAACTAGATCAAAAATTCAAATTATAGTTTATGGATTAGAAAATGAACTTTAAAACAACATAAATATAGGTTGATAGTTTAAACATTGCACTTGTATTTTAAACGTACGTAGTAGTCTAAGAAAATAACATGTTCAGATTTGTAAACGTAATTATGAAATTACAATGGAAAATTGTGAATAATAAAATTTATAATTCTAAACTCAACTCGAAATTACCATATGATCAGTTGAAATAAAATAACGTGTTTTATGTTATTGTCATTGATTATCATCATATACAACCGTCGTTTGAATAAATTAGACTACTTTGTGTGTTTTGATTAATGAATGGTCTTTATAACTTGACCACTCCAGTTTCCACGAGGAATGAAACAAAAGTGATAGTCATGCATGTGCTTTAATCATGATTAGTACATAAACTTTTTCTCCAATTATTAAACATGATTCTTTAGGCTTAATAAAACACTCGAGGTAACTAATATAACTGTCGGTAGCTTCAAGTTACCCTAAACTTGATGTTAATTAAACCCATCATTACATCAAAAACTAAAGCTAGGCTGATGAACTCAAGAGCAATGGCAATTTGGCAAATGACACAGAACACATCTGGTGTGGTTTTATGCACTGTGCAGACAACGAATCATCTGTGCTCGTGCAACATGCGATGAATCGTAGCCGTTGAATTTATAATGTTTTATCAACGGTGAAGATAAAAGCTTTGAAAAAAGTGTTTAGACAATTACCTAAAAAGAAGAGGAGAATACCAAAAGGCTGCCTTTGGAAAAATCTTGAAATGTAGTTGAACGGTTGGTAGTCGTTAAACCTCTTTTTATTATCTTTTGTAATTACTTTATTATAATTATAAAAATTAGAGGTCAATTACCATATTATGAAAATATGAAAAGTGGTTTATTACAGAATCACCAGTCAAAGCACATAGCCGGACACCACAGTAAAAAAAAAACATAAATGTCAGAGAAAAACATGGGTTGTAATTAATATATTCACTTTTAAAGAGGAAAAAAAAACAAATTTGGGAATTGAAGACTCTGCAAAATACTGCAAGGGAAGAGCAAACGAACTTTCACAGCTTTTGAGGAAGTCATTTTTGAATAAATATTTTACGAATTTAGTATTATTGAAAAGAAGATGAAAAAATGTTTTGACCACATTGGAACTAGTGAGTGATTCTGGTTCTTGATTAGGGTTTAGTGATAAAAGAAAAATCCTAACTAGTATTAAAAAACAAGATTAATCTTCCAAAAATCACGGTGTTAATGACTAGGCTCACCAGACAGCAAATCATAGTAAGATATCGTTAACTGTGTGACGCAGCATTGGAAAAGATACGATTAGTATTTTTAAATACTAGTACTGTTTGCATGCTTTATGCCTTAATGTGTTGTCAATTATTCTAAAATTTATATACCCAACCTCGCTGGTTTAGAATTAATGACTGGTTTTTTTCCTAATCTTACATGTTTATATTGATTATAGTACATATATGCTGCTGAATTCATATATATGTATAAAAGTATTTCCAACCTATCTTTATATTATCTCTATATAGTAAAACTTCTATAAATTAATAATGTTGGAACCATGAAAATCTATTAATTTATAGAGATATTAATTTATCGATAAATTATTAATTTATAGAGAGATATTCCTAATTTAGAAAATATTTTCAAAACAATATTTAAAAATAAGATTTAATCATGATAATTAGTATTTTATATAATCAATTACAAATAAAATAATAATTATTATGTATTAAAAGAAAATGCTAACTATTTTCATATAGTAAAATATTAGAAATAAAATCTAACAAAAAATTAATGTGTCTATATATACATATATTTTGAAAATTTTACCTAATTATTAATTTATAATATTGATGGGACCATATATTACAAAGGATTTTCGAAAAATTATTATCTTATTAGTTTATCGAAATATATCTAAAATTACACTAGTCCCAACTTGGTACCGGAGAAATTTATTAATTTATAGAGATTATTAATTTATCGAGTATTAATTTATAGAAGTTTTACTGTATTTGTTTTTAAAATATAGTATAAAAGCAAATATGTTCTAACCCACGTCTATTTTTATTTGTAAAATAGAATTTTCTATTATTTTTTCTATATAGAAAAAATACAATTTCTCTATATAGAGAAATATATTGGAATAAAACTTACTTCTATTTTAGAAGGAAAAAAAACAAAATACATTAGAGATGGTATAGGAAGGAAATTCAGTATTCATATATATAATTAAACTCTTTGATGACAAAAAAAAAACTCTTTAATTTCTGCACGAGCATATATATATATATATATATATATATATATAAATATATAATCATGAGTATACATTTTTTTCATATTTCAAAGCTAGCCAAGCGTAGAGAGCATCTTCAGAAGTAAATAAACATACATCACATACAGTCTGATCTCACTTGGAACACTTGTGTGGTTGTGTCTTTTACGAACCTTCCAATGCTCAAACTAAAAAGCTTTGGAAATATAAGCCGAAACAATTACATGTTTTTATTTGTTCTTTGTTTTTTTTTTTGGTGTTTGTGTTCAAATCCTTCACTATGTAAGTAAGTAACCCTATTATGCATGTTCAAATCCCTCATGAGATGTATTGAGATATTTACAGGATCTATCCCAATCCCAACATGATTCAAATACCCAAACCAGTGGTTTATGAACAACTAAGTTGCCTCTCTATCTTTAATTTTATTTTGCAAAAACTAACATGTGTTGACACGGCTAGTTTTTTCTAAACACATATATAACCAAAGCCAGCATGCATGGTAATTAGATTGGTACATATCTTATGAACTACATTAAGAAATGCACATAATATATATACATCCTATATGCATGAGTATATCTAGAAGTGTCTCTCGACCGATGTTAATGCTACATAATGAAAAAAATTATTGTATTAACCCACACTAATATATACAAGTAATGCTATAAATATTGAATAGTGCATGCATGGCCCATATGGATTAGTAAAGGAAGAAAGGTGTTGCAGAAGAAAAAAGTCACACGCTTCCAAAGTTTCCAAACCATCGACGACCCTCCCATGTGCACTCTCTCTCTCTCCCTCCACTCTCACACATTACCATATTAGTTTTAAGTGATGCTCGTGATTGTTTTATTTCAAAAGTTTTCAGCTATCTACTTTTTTTTTATATTACAAACTTTATTTTAAAATTACCTCCTATGCAATAGAAATCATCACACGAAAGAAAAGAATCCAACTTTTTTTCTTATGTTGTTTTGGTGTAAAAAGAAAGAATCGAGCTTTCGTAAAGTTTAAGCATTGATAAATACCTCAAAGTTTTTGAATGTCTGAATTTTTTTTGAAAGTTTAAAAAAATTTAGTTGAAAGATCAAAGTTGATGACTCCTATAGGTGAAAAACAGTAAATGAGTATAAAAATAAATGTGAAGTTATTGTCAAACCTATTGAACAGGTGAACAAGCCAACAAATGTAACAAAACATTTAATGTTCTGTTTTTTTATAACCAGGTTTCAAAATATATGTATTTTTTTGCTGCAAAAATAATAACTTCACCATTGAAACCTTAAATAAAACCTTTTTTTTTTCTTGCAGAGAAAGTAGAACGAAGATAAAAATAAAATAAAAAGTAAAAAATAAAAATAAATTAAACCTAGGGAAGACAGTTAAAGCAAAGGGGTCAAAACATTCTATAAATTCAACTTCAACCATCAGCCTTCTTCTTCACTCCCATCAAAGCAAACCTATCTCTCTCCTTCACATTCTCTCACTCTCCAAAAAAGCTCTGCACTTTCTCAAAGAGAATGTTCATGTAACTCATCTCTCTCGCTCTCTTTCTTTCATTTACACTCTCTGTCTTGGTGCGTATTGTCAAGAGTTCTAACTTTGTTTGAATATTTTGTTCAATTGCAGGGGAAAGATGGGTCTTTTGGGAATCTTGGTGTTGTGTTTTGCTGCAATGGTGTGCTCTGTTCATGGCTATGACGCTGGATGGGTCAATGCTCATGCTACTTTCTATGGTGGAAGTGACGCTTCTGGAACAATGGGTATGTGTGTGCTCTGCTTATAGCTACGTTCTCTTGAAAATGCTTCTATGAAAACTAAACTTTTGAAAATTTACAATTTTGTTAATGTTGTTGTCTCTAGGTGGAGCTTGTGGGTATGGGAATCTCTACAGTCAAGGATACGGAACCAACACTGCAGCGTTAAGCACAGCTCTGTTCAACAACGGGCTTAGCTGCGGCGCGTGTTTCGAGATCAAGTGCCAGAGCGACGGCGCGTGGTGTTTACCTGGTGCTATTATAGTCACGGCCACCAACTTCTGTCCTCCCAACAACGCTCTTCCTAATAACGCTGGTGGTTGGTGTAACCCTCCGCTTCACCATTTTGACCTTTCACAGCCTATCTTCCAACGCATTGCTCATTACAAAGCTGGTGTCGTCCCTGTTTCTTACAGAAGGTAAATTATCATACATTTGATCTGTCATAAAGTCTTAATCGTTTCACCATATGTTATCTCGTTGCTCTGTTTCTTAAAGTAGTTCTCAGTTTTCTCTTGAAAGTTTCAATCTTTACTCAAATTTTCTGACTTGTGTAGGGTTCCGTGCAAGAGAAGAGGAGGTATAAGGTTCACAATCAACGGCCACTCTTACTTCAACCTCGTATTGGTGACCAATGTTGGAGGTGCTGGAGATGTACACTCGGTAGCGGTTAAAGGTTCAAGAACAAGGTGGCAACAAATGTCAAGAAACTGGGGACAGAACTGGCAAAGCAACAATCTTTTAAACGGTCAAGCATTGTCCTTTAAGGTTACTGCAAGCGATGGTCGAATCGTCGTCTCTAACAACATTGCTCCAGCTAGTTGGTCGTTCGGACAAACCTTCACAGGCCGTCAATTCCGTTGAACTTGTCTCATTTTGGTACAAGTCGGTTCGGTTCTTATATAGTTTTAGAGTTTGTGTAGTGGTGAGGAAAGAGAAGAGACAGAGATAAAGAGGGTTTAAGGCTTTTTAGGGTTTTAAGAGGAGAGCCTTGAAAACTTCTTCTCTGACTCTTGAGGGGTAAAAAATGGAGAGAAGAGCTTATATTAAAAGGGCTCTTTTAGTCATTTTAAGGATTAGGGTTTTAGTGAAGTTTGGTATTTGAGTAGTAGTAGTAGTAGTAGTAGTAGTAGAGTGGTGTGTGTTCGTTCTTAAAGGGACCTCTATGTTTCACCAATGGGTTCCTTTGTTTTTATCACTTTTCTTTTTTTGCCTTTTTTCTGTCTTGTGGTTTAAAAAAAGCAGAAGTGGGTAGGGGCAGAGGAGGAATTTCACCTCCCGCCTTGTTGTTTTTTTTTACTTTTACTTCTTGGGTCGTGTTTTTTGTTGTTTACGTTAATCAAGTTGTAATGTAAGGGTTTGGTTAAGATCCAACTTTACACCTATGGGGTTTCTTAAAGTGTTTTGTTTACCAGACTAAGAATTTTATATTTATTGTGTGATTTCAAGTTTATTATTGATTTCATTGTTCTGCACATTAATATCCTTGAACATAATGAACATTCAAAGACAAAAAGTAAATGAGAAAAATAATGGCTAGTTTGATTATGAATATTTCTAGGAAGGATCAATGAATAATAATTATAAAAACTTGAATTTGAAACTTTAGAAGCTTCTTTGGGTAATGAAAATGTGGCTGAGCATATATATACACCATTCTGACGAAGAGAACATATGTTAATCAATGCCCATGTGGATTATATACAAATTTCTAAGTAAGAATCAACAAATAATGAAACCGCAAAAACACTAATAAGTATCCCACATCGAAATAATTAAAAAGGTGACCTACGTGTTTATAGCTTTATATTATTATGATCAGAAAATTTTGGTTGTTAATAATGAAAAACTAAAAACCTAACATAATGATATAACTATCCTATTTTTATGGTATGCAATGGTCTAATAGGGAAAATATTTCCATAATGATATAATCAAGAATGTTAAAATTTCATTTGTTTGCAGGTGACTATCAATTATCATGATACATGAGTGTGTTTGTCATGCTTTGTATTGTAAGGGAATGGGCTTGTGGAGGATGTCGACTTGCAATAAAATCAAGAATTATTATATGCTAATATGGTTTATTTGATTTGGAATTTACTAGTCTAAATGGTAAGAAGAATATATTTATAAAATTCTGATAAATATGAAGAAAGGAAAAACCATAAAATCATGAATTAATATTTGCTGAAAAAACTAAAACACGTGTAAAAACGTAATAATAATATCATGTAGTCATGTACTGAGAAAATGAATTGTGTCTCGTTATAGATGAAAAGACGGTGAAGGAGGAAACAAGATGCAAAAGCTGTATTCCACACACCACAGTATTCAAATCTGTTATTAAAGAGACATTTCACAACTCTCTACTTTGTCTCCTTTACCTATCTGTCCGTCCGTTTCATTGCCGAAGCTGTCGTCTATTGCTATGGCTTGGTCTTTGTTGTTGTTGTTGCATTTACTTTGATGACAATAGTGTTATTGTACAGAGAGAGAGAGAGAGACAAGAGAATTTTGCACGTCCCACGCATTTGTCAGATTCTTTTCTTGTTTTTGAAGCCATTTGTCAGATTCTTCCCGGAGACTTTTTTACATGTTTAAGCATTTATAGTTTTTTTGGTCAATCTCATTCTTTAGCTTTACTTACCACTTGCTATAGCTAGTTTTGTAGTTTTAAGTAATCAGTATTGGGCTATCATCATTATATTATCATTTCGTAACTTGTACTTTCTTGAAGGGTTTGAAACTCAGTTACATCTCAACACTTAGGATACAACTATAGATTATTGGGTTCAGTTCTACTGAATTTTGTGCAAATTGGTATTTTACCAAAGTACTTTACCTTCGCTAAAACGTTTTTAAAGAAAGTTATGCTTTGTATGGATGCATATTTTTGTAGAGTTTTTTTTTTGCGCTTTTTTTATAACAAACTTTTGATAAAATTTATAGATTTATCATTTTTGAATTACAAAAATACAGTTAAACATGCATTTTTTTTTGTTATATTTAGGTTTAATATTTATTATAAAGCATGAGTTTTAGTAAAAAGAATTATAAATATTGACATTTTAGGTGTTTAAGGTCATCTTTGTAAAAATTGTTCTAAAAGATTGATATTTCGATCCCTTTATTCTTAGAGAAATTATGATGTATACAAGTTTTAAATCAGTTTAAACCCAAGTATGTAAAATATGAAAATATTAGTAGTTGACAAAAGATATTGTCAGAAAATTAAATAGCTATCGAGTCGCAGTTTTTGAGCTAAAGAGGGCTTCATAGACACGTCGCTGTCTCGAGTCCCGTGTACAACAGAAACGCGTCTACGTTTTGTCTTGTACCCATCAACGGCGTCGAGATGTCCACGTCTTTGGCATGTGTCGTATTCTCAACAAACTTGTCAGACCCAAATCGATTCTCGACCGTTCGATCTCTGCTTCACGTTTTAATACAGAACAGAAGTGACAAAGTATTGTGAAGTACAAAAAAAAACTTGAGACATTGGCGTGTTTGTGTATCAATGTATCTTTCTTTTCAAGTTTAGAATGGTCCAGACCCAGGCCCATATTGGTACTACAAAAGCATAGGCCTTATGCTGATTACAAGCCCAAATCATTGGAAAAAAAAAAGAGGATTATTGAGGAGGATTCTGGTGCCTTTGTTGTGCGTTTTGCATCATGTTATTAGGCTGTAGACTCTGCTGATTCGTCTGCATATTTCCATAGCCTCCTTGTTGTTGCTGCTGCTGCTGCTGCTGTTGTTGTGGTTGCTGCGTTTGTGTTTGCTGCGTTTGCATCATTCCGCTGCTGTTAAACACTGCAAAGACAGAACAAATGAAGTATTGGGTGCATTGGTTTTAATTTAAGAAAGTAGTGTTTTAGAAGACTTGTCTACTTACTCTGGTCACCCAACATTTGAGAAGAATGGCTTCTTTGGGGATTCGTACCAGAAACTCCAAATTGCTGAGAACAATGTAAATTCATAGAGATCAGATTAAGACGATCTTGTTTGGATTTCGAAAAACATAGTGACGAAGAGGTTTTTTTGAGCTAACCTGCATTCTAGGAACAAGTGTCTGAGATTGCATAGATGACATGTTTGGTATCTAGAGTTCAAGAAAAAAAGTCAAAACCAAATCAAGTAAGCACAACATATAATTAGTATTTAGTTTTAAATTCAGCGATTCAAGAGGTTTAAAGAGAGGTGACTGACCATTTGGCTACTTGGGGAGCCTTGTGCAGAAGTAAACAATGCACTATTCGCACCACCTGAAAACTGGTTTAAGTGACGGTTCATCGCTGGATTGAGCTGTCCTTGAGACATGCTATGCTGAATATGTCCACCTGAGAGCTGTCTAGCTTGAAATTGTTGGTGCGCAGCAGCCATTGGCTGGGAATATGACATTTGATGTTGCCCATGTAACTGAAATATAAGATAGAACTCAACTCAAACCACTTAACAAGACAAAAGCTTGTATCATTTGATTCTACTGTTTGAAACTATAAACTCTCAGAACCATATATAAAAGCTTCTGCAAAAGATCTAGTATAATTTTCAACAGTATTAATTATTTACTTGGCATATGTAAACTTGCATACATACGTCTTGTCCTCTTCAATTATGGCCATAACTACTACACAGCGATTTTAAACAATTGACAAAGGTTGGGTATGATTTTTTTTTGTATCACATAATGCAAACCTCATAGCCTTAATATGTTTAAGTTCCATCTCTATGAAGAATTTACCGTCTGAAACTTCTGCTGAGATTGTCCATGCAAATCGTGAAGTGCTGGTATCTGGCTCTACTCAGAGAATTAGCGTGTTGCCTGAGAAAGCAGTATGGCAGGAAAAAGAACTATCAACTGCTACGTAAGCAAATGTCCAAGCATACCTGACCCAATCCCTGCATAGAAGTTTGTCTGAGCTGTTGTTGTTGTGCAAGTAGTTGCTGCTGATGTTGAGGCATCTGCATTAACTTTGCCCTTTGCTGCTGTTGAAGCTGTTGTTGCTGGATTTGTTGCTGAGGTGAAGGTGCATTAACCATACCAGTAGCGCGAGGAGAATTGGAATATGGTAAGGGAGATGCTGTGTTATCAAAGTTAGGACCAGATGGAGATGCAGCTGATCTTCCCATAAATTGTGTTCCAGAAACCTAAAAACACTTAAAGACATAAACCTCCGAAGACAATGATAACAAAAGTAAAAACTATCACAACTAGAGAGAATAAACTAGCTGCATAACTTAACCTGCATCATTCCTTGATTGTTGAAGTTGTTTGATTGCCCAGGTAATGCAATCTTACCTAATGAAAGAGAATTTCAGACTCATTAATAGCGCGAGAATGACATTTGGTAATAATAATTAAGAAAATGAAGATTTACGCATTGGGTATAATTCAACCAGAAAGAATAACAGATCAATGAACCTGTTACCTGCTTCGTTGATAATTAGCACATCCGCCAGATGTGGTGGAAGAGCAGTGGTTATCTGTCTCTGGTCTGGAGGCAGTCTTGTTCCTTGAAACAGTAATTGTAAGAAAACATGAGTTAGAACTCAGCAAAACCAAAAAATGCAGCTTCTTACCAAATCCAATGACTTGAAAAATGTTACAGGGAAATTGAAGCCTCTTCTTACCAGCGCCGTCATTCACAGCTGCTCGTAGCATGTTCTCCTGCTCTTGAATCTTTGCAGCTTGACCTTTATCCATGGTTGGAAGCATAGATGGGCCTTGACGAGTGCCAAATCCGTAAGCTTTACGAGTATCAGCTAACACTTTCTCTGCATTTTCACAAGCTGCTGCAATCATATCCATCCTCGCCTGGGAAAAAGGAACCAAAACAGGGTTCTCTCAAAACCAGCCAAAAAGACTAACAATGGAGAGAAATCACAACAAAAATTCATACAACTCACCTTTAACCTTTCAATCTGCATTGGTATTGGCAAACTCTGAACACCTTGAAGCAACTGCTCTCTCTTGGCATTGTCATCAGTTTCCATCTCCGGAAGTAATTTGGAAGACAACATAACCGGTAAAACTGCAGATTCACTTAAAAGGCTAAGCTAAAGTAGTTCATGCTAAGCAACTCATCAACTAAAACAAAACAAAAGGACCATACTTCCAGCATTCACGGCATTGACGTTCTTGGGAAGCACAACAAACGCATTGGAAACTTTCTTCACCTCTTCCACAATGTTAAAAAGCTCGAGATTTACCATCGAATACTGCCCTAAAATATCCTGCCTGTAAAAAGAAAAATCATCAATCCCTGTTGCAAAAACTCATAAACAGAGAAAAAAAACCCCAAAAAAAAGTCGAAATTTGGAATTCAAAGATGAACCATTTAGGAGTAGTGTTGGTTCGACCATAAGCGTCGAAATCTTCAAGGATACGAGAAACAGCTTTGAATAAGCTAAGGGCTCGTGTCTTCAATGACTCCAAATTCAGTTCCTTCTCCAATTTCGGATTCAGCTTCTCAACCACCGGGGGAGGTGGTTGCTGCGGCTGCGTCGTCGTCGCTAACCCAACTCCACCCTCCATTGATACACAGAGCTCTTTAAACAAACCCTAATCCCAAAATTTACGAAATTTAGGGGTTTTATCATCACATTACAGCGATTGAACCAACAACTAGGTTCCGATTATAAAATCAAAAACTTACGAGGAATGCGAAAGCAAGATTGGTCTAAGCGCAAAGATTCAATAAGGCTTGATTTGGAGAAAGTTATTGGAGACTACGAGAGAGAGAGAGAGAGGATATATTTGATAATAAGAGAACCGGGAAAAAAACATACCAATCCGTAATATATATCTTTCTCTTTGAATATATCACAAGGTTGCTATATTGGTTATGGAGACATTGGATAGAGCAAAACAGTCTTAGACGCAAATTGATCAAATTCTCTCAAGGTCTTTACATAAGGCAAGGACAAATTTGCCAGTGCTGGACTCTAATATGCAAGCTTTGAGGCAATATAGATGGATGAGAAATGGGAATCTCAACCCAATTAGTAAGGATACATCATTACTTCTCAAAGTCCCTAAGACTTTTCAGGAAGCTATTAAGCAAATGTGAAAGATACTGACTGGTGGCTTTGTTGATGCTTCCATTGCATATTACCAACAAGGAGATGGATTCCTGGAAGAATCATTCAATGTAGTAGTCTACCCTACATAAACTCTTGTGTAATAACACTTCAGTGTACTTTGAAGACAAAAAGAAAACAAAATCTTTTTAATAAACACTGTTTTGTTTGTTTTACAATTGAATGAATGAAAAAAAAAAGAATAGAGATACAGCTAAAGTTTGTAGGAAGGGAAGGAGAGAGAGTTTCTCATCTTTTGGCTGCCATGGCGTTACTTTGACAGCCTCACCAAAAGACACTAACTTTAATCGCCGGAGAAAAAAATGGAAAACCTCAAAATCTCATACGACTGAGAAAATTATGTATAGAGAAAAGAATAAATAAACACAGAACATCTATTGAAGATATTAGAAATAAATGAACACGTATTGTGTGTGTGGTTGGTTTGCAATCTAACCAGAATTACCACAGGTCTTTTCTTCTTCTTGGAACCGATTCAGAAATCTGCAGAGTTTTTGTTTTCTTGCTGTTTCTGAAACAAAAAATTGGTGAGTTTCTTCAATGAGGGTGTTTTATCATCATCATTCATCAAATCTCTCTCAGTTCGGTTGCTGCATCTGTTTGAAAGATGAACAAATGTCAAATCACTTTAAAAAGCAAAAACCCATTTTGAATCTCTGACAAAGTTTAGATTTTGATGCATCTGTAACTGTAAGAGACATGAACATAGAAAGTTTTGATTTTATAAAACAGAACAAGTTTTGTTTTGTTTACCTGGGAAAACAAGTATTCGTCGAACATTGAGAGTGAGCAAGGCAAGGAGCTGCTGCTAGAACCAAACCTGGTTTGGTTGGTGTTATTGTTGTAAGCAGAAGATCCAGGTGGTGGTGCTTCAAAATATTCATTCATATGATACTCTCTCTGATTCATTGGAATATAAACCTGAGGAGGAGGCAACGTTTGGTGATGATTCAGATCATTCTGCAGATTGGGATTGTATGCTGTGATATTATTAGCGAACTGCTGATGTGAGCTTAATTGTGGTTTCATCTGTCCGGTGTTTAGTTCATCTAGAAAGCTTGTTTCTTGACCCGAAATTGTAATTTCAGGAGATTTCCCTGTTCCAAAATAGCCTGGATAGCTCCCGAATGAAGAACTCGCTGAGCACTCGACTTCCCTTTTGAGGTCAGACAGAAATTTGGTTTTAAGATAAGATTCAAATTGGAAGAAAAAAATGTTTCTCAGTGAGAATTTCACCAACCTCTGCGGGATTAATTTGTGTTCATCTGTGACAATGTTGGTGGGGTTGCTATTAAGAATCCATGACATAGACTGAAGCTGTTGTTCTAGAGGAATCTGAATCCCATCTTGCAGCTGTAAGTTGCAAAGCCGGGTTTACAGTTTGATTGTGTTTCAAATGAGATCTAAAGAAGCATTCGAGTAAATTACCGAGCATGTTGACCAATCTTTAACAAAGTTTGCGTTTTCTATTTGCATTGCGTGTTGCTGCTGTCCAAAATGTTCCTATCAACCAAAATGTTATGAGTTTTCTTCATTTCGCAGATGAAGTGAAATGGAAAAAATTTAAACAAAAGATACCTTATGTGCACGCAATTGGTCAATAGATTGCCTAATCGAAATTTCGAGTTGCCCCAAGTGTTCAATGTTATTAATCTTATCAGGTTCGGTCCAATAACTGCAGAACATGATACAAACAAGTATGAAACAGAGCACAAACATCAAGAAAACAAGAATCATCATCTTCAAAAAGATCTTTACCTTAATCTTCCATGTATTTCAGAAATCCGAGCTTGCAGAATCCTTGCTTGAGTACTCAAGTCCTGAAAACAATGCGAATTTGCAAAGTTTTAGGCTTAGGCAAATGTATAGACTTGAAAAATGGAAAGAGAGTCTTGAAGTGAATACCTCTACTGTTGAATTACTGAGACCAGAGAACCAAAAACAAACAAGAGAGAAGACAGAAGAAGTTAATATTCATATAGAGATTATGAAGTTTCTTGCAAAAGATTTTGCTAAAAAAACTATTTCCTACATACCTTGAGGATATAAATTCGCGTATATTTACATGGTGATCCAACTTTTGGAAAGTTTTCTTCAGGTTCTGAGCTTTCGAAAGAGAAATACTTGAATCAGGGATTCTCAAGGATATACATCAAACAAGAACTAATGCGATTGTGTGAAAAAAGGAACTTACTTCAAGACTCTCGAACTTCCTGTTTTCATAGAATACAACCAATGAGTTAAGCAAGATCAAACATTGCTGGAACAAACAAAACCATATCGATAACAATCTGAAAACAACACCAAACCTTTTTGTTCTTTCCTGCGGTGTAACTTGAGAAAACTTAGCAATCACCTCTTCCATGCTACTGAAGAAAAACCACAAGCAATCAACAATCATAAACATTCAGACAACACAATCTCTCTAGAGATGGTGTTTATGTTATAACATAACATTACCTTCGTGTACCGCAGCATAACGCAGCCTTCCCAGTAGGAGAGAACATAAGAAGAACAATATCAATGTCACAAAGAATAGATAGCTCATTAGCCTTTTTCAAGATCCCATGTTTCCTTTTAGCAAATGTATTTTGGCGTCCATTTGTGTTCTCTAACTTCTTTATCTTCAATTTTACCCTTCCCATCCTGTTAATTTTCCCAAACTATTAAACCAACACAAATCCAAAATCCTCTTCTTCTTCACAAAACATCAATAAGATCATTCCTCTTCAATCCAACACAACAAAAATCAAAACTTCAACGAATCAATAACATAAACGTTTCCAGAATCTGCAAACCCAGATCATGAAATCAATTCCATCACTTTGGGTTTGAATAAAAATTCGATCTTTTCATACGAAAACAGAGATGTTTGTGAAAACCCTTATCGTGTAATCTAATGTTGGCTAAAGAAGAAGAAAAAAAAGGAAAGAGAAGAAGAAAAAGGAAACTTACCTAAAGAGGCAAATTCAAACGCCAAGCTGATACTAACCATGAGCGAGATCTTAAAAAGGACCTCTTGAAGCAACAACCAAAAAAAAAAAAAAAAAACTTGAGAAAACGAAGAATCAAAAACCAGAGGTAGAGATAGAGACAGAGAAGCTGATTGCGGTTAACACGAGACTCTGCGCAAAAACCGGTCTTATGATAAAGCCGCTTGAGAATAGGGATCCCATTGGGAGAGAGCTCAAGAAGAAGAAGAAAAAATTCTCATTAAAACTACGTCGTTTCCATCACTATCTGACCGTTGCAGATTTAAATTACGATTTTACCCTTCTTCCATTGTTTTATCCACACTTAGCTCTCAAGAGGTGAAAAAGGGAAAAAAAATGAAACTTTATTTTCCTTCTCCCCGACGATGATGATTGCTGCAAGGTGCTCTCTTTTGCCTCCACCGTGTTTCTCCGCCGTGAAAGTTAGATGTTTCGCCGGAGAAACTTCAGATACTGGGATTTTATTTCGAGAGAAGCTTATTTACCTTCAAGACCTTAACGTTGATCCTCACAAAGCTCTCCGAGTTAACCCATCTCTCCGTTCTGCTCCTATCTCCTCCGTCGTCTCCGTCGAGACTCTTCTCTCATCCACCGGACTCTCAAGACCCGCCGTTGGTCGGATTCTCGATATGTTCCCAGATTTGTTAACCTCTGATCCCGAATCTGAGATTGTACCGGTGCTACGCTTCTTATCTGATGAAATCTCGATTTCAGAGCAAGACATACCCAAATCGATCTCTCGTTGTCCTCGATTGCTAATTTCATCAGTAGATTATCAGCTTCGTCCCGCATTGATGTTCCTCAAAACCCTAGGATTCGTCGGACGCGACACGATAACGTCGCGGAACACGGTGTTGCTGGTATCGAATGTGGAACGAACCCTAATCCCCAAAATCGAGTATCTTGAAGAAGGGTTAGGGTTTACAAGAGAAGAAGTAGCGAAGATGGTTGTGAGATCTCCGGCGTTGTTGACTTATAGTGTGGATAACAATTTAGCTCCTAAAGTTGAGTTTTTTATGGAGGAGATGCGTGGTGATGTCAAGGAGCTTAAACGTTTCCCTCAGTATTTTTCGTTTAGCTTGGAGAGGAAGATAAAGCCAAGGCATAGGTTGCTTAAGGAACATGGGATTTTGATGCCTTTGTCTGAGATGTTGAAGGTTAGTGATGGTCAGTTTAACAATTGGCTTTTAGAACTCCGTCTTAGGTCTTTTGAGAGAAGATGATGATAAACAAACAACCATGTAAGCTTTACTTTTTTGTTCATTGCTTCTTTACTGAGATTAAGTTTTGCACTGGAGACATGCCAAGACACTTCACATGAGCTTGTATATAGTTTTTGTTAGATCTTGTAATGTATAATTGGGAACCTAATTGATGGAGAAAGTTGCTTTAAAGTTTACATTAAAAATATGGTAATTGACTGCAAAATTGGTGGTGATTTGCAATAAGTACTTGGTTTGAGTATGGATGATCACTCTCTTAGATCAGTGAATCAGAAATACTTTGCGTTTATTCACTCAAATAATCTCCATTGCTTTGAAATTTTCCTCATTGGTTCTGTTAGCTTCTTTCATTGTACTCTGCAATTCAAAAGAGTTGAGTATTCAATCATTGTGTGTCTTGCATCATAATTTACAGACAGTGTGTTGTGTTCTCTTTAACTTCAGATTCTCTCCTAAATTGTTAGGATTTGTTACGACTTGCAAACCAATAACTCAAAGTTGGGGCTAACGAGAAGCGAAAACGCATTTCCAATTTGATTGTAACCGTATCGTTAGTGTAGGTGGGAAAACAAAAAGAAACAGGATTCGAAAGATTAAAAAATGTACGTACCGGCTTTGGTTAGAGCTCCAAGCCGGCTTTGGATTGTATTTAATGGATTGTATTAGGGAGGCAGTCTAGATCTTGTTGAGTCATCATCATACGACAAGTGTATGGTGGTGCCTAGCTAGTGTAGAAAATAACATTTTTCACTTAGTTATAGTTGTTAAATGACCAATATTTAGTTTTGATGCGTGGTAATGGTTGTCTACAAACTTGTATTTGGATTTATTTGGTAATGGTTGTCTACAAATTTGTATTTGGAACATGTTCTATCTCTAATCTTCCATTCTCAACGCACTCTCTAATAAAATGACTTCACTAAGCAAATTTTGAAGCCAAATTGCTTGACTAGCCAGTTCATGAGTACTAAAGCGGTATATATGATATATCCATTTGAATTGTCTAAAAATATATCCTTAATCATGCTTTAAACAAAATATAAATCCAATTAAATTCATTTCTCCTTACAACACCAAAAACAAAAACATAAGACAATTGAAAAAGTTTGGAAAAGAAATCTCGTACTATCTGTCATTCGTATGTGGTAGAAGACATCATAATTAAGCACTAGAGATAATCTTCAATTCTTCATCATCAACGTTCTCAATCTCACTTCACCGAATCTATACTGAGGACATATGCCTAATAACTAATAAGCCATATATGCCTAATTCGCCGTTGAGGCATCTGTGAAAGCTAGTAGCTCAAGCCACTATTTACAACATATGGAAGCAACGCAACAACCTTGTCCACAATCAGCAAACAATCCAACCGGCATCTGATCTTGGATAAGGATATCAGAAACATCATCTCAGCAAAGCGTCTTCGGAAGCTGTTCCGGAATTTGATGCAGCTTTGGCCCATACGTACTCACTTCGTTTTGTGATTTCTTGTTCTTTATCTCCATGTTTACCTTTTTTGCCAAGGATTTAAAGTGTAAAGGCTTTTACATGTAAAAGTCAAACATTTCATTACCTAATGATATTAACAGTTTTAGCAAAAAAGAGTGATATGTGTGTTTACTGCAGGGCAACTCCCTCGTCCCTATGTCAATTTTGCCCCACTCCTCCAAACATATCACACACTCTCCTTTCTCCACTACATGTGATATGGATACTTGTGCAGTTGTGCTGCTGACACAGACGTTTGCACATTGATGGTCGTCGTTCGTGTCGTCAAAACTCGATGTGGTACGTAACACACGTTTGTGGATGATGTGGGCACGATCGTTATAGTTGAAGTACTTGTTCCATTCGTAGCGGAGTGAAAACTAATGTTCGTTGTCGATGATGGGAACAAACCTTATAGTTATACGTTAAGTACTTGTTGCATGTATTCACATCGTACCAATCCGGCGACATTTGCATCTCACAAAAACCTAATAAAACAAAACAAATAAAGACAACAAAACAAAGAGTTTATTAAGAGATACAAGTTTTGTTTTTTCTTAGTGTTGCCGTCTCTTTTTGATATTAAGAAGAAAGGGAACGGAGGAGAGTTCCAACTTCCAAAATACGAAAAACGTACCCTAAAATGATGCCTCGCTCGTGTTTATTAACTGATAATCTCTCTGGGTTTGCTTGAGTCAAAAGATTATACAGTAATTTCATATAATCAATCAATCTGTTTTAAAAGATTTGATGCATATTTTGTAAAAGATAATTTTCAATAAATTTCTCAATAATTATCTAGTTTATAAATAACATTAATTAATTTGTGATAATATTTAAAAGCATAATGTAAATTAAAAAAGAGGATAATAAAGGTAAACAGAATATACTTGAAATTGAACTTCTCTTTGACCAAAATGAACCAATCTCCATCAAATAGCATCCCATAAATATTTATTACATCATTATCTTCTCTTTGACCAAAATGAACCAATCTCCATGAACAAAAGATCGATTCCGGTTCAAGAGAGAAATGAGAAATTTTAGAAAATTAAAAAGAAGGGAATTCAATCTCGGTTCCACATTTTCCATGAGGGAAAACCGGGCATTCAATTAAACCGGAACCAGACCGGTCAACACAAAGATAAACTTGGTACAGTTGGCTATTGCCGGACTCATCTCTGTTACACTCAACCCAAGGAGTGAAACCAACTGACTCTTTAATCGAATCTCTTATGCTCTCCAAAGAATACGATTTACCATCCGGATTAATCCCTATTAATACACATAAACCAATAATTAAATCTAAACCGGGAAAACAAAAAAGGGGAATTGAAAAATTAAAAACGTACGTACCGGCTTTGGTTAGAGCTCCAAGGAGATCGGTTTTCTGTTTAAGGCTAAGAGCGGTTTGGAAATACTCATGTTGATCGATAACCGATTCAGAGCAAGTACCATGCTTCTCCCACTCGTGTTCCCAAAACGCTTCACCTGAACCACTCGGGCAAGCCAGTGTTGGCCAGCTCTTCTTCATTGACGTCAGAAGATCTGATATCTGTACCACACCAAACCAAACCAACCGGTTATTTGAGAATCTTGAAGCCAAATTAAATATTACCAAGAAGAGGGTTACGTATAATAAGTCATAACATAGATCCAATCATAGTTGCAAGAAAACCGAATCGAACGAGGTTTAGTGTTGATCTTATTACCGTTGAACTATCGAATGGTTTAGTGTCGTCACAGTTAGATGGATAAGTGCCATCTTTGTAGTTAGGCCAAAGACCATGAATACCAAAATCAGCAGCTGGTTTGCCTGTTGTTGGATAACAACACTTCTTCTGTGTGTCACAGTATGATCCTGGCCACTTTCATATCAAACACACACAAAGCAATCATTAGGACAACATTATAAACATTCATAGATGATGATGGTTATAGTAATGGTTATATTACTTGTTGGACGAAGTAGAAGAAGTCGAAATCTTCAGAGGAAGACGAAGCAGAGAAGACACAAGGCAAGATTACGAGAAGACTGATCAAACACAATGATGCTAGAAGAATCTTCATCTCTTCAACTTTTGTAAGAGATGATGATTGTGATTTGGAAGTTATGGGATTGAGATGGTTCTTTGGGTTATATATATATATAAAGGGAAATGGGATCAGAGGAATGTGAACAGAGAGATATCAGTTTCCTAGTTTGTGTAATAATGAAATGGACAGATACACATCAAAAGAATCTGAGGGATTTATGGTATATACCTTATTTATGTGAAGTGTATGTATATTTCCAAGATCTTTTAATAACTTTTTTTTTCTTTTTTTTTTTGGAATCTGAATCATACAATTACAAGATTACGTGTGGACATATTGTGGATGAAGTCGTAACGTTCACACTTGTTGGTCAGAAGGTTCGTTTTGTATGCTCGTAACGGCCCAATAATTGTTATATTTATCTTTTTGAGTAAGCCCAATTACATAAACTAATAATCCCTTATCTAATCTAATGTTTAGATTACAATTTTTTTTTAATCTAAATAGATCTCGAACTTTTTTGTAAGTAAATTTTATGTGAAACTAATTTTCTTATGTATTAGATATGTCTACACTTTTGTCATGTCCTGATTACAAGTTAACAAATTACTACACCTTAACCAACAATATAAGTTTAGTTTAGCAAATTTTGACAAAACAAAACAACTCAGTTTGAACTCAAACATGTAATATTATTTTGGTTGGTCCCGGGTCGTTTGCCGACATTTTTTCCTTGCTTCACATATAGAAGAAGTGTTTTAAAAGTAGACGATAGCTGAACTGTATTGTTATTGATGATGTGATGTGATATGTTTTAAGTTGATAATTTTGTAGATACGATCACACTTACTAGTCAACGAACTGTTTAATCTTATTATTACTACTTCAAAACAAGCAAAGAAGTAATGACTTAAGAGATTTGTTTTCCAATCCTATGAGTTCAAATGGTTGCGGCGATGGCAGTGTACAAATCCACTATTTAACTTCATAAATTATCATTTGTAGTAGTATGAATCCAGAAAAGAAATCAAAAAATTTGTCACGGACCATCTTACAATTACATACACTTTTATGTAAAAACAAATTTTTTGTTCGCGATTGATCTGCTAACGGTTAGTCTTGTTTCATCCGAGACATGCATTCAAAGTCTATATAATTTTAAGTATCAATGTAATTTAATTTTTGGTTTAATATTTCTTTGTTTAGTTCGGTTCAAAGTAGTCCAACACTTTTAAATAACTTCCACAAGTGTATACTGTGTGTTGCTTGTAAAAATTATAGTTATACGTAACAACTTTACTACGCTTTATCAACTTTATTTTCAAGTTGATGATTTTTTTTTTTTTGGTAATGTTCAAGTTGATGATTTAAAATACATGTTTTAAAGTTTGAAACATAAAATGATTGTACTTTTCTATATCAACTTGAGTAAGATATAATAAACAGCAATAATTGTACACTTAGCTAACACTTTGACCTTAAAAGAACCATTACGGATCATAACACGCTTGCCAAATCCAATGGCAACAGTCATTTCCATCGCCACCGTCTCGGGGATTCTCGTTGTTTGCTATACACTTTTATTCTCCGGAGGTTATCAGAGAGATCAGTCCCTTCGTTACAGCGTCGTGGTCGAAGGCGGGAGTAAGGTGAGCCTGATCCACGTGTATACGTATGAGGTTGAGTACAATAAACCTGTTTCAGAATTTAGAGCAGCGGGTTACTATAGTGTGAAGTTGCATCCTGGTCTATCGGCGTACGCTGATGATCATGACGGAGCAAGTACATCACTGAAGAAGCTGGTGGAGACGGCTAAAGGGAGGATTCCGAAAATAATGTGGAAAGAGACTGAAGTGAGGTTAATAGCGACGTCTGAGAAGATATTGCTTAAAGAACCTGTTCAGGAAAGGTTTCTCAAAGTTACCAGAGGAGTTCTTGAATCTTCTGGTTTCATGTTTCGAGATGAATGGGCCTCTATTATCTCTGGTGAGTTTTCAATGCTTCAAGTGAATTTTACTATGATCAATCAATCAAACAAACTGGAGCTATGCTAAATTTTGAAGGATCTGAGGACGATGTAAATGCTTGGGTTGTTACAAACCTTGCCTTGGGTTCACTTGGAGGCGATCCTGTTAAATTAAGACGATTTGCTGAGGTTATTGAGCCGTTGCAGGTAAAGGATAAGAAGTTTACGACGGTGTCGATCCAAGGCCTCGCCAATGAGGGTAGAAAAACAGTAACATTTCTGTATTAGTAATGTGACCTAACTAATCCCAAAAACTAGCTCAAGTGAGAATGATTGCCACATTCAATATATATTGCCCAAAGATCTTTATCCCAAGCAATGTGGGACTTTGGAACTCTAATACTCTGTTCTGTTGATTACTATTATGATTTTGATTTTGATTTTGATTTTGATAGTTTCTCTTTAAAAGTAGAGACGAGAGTGTTTGGGTCACAAAAGTTTTCAAGCACTTCAAAAGAATATGGAACATGGTAACACCAGACCGATTAGCATCACCGTGTGAAGCTATACGCAATTTACATATGTTGTTGGTCTAGAGATGGAGTCACCAGAAATCCCCACAAGAACATTTACCATCTTCAAAATGGTGAAACCTTTGAACATCTCTAAGAACAACTTTCCTACCAAATATAAGGGAGATCAACTTAGCTGCATTGTGGCAATCTCTACAAACCCTAAGGTTCTTCACAACCCGAATCGTCGTCCCTGCAGGAGTATTCAACAACCCAAACGTTATCGCAAGCTTTTCGCTGTGATACCTAAGCGTAATCTCCTTCTCTTTATCACTCATATCGGCATGAACAACCATTGATGTATCTGGAACATAACCTGCAAGCTTTAGCTCTTTCACCATTTCATCTAATGCTCTGTAAAGCGTTGTGGTTGCAGGCTTCACACCATCTCCTGAAAAAAACTCATGAACCACATTGTTAACCTCAATGGAACTGACCCCAGGAACCTTAACTGCCCTTCGATCCTTCATCACCTTTCTTAAAGAATCTACATATTCCCATTTCTTGTTTCTTGCGTATAGATTTGATAAGATCACGTAATCACCACCGTGCGAGTCATCTAGCTCAAAAATCCTTTCACTAACCTTTTCAGCTAGCTCCAAATTGTTATGACTGCTACAAGCAGATAGGAGAATCCTCCATAACATCGGCGTTGGGCTTATTGGGAGCCTATCAATGAATCTATACGCATCATCTAAATGTCCAGCTCTACCAAGAAGATCTACCATAGAACCATAATGCTTAATACTCGGAACAATCCTAAATTCGTGAACCATCTGGGAGAAATACTCACGCCCTTCTTCCACTAGACCTGTGTGGCTGCAAGCGTTTAACAGACCGAGAAATGTGATCTCATCAGGCTGAACATTTTCAGATCTCATTCTGTCAAACATTAACATGGATTGCTCAGCTTTCCCATGATTCGCATAAGCTACAATCATGGCTGACCAAGCTTGTGTATCCTTATACCTCATCTTTTCAAATAGAGATACAGCATCATCCAAGCTACCACACTTCGCAAACATATCTATCAAAGCTGTGTTTACTTTCACATACTTACAAAACTCGTGTTTCTTAGCATACTCATGTATCCATTTCCCTAAATCTAACGATCCCAACAGAGCACAAGAAGACAGAACACTAAGAAGGGTAATCTCATTCGGCTTCAAGCTCTTACCTTGCATTTCACGGAACAAGGATAAAGCCTCGTTTGGTCTATTTCTTTTGGCGTAACCCGTGATCATAGCATTGTAACAAACAACGCACGGTTCGACAATCCGATCAAAGACGCAACGAGCAGAATCTACATCTTCACACTCAGTGTACATATTGATAAGCGTAGGACAAACATATACATTATCATCAAGCCCCAGTTTCATCGACAGACAATGCAATTGTCTACCTTCTTCTAACGCCTTTGCTACTGCACAAGCTTTGAGAAGAGACGGGAAGGTGTAGTTATCAGGTAAAAGATCACCTCCCAAGATCTCAGCAAAGAGACTAAACGCATCAAGAGGAGTCGTGGAGCGAGAATACCCACGAGCCATTGAATTAAAAATCACGATATCTGGTTCAGACATTGCATCGAACAAGTGGCGTGCGTATGACATTGAAGACTCCGTTGGAGACTCAGTGCAGAAATTTATCAGCTTAGTGATGAATGATACATCTTCATGGAGATGTGACTTGATCGCGTAACCTTGAATTTGCATCAGCTCTCTTAGAGACTTGCATCTGGAAATTTGAAGAATTGGGTTTAGTGGATTTACAGTGTAATGCTTAGTGAAAGTTTCTGTGTGGGAGAATGATGATATTAGTGAAGCAGAAGATAACGCCATTAAAGCTCTGAAATTGAGCTTCTCACTGACAAAGCTTGAAGATAACGATAAGCCTGTTTCGTGATTATGACCCGATTGCAAAATTATTGAACAATCAACCCGACCCGACTTGACCGACCCGGTTTGTAGTTTAATAATTAGGTATAAAAATCGTAAAAGGCGCTACAACGACCAATTATTTTCCAATTTAATTTTTGTTTTTAATCTCTTTTAATTTTTGTTTTTTCCCACATTGCCGAGAACGACATCGGAGACTTGAGGGCGGCGACGAGCTTCACCGGCGCTGGTTAACGGCGGACCCTCATTCTCCATTATTCTCGGTTGAATAAAAAGCTTCAAAAAAGAAGAAAAAAATTCGAAAAATCACGAAAAATACATTAAATTTTGGTTTTACTTTTTTATTTTTTTCCATATTTGATTAATCTCAGATCTTATGATTCATTGTTCTTCGTTATCGTGGCGGTTTGTGAATTGTTGATGCGACGATCGCATACCCGTTCTAGGGTAAAGAGTAATAGTAAATCAGAAATGGATCCGATTAAGTTCCAGATCCGTTCTGGGAGCCGAGCATCGTCTTCTTCGTCTACCTACACACTAACGAAACCTAATTCGAAACACACCAAATCTAATCTCATGTTAACCGTTGCTTCTATATCTATAGTGTTGGGCTTTCTCTTTCTTTGCTATTCAGTTTTGTTCTCCGGCGGTAATCGTATAGGATCGCTTCGTTATAGCGTTGTGATCGACGGAGGAAGTACAGGGACACGAATCCATGTGTTTGGGTACCCGATTGAGTCGGGTAAACCCGTTTTTGAATTCAGAGGAGCGAATTACGCTAGTTTGAAGTTGCATCCGGGTTTGTCGGCGTTTGCTGATAATCCTGATGGAGCGAGTGTGTCGTTGACGGAGCTAGTGGAGTTTGCTAAAGGAAAGGTTCCGAAAGGTATGTGGATGGAGACTGAAGTAAGGTTAATGGCGACGGCGGGAATGAGGTTGCTTGAATTACCTGTTCAGGAGAAGATTCTTCAAGTTACCAGAAGAGTTCTTAAATCTTCTGGGTTCATGTTTCGAGATGAATGGGCTTCTGTTATCTCTGGTGAGTTCTCAAAAAATATGTTCTTTAGTTCAAGTAAGTCTTTTTTTATCTAACGCCACTGTTTAGTTTTAGAGTTAGATCGATGAACAATCTGCAGATACATTTTGGTTAGAACTTTAACAAAAAGGAGCTTAAATTGAGAGTTTGTTTCTCTTGTATTACTAGCTTAGCTGAATGTAATTTATGATTCAGTCCATCAGCAATTGAGGGTGCTAATCATTGGATATTAAATTTCCAGGATCTGACGAAGGTGTATATGCTTGGGTTGTTGCAAACTTTGCTCTTGGTTCACTTGGCGGTGATCCTCTTAAAACAACTGGAATTGTTGAACTTGGCGGGGCTTCTGCACAGGTTTAGTTTTTTTTTGCTTAAATTTATTATTGAGTGAGATAAACGATTTGTGGAACTTATGAAGACGTTGACCACTGTGTGTTCTTTCAGGTGACATTTGTGTCAAATGAGCCAATGCCTGCTGAATTCTCACGTACAGTATCATTTGGGAATGTTTCATACAATCTATATAGTCACAGCTTCCTTCATTTTGGGCAGGTATTTTCTTTCGAGCAGTATATGTGTTTGGAATTGGTTTCACATGCTTACATTGTTAGTTTAATCTTTTTTAAAATTTGTTTAGTGGAACTTAATCCTGTTGACCAAACAATTGTCTCCTTAACTGTTGTTTCTCCTTCTGAAATCTTTAGAAGGACGGATTTGATCTTTTGGCAATGTCCTTGATGCTATTACCATTTTCCCATTGCAGAATGCTGCACACGATAAGTTATGGGGTTCACTTCTCTCAAAAGACCATAAATCAGGTAAGCTGTTGATAATTGTATAAGTCTAATTGACGGATCATCAAATTACCAATTGAAGTTTTCTAAAGTGATAAGATCACTTATTCAAGTCAATAGATAAGTTTGTTTTCCTTCCCACTCATACATTGTTCCATTTCTTGCAGCTGTGGAAACTGCACAGGAAAGAATATTTACAGACCCTTGTGCTCCAAAAGGGTACAAGCTCGACACAAACACACAAAAGCATTTATCTGGACTTTTAGCTGAAGAAAGCAGATTCTCAGATTCTTTTCACGCTGGGGGTAATTACTCAGAGTGTCGCTCCGCTGCATTAACAATCTTGCAAGAAGGAAATGGTAGAATATTAATCGATATCATTGAATTTACATTCCTTGGGTCATTTCCTTGTTGTCTCTAATAAAAATACTGAATTCTTCTTTTGAGTGCAGAGAAATGCTCGTATCAGCATTGTTCTATTGGATCAGCTTTCACGCCCAAGCTACAGGGAAGATTTTTAGCTACAGAAAATTTCTTTCACACCTCTAAGGTACTTTGTTTTCTCATATCAGATACTTGCATTAGACCTAAATGCAATGTCCATCCATATTATGTTTGGACAATGTTATGACGTGGTCTTTGTTTCTTGTACCAGTTTTTCGGGTTGGGAGAAAAAGCGTGGTTGTCTAATATGATTTCAGCTGGAGAGAGATTCTGTGGTGAAGATTGGTCGAAGTTGAGAGTAAAAGACCCGTCACTCCGAGACGAGGATCTTCTACGGTATTGTTTCTCATCAGCATATATTGTGTCATTGCTTCACGATACGTTCGGCATTCCTCTTGATGATGAAAGGTATGTAAATTCAAGAACCCTGACCTACCGCTTAAATCAATGATTTATAATTCTAGTAAACATGGCTCAATCTAAACTCTTGTTTCTCTTTTATTTGGCAGAATCGGGTTTGCGATTCAAGCAGGAGATATACCCCTGGATTGGGCTTTAGGTGCATTCATTCTACAGACTGCAACAGAGACATCTCAACATGAAGCCATTGGAAATCACCATTGGTTTTATGATCTGTTCGGTTACGAGTCAAAGACGCTTCACTATCTCATCGGGATACCGATCCTCATGACAGTTTTGGTATATTTGGTATCCAAGTGGAGAAAGCCGCAGCTGAAAACAATATACGACCTTGAGAAAGGTAGGTACATAGTCACCCGGATTAGATGATCTTGGTTTAAACTGATTTTGCGTCTCACGAAGCTTGTTCTGATTTTGCGTCTCAAGAAGCTTGTTGTCTCTAATAGATTACAGATTACTTCATCTTCATCTCTCTAATGGAGGTGAAGTAAAGGTTTATCATGCGAGAGCAGTAGCATCTGAGTGATTATATATTATCAACGGCTTAGAAACTTGTATATTATATGGGGTTGGGATGCGTAATTTCGATGTTTTAGAAAGGGTCCTCTATGCAACGAAGTCCTGTTTAGATAATATTACTACCATTTGTATTGTCAAAATATAAAATTCGATAATATAAAGTCTCTTTTCGTATGAAAATTTCCACATCTACTTTTGGAATCATTCAAGTTTTTTTTTTTTTCATCTTTTTAAGATATAGATGTAGTAATTTAATCATTTACTTGTTTAAGCTAATCTTTTATTCGTTTGAAAAAAAAACTTTGTCTCCTAGTTGTATTTTTATTTTATAAATCTGCAAAGTTGTAAGTTACTTCCACGGCCATGCATCTAACTCATTTTATCTTATACGACAATTATTCCTCCCACTTTAATAACTAACGACATCATAACCTATAAATAATTATATCCAATAATTGAACAACTAGATCATGTGATTAATTAAATAAAAGATTTCATATAGGAAAAGAAATAAAATTACACCATTATTGTTAATAAAAACAACAAAAATATTATGTAAATCCTACAGGGAACATGTCGTTAACGTTACAGCCCGGCAAAGTTCTAGAAAATACCGAAAGTACCCTTAAGAAATCAGTATAATTAACGTCTCTAGTCAACGGCCATTAACTTTGTTTCTTTCTCACACGTCGTTTTAATTACTTCGGCTATAAAAAGCGTTTTTTTTTTTTTTTTAATTAATTTTTATTTTCTGTTGTGCTCGATTTGCGGGAAAATTCTTGTGAAGAAATTTTCGATCTGCCTCAGAATTTGTTTTGCTCTCTCTCTCTGGTTTATTAATGCTTCTCCAGATTCTCTGATTTCAAATCAGAGAGACGACAACGCTATAAAATAGGTGATGATGATAATATCTCTTCGATTTCTGTATCTTCATAAATCGTTTTTTTTTTTTTTTAATTCTGATTCAAATCTCCCCCCTTGGTTAATGTGGTTTCGTATCCGTATACGCCGGATCTAATTCTTATTTCGTACGGTTCTGATTTCGTTTAGGGTTTTGATTTGGAGGAAAAAAAAAGGAGAATGATAGGTTTAGTAAGTGAGAATGATAGCAGCAGGAGTCACATGGTGATAAATGTCGATGGATTGATGATGCGTCCGGTGCCGTTGTCTCCGGAGGTTGAGGAGATGAGATCAGAGTCGCGTGTGGTGGTTAATAATAATAATAATAACGACAAGGCAATTGATGTTTCTGATGATGAGAATGAACCGCTTATTGTTTCTGCTGAATGTCGTATTTGTTCGGATGAGTCTCCTGTTGAGAATCTTGAGAGTCCTTGTGCTTGCAGTGGCAGCCTCAAGGTTTGTTGTAATAACCATTTATTTTTGGTCTATGTTGATGTTTTTGATGATGATCATGATGATGATGAGCTGATAAATTTGGTCTGAGTTGACGAATTTTTGGTTCTGTTTTAACCAGTACGCTCATAGGAAATGTGTTCAGCGTTGGTGCAATGAAAAAGGAAACATTTTATGTGAGATTTGTCATCAGGTATATTACCATTGCATATATATCATCAAGTTAGTATGTAAACTCTGATAGGGGTGTTATGTTACCAGTATCTGATGGTTTTTAACTTCTCTTACTAGCCTTACCAACCTGGATATACCGCTCCACCACCACCAGTTCAGCCCGAAGAAACCACTATTGACATCGGGTATCGTTAATTTCATGTTTCTGCTTTTATCTTCTCAGAATTGATTCGAGGTTGGTTTGAATTGTTTCTGACTTATGTATGTGTGTTTGCAGTGGAGGATGGACAATCTCAGGTTTGGATTTGCATGATCCTCGCCTCCTTGCGATTGCAGAAGCTGAGCGTCGGTATTTAGAGACTGAATATGTGGAATATACAGATTCAAATGCCAGTGGGGCTGCATTTTGTCGTTCAGCTGCTCTCATAGTAAGCTGTAAAGCTTTTTGGCAAATTTCTAACATGTATAACAACAACCCCTTGCTTATGATAACCCCAAACACACACTTTTCTTTCGCAGTTAATGGCTCTTCTTCTCTTACGACATGCACTGACCATAACAGACGAAGCTGATGGAGAAGAAGATGACCCATCGTCTATACTATCTGTAAGCGGATTGACGTGTCTTTTTTCTGTTTTTTTAGACTCAGAGCAATCCATGCTTAAAAGTTTTGTAACTTCTAACACAAAATCATCTGATTCTTATTGTAGCTTGTCTTGCTCCGAGCTGCTGGATTTCTTCTTCCATGCTATATCATGGCTTGGGCCATCAGTATTCTGCAACGGCGAAGACAAAGACAGGTTAGTGTAAGAACTGTTGCACGGGTCTGTCCAGATAAACGCTTTTCTTATCTGTCCTGAGAATCAAACTGAATCACGGGTTTTGACTTGATGCGGACTGAACAGGAGGCTGCAGCTTTGGCAACGCAGTTTGCGCTGGTGCTTCAGTCAGGGCAGCCTAGAACAGTTCACTTCACGGTATCACCAGGACCACCATCAACCTCCATCGTTCATGCAACTGCATCTACACAACAGCAGCATGACGAGCCTGTCTGATTTATTCTGATATAATATCGTAACTATGGAGCCATTACAAGGTACGCTGTAAATGAAATGAAGAGTTCGATTGCCTGTAAATTTAGAATGCTGTCTGCGTAAAAAAGGATTGAAGTCATTCCAAATGAGTTCATTCATTTTGTCTGTATTTTAATGTTTCTTGCAATATTTTTTGCAGAAGTTTGTAAATTCTGTTTTACAAATTTTCAAACATTTACTTTGGAATTTGAGTGTATTTTTAAATAATTGGAAATGGATAAGGAAGCACATACGGGACGATTAATTTTATAAACAAATTGGCTTTGATTGGACTTGTAAAATTACAAAACATTTCTGTGATCATATTACAACAAAATAAATTTGAACAAAGTGTGTTAGCGTATGAATCATCTTGATGTGTTAGTGTATGAATCTGTATGAATCATCTTCATGTGTTAGTGTATAAATATCTTGTTCTTCTCCAACATTCTCACCATCACAACAGTTGTCACATGTCATAAAAGGTGGAGTTAGATGCAAAACCTGATCTATCCTTTTCTCAATCCAAGCTAATCTCCTCTCAAAGCTCAACACACCTCTATGCATATTCCTTACATCAACTTCAGCAACCTTAGCACAAGCCCGCAAAAGAATGTAGTAATCTGCGTGAGCCGCATATATTAATGCTCCATCATCCTTTTTCCTCACATATTGAAGGTAGTCTAGTCTCTTTATCTTCACGCGAGGTGGTATGTAACAGAACAGGTTCTCTCCCATGTCTGTAGTTAGTCTTTTTATCGCTCTCTCCTTAAATTTCTCTTCTTGTTGATGATTCTCTGGTGATGATGAAACTTCGTGTTCTAAAGATAGATCTATATCCATTGACACACTTTCGTTTCTCCCTAAAGGACTACTACAAGGATTGATTCCATACCTAAATTTGCTATCATCTATACAAAGCTGGCTAAGTGATAGATCATCTTCACTGTCTCTTCCCCTCTTGGATGGAGTCCTAAACTGATCGGAATCCTACAAAAATGTATGTAAAAGAGACAGTTTATATGCAACCCTTAAAGAACTAGTTTTAGATTATTCTAATAAGAATTTGAAGCATGATATATGCAGGTTCTTACCTCGTTTTTTTGATAACCATTCCATAGGTTATCAACAATTCTGTATGTATCGTCAGGTGAATCTTCTTCTAAACCAGCAAAGAACTCGTTTTTCCCGAGTGATAAATATGACAATAGATCCTTCTCGGATTCAAGGGTTTCTGCGGCGACCTCGTAATATTTTGCTTCAAGATTCTTCAGAAGCTCCTCGGTATCAAATTCGGTTGCTTTCGTGACATCTAATGACTCTGCAGCAGCTAAATTTGTTTCTGAAACCTCCTCATCATGAACCGGAGAATCAGTGTCATCAGAAACAAGATCCGCCTCACTAGCATTAATCAACCCCAAACTCTGTTCCCATACACCAAAACCATTGATGTTATAAAGAATCCGTATAGCTACAATCAGTATAGACATGACACACACACGTGTAGGAAGCCTCAGCTCGTTCTTCGATAGATATAATTCTGGAGGCATTGACCAGTTCTGTATAAGACGCACCAGATCAAGAATCTTATCCTCAGGAATAGACAAACGCTTTAGATAGTTAGAAGCTATACCATAGAAATTCACAGGAGGCAAAGGTAAACCTATAATATCAGCAATCAAAGCAGCTCGTGCTTCTAACATCTGAGCAGAAGGAATCTGAAATGGCCTAGCCATTATGCTTGTTTTCACAGGACACGCAGCTGATCGCTCTCCCATTTGCTCTCGAATCTCGAGAAAACAAGATAAATACGGAAGCTTTCCTTCCCGTGTCCATCTCACAATGTCCGTTGGTAGAACAAGTGCTCCCGCTTTGTGACAAGCAAGGAAAGATATCGCTAAAGAGCTGGATAAAGGCAGAGTCTTTTTAAGCATATTAACCCATATCGTCACTGCTCTTTTACCATCTAAGTTACGAGGCTCAGCTCTGTGTTTTTTAGGCCGCTTAGCATCTTTTAATTCACCTGCCAGACACCAAAAAAAGAGTGAGAGTTAGTAACAGATAAAATCACACCAGAATGATCACAAAGTGCAACAGATTCTACCATCTTCTGATTGACGCTCGGAATCACGAATGGCGTTATCAGCCCAATCATCATCATATACGCCGGAGAGAGCCACGAAGCGTAAACAGATAGGTCCAACCAAACCAATAATCAAAGGAGTGACATTGAACTTGTCAACCAAAGCATCACACTGATAAGTAATCATCATGAGAAAAGCTTTAACATATCTATCTCTGGCCTCATCGTAATAATCATCATAACCCAAAGTCTCAGCTCCAAAATCCACAGGCTCAGTTGGCTCTTTGTCGAGATAACTCTCAGGCTCTCTCTTCACTTCACCGAACAAATCCTTCTTCTCAAGTCCGGATTTGGGGATTTGGCTGGCGGAATCGAGCTGAGATCGAAACTGAGAGTAACGCAATGTGTCCTGCGTGTAACGAGGCTGTGAAGGAGTGATTAGGTGTGGTTGTATAGTACGACGATCTAAGACGTTATATATTGCGCCTTGGGTACCTCCATTTTCACCGATGAGATCGGCGTCATCGACGGCGGTTTGGACTATACCATCGGCCTTAGTACCGCATCGTTTGCAGTAGAAAAACCCGTCTTCTCCGTCGTCAAAGGCGTCGTTGTCGCACTCCATACAGATCATCGGATCCATTTTGTAATTGAACGAATTAGAAAGAAAAAAGGGAAGAAAAATCGCGAGGGAAAAAGGAAACTCTGAATCCGATTGATGAAGAAGAAGAACAAGTAGACGAAGACGGCGGAGAAAAATTGCGCGGCGAAACTTGGCTTTGGAGTTCGGACGTTTAGGATTTGGCGGCGGAAGAGTAATTAGGGGTTTTGATATGAGGGAAATTGCAAAAGAGTCCCTCAAACTGTCAATATTTTAAAATTCACCCTTAAAAATGTATTGGTTCATTTCGGTTCGGGAAAACTCTGAAGCAGCATGGACTCGTTTCAATTCACTAACTTATCTTGAACTCCCTTCTTGCTTGTTTTGATGTTAAGGATTTCAAATTCATTACTGTCGCAAAGGTTCTCTTAATTTTTTTTTTCTTTCTATCCATGTTGTGTTGAATTGGCCATAAAAAATCCTAAATATGAAACTTTTAGGATGAATGATTTATTTTGTTGTATATATGATCATGAGTTGACTCAAAACCATGATTTCGAACAATATTTACTCGTTGCAAGTCAACAGATTAAAGGGATTAAAATCCTCAGTTATGGGTTTATTCATATATATCTTAACAATGCTTTAATGAAATTTGAAAATCCACTTCTCTAACCAAAAACCAATACAAAAAAAATTGTAGAAAACATCAACTTTGGTCACTCGTCTCAATCAGTCTCATAATCAGTATCATAAAGACCTTCATAAACATGATGATCAGAAAAAATCATAATAATAATCATGGTCTTCATCAAAGCTAAAAACAACGTTCGTCGTCACCACTTCTTCTTCTTCTTCTTCAGCTTCAAGTTGCATCTTGTATCTACACTGAGGACACGTGGCGTTAATCTTAAACCATGCACGTCTTCACACACTCCAAGTGATACTTGTGTTTACATGGCAACTCCTTAGCTACTTCACCTTTGCCCCATTCCTCCAAACATATCGCACACTCCCCTTTCTCCACGACCACTACACTTGGCAACATCTCTATCGTCCATCTCGATGCGGGCGGTCTCCCATATCCACAGTAACCTGAGCGACTACGAAAAGTTCTTGATGGCGTTGTGAACATTGGTAACGTAGTCGTCCATGCATCTACGAGATCTTCTTGGTCGACGCCGGTTTGGACTATATCTTCAGCCACAACACCGCATCGTTGGCAGTAGAAAAACCCGTCGTCTCCTTCTTCAAAGGTGTCGTTTTCGCACTCGTTGCAGATCATCATCGTGAAAAGAAACCCTATATCACGTTAATGAAGAGAGTGAATAAGGAGAGTTAATCATAATTAGGGGCTTAAATATAGGAAATTTTACATTTTCACCAGCAAAAATAATATGTAAAGATTTAAATTAACCGGTACCATATCGACTGAAACTATATAAAGAGATTTTCCATATATTCTCTAAGTGATCTCTACATGATATTGCCCATTGAGTTGGCTCGGTTGAGCCTTCTCTTTCGAATGATGATTAAAAAAAAAAAAAAAAAAAATCTCTACATGATAATATTTAATTTATTTAGTCTTTTATGGTAAGAACCAAATTTTCCATTTATTACATTAATACATAAAGAAATTTGGGGTTCTAAATTTTCATTATTTTTGAATGCATTAATTAAAACATAAATGAACCTTTATCATAACCAAAACTTGGTCTCTCACTTCAAACCTTAAAATTATATAAAATGGACATATATAACTTAAACTTTTGATGTGATGAGATTGGATTAGATTGTACTGATGAGAACAAAAGTTAACTTTTAGTATTATATTTGATCTTTGGTAACCATGCTAAATCTTTTATCACAATGGTAAAAAATTTACATGTATACTAAACACGTCCAGTGATCAATTCTTTTGTTTTTGTTAGACAAAAATGTTGAGAACGAGAATGAAACACGTATGATGTAGGGTCAAAGCTTAAGATGCAACCATTCGTATGTCGACTATTACAACTAATACGCATATTTATAAATTCCATTACACAATGTACAATTTCCTTTGATTGACAGATACATGGATTTTTATGTTTGAGAGTTTATTAAATTTTTTGAAGAATATATAATACACATTACAATTATTCGTTATATATTATATATATCACAATATACGACGACCACCATATGAATTTTCTAATATATATGCACCTAAATTATAGAGTGTACGTCAAATCATTTACATGAGAATGCTATTATATTTAACAAAACCCAACTCGATGGTCTTTGTCAATATCTCCCCATGCAACAAAATACGTACATCCCTCGTGCTTCCTCTCTTTTTTTTTTTTTTGTATCCCACTTCCACTTTTAAAGTATAGATTATTTTCTTATATATTTTTTCTCTCTTCTACTTCATTTCCCCTGAAAACAAAACAGATATTAAGAATTACAAAGAAACGTTCGATCGTCATTAATTTGAATTGATAATCGCATGATGGATTAATAAGTTTATAACTTAATACAATGTACTATCTTATTTTAAACATACAATCATGCTAAATTGCTAATCAAACTTTTGGGTTAAGAGAGCCCTTTAACAAACTAAACACAAAAATTAAAAAAGTTGTGGTTTTAAGAGCAAAATATCGAAGGAATAGAACATGAATGTGCAAATTAGGCCGCGTGCATAAGCTATCGTGTTAATAGACTACGTATTTTAAATAGGAGGAGATGCTTAAACTTAAATACTGTGTAATGCTGTTTAAATCGGCGTTATCGTGGTTTTATACTACGTACGTGACGTGTAGGTTTAGTATCATTCTAGTCGTTTATAAAGTGTAGTGTTTATAAATTACAGGCTAAACATCTAAATCTAAATCTAAGTACCAAATACAAAAGGGCTGCCTATACATGATCTCGTGTAATATAGGGTTTTAACTAGGATCTGTCTCTATTTTCGCTCTCTACCTAATTCTATCTAAACAACTTATTTTCTTTCCAATTCCACCTAAACTACATAATTCCACCTAATTAACCGAAATCATTTAAATTCTTAAAAATTGATAATTTGCGTTTTTATATTGTTAATTCGCATTTACTGTTCCGCAGTTGTCTAAATCCGAGTTGGGTATTTGAGACCTCTTCAACCAAAAATAAAATAAAATCTGAAACCTGCAAAATAATAGTAGTAATAGTTAAGGATAGACCAGTATTTAAGAGAGAACCAATTGCAAATGTGACTATGTGAGTACTGAATTAATTATAAGTCCCAATCAAATTGATACCATGTCATTTTTGTCACTATAATTCCTTTATTTGAGTGGTCACGGGGTAACATTATTTTTTTCCATTATTCTCCATTGATTGATAAAGATTCATCATCCAACATTTTTATCCAAAATAAATCATCAGTTCATACACAACAACTGGCCAGATAACTCTTAAAGTGGAACCCTCTTCACATTTATCAGATCAGAACACTTTAGCTTGAGAGAAGAGAAAAAAAAAAACAGCTATCAAACATTTCGTCTTCTTTCTCTATTTATATCCTAATTCCACATATCCACCACATGCACACAAGCTAAGAAAAAAGAGAAAAAAAAAATAAAAAAAAGTTGGGAAAACATGGTGACCTTAACATCATCTTCTTCAACTCCAAAGACATCTTTTGATTTCATGAAGAGTAACAACAGTCACACTCTCTATGTTCCTTTCTCTTCTCCTTCTTCTTCTTCTTCATCTTACTTGAGTATCAAGGAAGATGGTGTTGTCACAACCAAGAAGCTCATGGAACCCAGCAAAACTTTAACCGTGAGCATTAATCAAAAAGGAGATGAGCTTGGGAAAGAGACGAAAATTGTAAAGAAAGCTTCTGAAGATCCGGAGATTGGTGTGTTTGGAGCTGAGAAGTACTTCAATGGAGACATGGATAATTCAGACCAAGGTTCTAGTGTTCTGTCTCTGTCTCTGACAAACCCGGAAGCTGAGAGAACCATCTTGGATCAGAAGCAGAGCGAGAAGAAATCTACAGGAACTCCGAGTGTCAGGTCTGAATCAAGCTGGAATAGTCAGAGCGTGTTGCTTCAGAACAAATTGGTGAATAGCTGCAACAGTTCCTTGCAGGAGAAGAAGAACAGTAAGGGTCAGATTCAAAAGGTGAGCAGTAATAAGAAGAGTTTTCTCGCAAATTTGGGGTGTAAATGCGCCTGTTCTGATGGGAACTCAGTAGACGTCGACGAGAATATCTCGGTGAAGAGAAGCTCTGATCCGAATATCTCTGTTTTCACAAAGAGGAAGATGGAGAATCATATGAGTTCTTCTGCGAATATGAACTCAGACCTGATCAGGATTCAGAAGCAAGAAGAGTTATCGCAGAGGAAGTCACTTGAAGTGTTCGGCTCTCCTGTCAATATTGAGAAGAAGAGGATCGTTGTTCAGCAGAAACTCGCATTGCGTCCATGGGAATCAAGAACAGAGGAGGAAGACAAAAAGAGTGAAGCGAGTGATACAAGCGCGGATCTTTTCGAGATAGAGAGTCTTACAGGGAAACCAAAACCCTTACTTACAAGGCAAGGAAGTGATCCAGCTTCACCTACGTGTTATGCTCCAAGTGAAGTAAGCGTAGAGTGGAGCATAGTAACAGCAAGTGCAGCAGATTTCTCTGTTATGTCGGAATGTGCAACAAGTCCTGTAAGAAGAAACAGTCGATCTTCTCAGATTCCTCGGATCCCTATCATTGCTAAACCAGCACCGCAGAGACGGAACTCGAGCAGCAGCAGCGGCGGAGGCAGTGGTTTCTTGTTGAGCTGTAAGAGTCATAAATCTGTTAGAGTTTCTGGTGATTTAGAAAGAAGAAGCAGCATGAACAAGACACAACCGAGTTATGTACCTAGATTCCCAATGGAGACTACTACTAAACCTAAGAGTTTCGAAGCACGAAGAAGGATCAGCAACAGCTCGATTTCTCACACACAATCATCTCTTCTGTATAGTCAGTGATTGCATCAAAGTAAAGAAAACGATTTCAATCTCTTTATCTGTAATTTCTACTGAGTGAGAAAGATTTGTAAACCTATGAGCTAATGTCTTGTTGAGTTCTTGATAACAATGTCATCTTCCAAAAGGGTTTCTTAGAGACCTCTTTGCACCTAAGATAAACTTACTCAAAGAGTGACAAAAATGATTAGAGAGTGAATATAACAGTTTGCCTCAGTTAAAAAACACAGATCTGAAATTATGCAAAATGAATAGACAAATTCCAAAAATTGCCCCCACCAAATTTTGCTTTTTCTATTTTTTTTGGATTTAGTCTCACGAGAGAGAGATACTCGTTTTGTCTTAGCTTCAAAGGGGTTGAATCAAACGTACAAGAGTTTGACAAAAAGAGCTATATTAATGAGGAAACTTAAATAGACGAAAGTGTCATATTACCTAACATATCTAAGATCTGGTCCTAAAACTAATCTCATCAAAGGCCATGTGTGTCTTGAGATCAAAGTAAAGTAGACAAGAACCTTAATTGAATTCGTTGAAAATTATGAAGTGATGTGAGAGAAAAGAACCAAAGTGCTTTGTTTAGACAATAAATGTAATGAAGATGTATGTCTCTTTAGCCTACTCATAAGGAAAAAGATTGTATTTTACCCCTCACATGATCTTATCCAGTCCATTGAACCTTCTCTGTAAGTATCAATTCAAGAAGGGCTAGTTACATTTCAAGAAATACATAAATGAAACCAAGATGTGATCCAAGACATCAAAAAGCTGATACATACAATACAACATGGGGTTTTAGAAACCAAGAATATAAAGTTATAAACAGATCTTGAAGATAAGTATTGTATCCTTCTCAATAAGACATGGAGGTATGATTGAGCCATCATTTATTTTATTTTTATATGTAAAAATAAAATATTGAATTCAAAATCAAATTATCTAACTACTACTCTGTTTCCATATGTGGAGGAGAGATGAACAACAAAATCAAGAAGAGACCTAAAAGAAGGCAAAACAAAAAACCAGTCATCCTGGTAGGCCGTGATTCAAAGCATCTGCTTGCTCTTTTGCTCAAGTGAATGAGGCATGTAGGTACCCAAGAATCCGATCCCACATGACAAAAGAATGGCCAAGACAAGTTCTTATTTACTTCCATATAGAGTTTGTGGTGAAACATTCATTGTCTAATCTTGATGCGAAAGGAGGAGCCACAGGAGAAAGGAGAAAAGTCTCGTTTGGCCTAGCAGCTGCATTACCAGAAGGATACAAATACAGTAATGTAGTTTATTATTATGAGCTAGGCATGATCAGTGTTTTTTAAAGATTGGACTATGTTATTGGCGGGTTGAGCCAGGCCCGTGCAGTAGTGCAACGCATGGGCGACTCGCGAAAGCCCAGATAGCAAGCTATCTTAACGGGCCTTCTCCCTAATAAAATAGAGTTAATATCGTATGGGCCGATGACCCATATATCAGATATTAAACTGATAAGAACAGATACTACACTTGATCTTAGCCAAAAGGCCGAGAAAGGTATGAGTTGTTTGGTCCATCAAGCTTCTATTATATACACCAAGTCCAAGAGTGATAAACTCATATCCGAGCGATGTGGGATATAGAAAAACTCAAAAACACCAAAACCCTATTAGCCTTCGGACAAATAAATAAACAATTTAGACAATTATTAATTAATTTAAGTAAGTAATTAGCAATGTAATTAAAGAAAGAAGAAACAAAGAACAATAAATAAAGTTTCTAAATCGCCACCACCCACACACCAGCTTTGTTTCATGGTGAGCTAGAGAGATCTTCGCATCTCAGGTATGAGTTTATGCTGTTTCCTTTCTCGAATCTTGTGTGTTCTCTCGGTTCTTTGATTCTCCGAAAATTTTCATGAATTCGTGTGAAGGATTTTTCCAAATCTGCATCTTAGAATGATGTTTGAATCATACCCTTAAGCTTCTTAGACATGTAAAGATTTGGTTTGAATTTTGCAGTGTTTTGGGGGATTAGATAATGTTACCGGAGAGAAGAAGTACGGTGGTGTCTTCTTCGTCTCCATATCTGAATCCGTCTGGTCAGAATGATAATACTTTTTTACTTCTTAGAAGAGGCAAAAAGTTTGGTGGTCGGATTGTGAAATTGAAGCTCTCGCATGTCTTCTTGTTCTTTGTGTCACTCTTTTTCTTCTCTTGCATATTCTCTGGCCATAGACTACTCTTTCATGGTAACATTGGTAAGCTTTAAATTAGGAAAATGTCTTTCTTTTTTTGGATTTTCTGAGTTTTTGAAGATTAATGAAAACACTCTTTGGATTATTTGGTGTAGGTTCTGAGTTCTTACCTCATTTTGAGCAGAACAGTAAGCTAACTTTGTCTTAGTTCTGGTACATGTGTAAAAAAAGCTACTGCAAAAGTTATTGTTGTTAACTGGATTTTGAATCAAATGCAGCTTACTTGAAAAACCATATGTTTGCATCGGATATTGATATAGGATTAAACAAATCCAACATCGAAAAACCACCTGGAAGCAAGAAGAGAAACAAGCGTATGGATTGTTTAATCTCTAGTAAATTTAATGAAAGCTAGTGTTGTTTTATTGATGATCTAAGGGCAACGTATTGTTTACAATGTAGATTTGCCTTGTGAAGTTGCACTTGCTGAATCTGTTGATCACATACTTGAGCCTCAGGGTTATTTGAATTTTACGCGGTTTTCGTTAGGCTTTGTAGAGACTGAGACATATGATAAGCCTAGGTTTGGAGGGCATCAAACACTTAAGGAAAGAGAGAGATCCTACTCTGCAATAGATCAGACAGTTCACTGTGGTTTTGTCAAAGGGACTGGATTTGATTTGAATGAAAAGGATAGGGCGTACATGAAGAACTGTGTAGTCTCTGTGTCTTCTTGCATTTTTGGAAGCTCTGATTTTCTAAGGAGACCTGCAAGCAAAAAGGTTTTTAAACTTTATCTCTTAGTATTATTTAGCTTATGCATTAGATTACTATCTATTGTGCGAGAATGCATTAAGAGTGTATGTGAGCCTTATCATGATGCGGAGCTCTCATTTCGCTTGTTTGTTTCTTCAGATCAGTGACTTCTCGAAGCGAAATGTTTGTTTTGTGATGTTTGTTGATGAGCAAACACTATCGAAAATTGCCAGTGAAGGTCATGTTCCTGACAAGCAGGGATTTGTTGGTTTGTGGAAAACTGTAGTTGTGAGCAATTTGCCTTACACTGATATGCGAAAGACGGGAAAGGTTCCGAAATTTCTGTCGCATCGTCTTTTTCCTTCTTCTAGGTGAGGTTAGTTGGCTAGTACTCAAGCTCCTAAATTTATATCAGTGCCTCCAATGTCTTATACTTATCCTCATTTCTTAATTCAGGTATTCGATATGGATAGACAGTAAGATGAGACTCACCACAGATCCTATGCTGATTATTGACTTCTTCTTATGGAGAACAAAATCAGAATTCGCAATCTCGAACCATTATGACCGGCATTGTGTTTGGGATGAAGTGATACAGAACAAACGGCTGAACAAATACAACCACTCGGCCATCGACGAACAGTTTATGATCTACCGATCAGATGGACTTAAGAAATTTGACCCTTCAGATCCTAATTCTCCTCTTCCAAGTTGTAAGTAGTCAGTCAACCATTGATTTCTCTCTAACTGTGTATGCATTTACCGTTTTGTTTGTTGATATTTTTGAGTGGTATGTCTTGTTGTGTTAGATGTACCTGAAGGTTCTTTTATTGTAAGGGCTCATACACCAATGTCAAACCTCTTCACCTGCCTATGGTTCAATGAAGTTGATCGGTTTACCTCGCGAGATCAGTTGAGTTTTGCATACACATACCTTAAACTTCAGAGATCGAATCCAGATAGACCCTTACGCCTAAACATGTTCAAGGTAAAATAGAAATTGGTTTACCTTACGGTTTCATTTGAAGAGTACATAATCATGAAAGGGGTCTTAGATGATAAAATTTTTTGTATTGACCACTGATTTTGGTTCTCATTTCAGGACTGTGAGCGTCGAGCATTAACAAAGCTTTTCCACCATCGCGTAGATTCATCAGCTCCTTCACCTCCTGCTTGATAGATTTAAGTATAGATTAGATTTTCTACAATTTTTGTACTTTTCTCTTCATTCCACTTCTTGGAAACTTTGAAGGAGATGAAAGATGGAAGAGGAACCTAATTGAAATGTGTATGAGCCAAGATAGAATCTTAGTAAGTTTACAAACACGATTCAGTACGGATATATCAAAAGATACAACAACTAGAGAGTTGTCTAAACTGCCCATGACCAAACCAAAGGTTTAATATTTATAACATTTGAGGTTACTGATCTTGGCCAATTTATAACATTCGGGTTTGAATAGTTTAACAAGTTCAAGAAAATTCTTGTAAATTCTTATAATCTCTAAATGAAATATATATAAATATGTGAAAGATGTAATCAATAGTCATCGATGGGGATGTAGCTCAGATGGTAGAGCGCTCGCTTAGCATGCGAGAGGTACGGGGATCGATACCCCGCATCTCCATTTTCTTTTTACACCTTTTTCTATGGCGTACGTAATAAAAGCCCATTATGGCGTGTCTTTAGTGTTAAAGCCCAATTATTATATATAGCCCTTTCAACGGTTTTGTTTCTCGGATTACACAAGAAGTCAAATCAAGTGATGAATCATCCCCCACAGTAAACAAATCCGAACGTTGTAATTTTTTTAACAACGGTCATTAAAAATAAGTAAATTGTAAATTTAAAATTTAGAAAGAAAGCGCAACGGCTAAAAATTATTAACAACGTTCGAATTCTCTAAAAAAAAAGAAAAGTCTCATATGATCAAAGTTTAGTAAGACCAAAACTCTCTCTCTCTAAAAATCACTCTGCAAATTTTATCTGTCTGCAAAATCAGATGTTGTAGACCAATGACCTGAAGATGGTGAGTGTTCGTTCGTATCTCTCTGTACATCAAATTTTGTCGACCAATGATATGAAGGTGGTGACTGTGACTCTGTGAGTGTTTGTTCGTATCCTTAGGAGGAGAGTACAACTCTATTTTATTTCAAGGTTACAACTCTTTTCTCTCTCTCTCTCTGTTGTGTCTCTCTTATTCTCATTAGTGATTTGTTTGCATAAATTAATTTTATGATCACAAAAGAACGGTTTAGTTTTGGTTTTTGTGATAGTTCATACTAGAAAACGTTTTGCTTTTGTATTCTTCTTCAACAATTTCTCTAATTAATCGCTCAAGATCAAGTTTCCTCTACTGTTTTTACTTTTGATTTTTACTTATACCTCTTCTTCTCTTCTTCGTCTCTGACTTTTTTGTTTGCTACGTAATTCAGTTTCAAAAGTTTTGACTTTGTATTTTTACTTATAAAGGAAACGTTTTTGTTTTTGGTTGACAAAAAAAGAACCTCTATGTAAAAAAACAATAGAAAATCTCTTACGACTCAAACTGATGAATGTGTCTGGGAAAATTGCAGACAAATATGGTCAGAAGGGCCAGACGGAACCAGAGCCAAACCAATACGAGTAGGTAGCCATACCATTTGAAAACGAGTGTGTCTTGAGCATCTCTTTGCTACCCAAGTCAACCAGGTACGTTGCTTTCTTCATTTCTTTCTTTCTTTTTTTCCTTTTTTGTTTTTTGTTTTTATTGTGTGTGTCTTTTTCCTATTTTTTCCCATTCTTTAAAATTAATCTTTAAAGTGTTTTTAATCAAAATTTTAATTTTTTTCTAATATAATACTTTTCAATTCTTTTTAAATCATTAAATATTTTACTCTAAGTAAATTAAACGTTTTTTAAAAATAGTTTAAGTTGTGAATTTTTAATACGCTGAAAACAAACCGAGCTTATGCATTCAGTCCTTAGGAACTTCCTCTGGTCCGTCAGTTTGGTGTTGCAAGTTCCACATGTTTTCACGTAGTATAAATTTAACACTTAAACTAATTTTCAAAGAGTTCAAGAAAGAGTTCAAGAAAATAATGTTTTTAACTAAATTCTTTTAACTCACAAATTTAATTTAACATTTTCTTTTAAAAGTTAATTTAAGTTGTTAAATTTTAATATGTTGAAAACAAACCGAGCTTATGCATCCAGTCCTTAGTAATTTCCTTTGGTCCGTCAGTTTGGTGTTGTAGGTTCCACATGTTTTCACATAGTATAAATTTAACACTTAAACTAACTTTTAAAAGACTTTTTCTTTTTTAACTAAATTCTTTAACTACCAAAATATTTTAAAATAATTAAATTACAAATTTTCCTTTAAAAAATTAGTTTTAGATGTTAAATTTTAATACGTTGAAAATAAACTGAGCTTATACATCCAGTTCTTAGGAATTTCCTTCGGTCCGTCAATTGGTGTTGTAAGTTCCACATGTTTTCACGTCGTATAAATTTAACACTTAAACTAACTTTTAAAGAGTGTTTTCTTTCCAAAATAAGGTTCATATTATCTCATAAAATATTTTAACTTTAATTTTTCTTATTCAAATTTGGAGATGTCAATCTTTACAATTTTGGTCCTCGTATATTACTCTTTCCTTTAAATTATGATACATTATTATTATTTCACTTTCACTTAAGATATGATAAAAATAGTATATCATTTTATGTGTTTTTGGTGCAAATTATTATTATTATAATTTCCTTCTTGTATATAGTTTTAAGAAGACAACGATTTAAAAAGATCTATGGTAAAATTTCTATAAATTAATAATGTTGAAACGATGAAAATCTATTTAAAAAGACACATTAAATTGACCCATTAATTAATAGAGAGATTTTTCTAGTTTGTACATAAAAATTATATATACATAAAAATATTTAATCATTTATAATCAATAATTTTTTAGAATCAATTACAATAAAAAAACAAGAATTTTTTTGAGAAATACCTATTTTGGTATACTCATGTTTAAAAATTAAAAATTATAGAATTATACCCTTTTTGGTGTACTCATTTTTACATCAAGATCATCATTACTACTAAGAGAATAAATCCTAATTTTTATAAGGTTTTAAAAGGTTCCAAACGGTTTTTATAAGGTTTACAAAGTTTTTATAATGTTTTAAATTATTTTTAAAAGGTTTTTAAAAGGTATTTATACGATTTTTATGAAATATAAAGATAATTTGTGTATATAAATATAAGCTTACACATATTTTTTGATAAATTTCAAATTTATAGTGACTTTTCGATAAAATTAGAAAAGTATTTTTAAAAAGTGGTATTAGAACATGGGTATTTTTGAAATTTCTCCTTAAAAAATAATCACAATGAATGAATAAAAGATTATACATGAAATTTGTTAGAATAACAAAAATTAATGTTAATTATATAAATATTTCACTAAAAAGTTTTACCATTTATATAGATATATATTAACAATTTTGTAGAGTTATTAATTTATAGTATTATTGGGACCATATATTTACAAAATATTTTCAAAAAAAGTATTATCTTATTATTTTATCGAAATGTGTCTAATATTATACTGGTTCTGGAAAAAAATTATGAGAATTTTTGAGAAATACCCTTTTTGGTGTACCTTTTTTTAAAAATACCCCATGAGATATCAATTTTCAAAATTACCCCTATTTAAATATAAAAAAAAAGTTTTATGTAGTTTATAAAATACTTCTATATAATAAATACTACTAGGAGATTCGATACAAATATTTTAAAATATTTTAAATCGCTTTAAATCGTTTTTATAAGTTCTATAAGGTTTTTAAAAGGGGTTATACGGTTTTTATAAGGTTTTTATAAGATTTTTATATTTATTTTGTACGCTATTTATGAAAGGTATTTAAAGTTTTATACACATATAAAGGTAATTTGTGTATATATTTATAAGCTTACACACACATATTTGGATAAATTTCAATATTTTTAATAGTTGAATAACACTATTAAAGTCTATCAAATTCATGAGTCCATCAATACCCCCTCCTAAACCTTAGTGGATTGTCTAAACATACATAAACTGACATCCGCCATGTGTGAATATTATTGATGGTGTTTTTAAAAAAATGTATATGAAAAGGGGTATTTTTGAAATTTCCCCCAAAATTATTAATTTGTAAAAATTATTAATTTAGAAAGGTTTTACTCATATTTTTTTAAAACTCAAATGTGATGATATCTTGAAAAGTGCTCACTTTTGTTTGAATATTTTTACCAACAAAATACTTTAAAGGTTTTTCAATATTATTACAATATTCTTAAATTGGAAAAACTGGTAGTAATGTAACTCAAAAACATATTTTGTTTACTTAGTTGAATAACACTATTAAAGTCTATCAAATTCATGAGTCCATCAATACCCCCTCCTAAACCTTAGTGGATTGTCTAAACATACATAAACTGACATCCGCCATGTGTGAATTTTCAATTTATTGTTATATAAAGTTATAAATTGATTTCACAATAAACTCCTCTAGTCTTCTACCGACGCTTGAGAGTAGTGAGACTGTCAGTATCTTCTTTGAAAGGCTGAGTCGACACATCCGATAAAGCGGGGAGCCTAGAAACACTTCCTTTCCCTTTTCTCGCATTTGGACCGATCACTTCGATCATGTATCTCCACCCATCAATCGGTCTTCTTCTACTGAATATGTGTTGCTTTATAAAACTCGCAATCTGCACATCATTCAAATTTCAAGAACATTATGAAGAAATCTAGAAAGTCTCAAGCTTTTGAATGGTTCTATTGGAAGAGATCAGACTTATATGAGATCTGGTGTATATATATGCCAATGGGATCATTTGTATGAAGATTTGGTTGGTACCTGAAATTTGCAGAAGGCAGTCCGACGATCAAATTCTTGGAGAAGAATGTCTTCTTCCCTTTGTGACATTTCCCAGAGATTTCCATCATGTTCCTTCACTGTTGATTCCCACCCATCAGGCTTATTCTTTAGTTCAGATCCACTTGAAACCTCCAATTTGTCAAAATCGTGGTCTACCGAGTCGAAGATCCTGAATGTTTTAACCCATTGAAAGATCAAAATCACCAACAAGCACACAAATATTCAAGACACAACATGCATATTAATATAATTGAAACACCAGGATATCTTTATAGGTTATAGCAATATCTCTAACGTTTAACATGAAACTCAGGTGCACTAAATGAACATCCTTAGATTGTACACAAGCATATCACAATCCAGTTCAGAGCTTATCTAAAACGTAAATCACAGATCTTCAAACATAAGCATGAAAGTGAAACATCATTCAAAATCACCCGAATTCCCATAGCAACATCTCTAACGTTTATAGTGAAACTCTCAATACACTAAATGAACATGCCAGAGAGACTGTACACAAGCAAATCACAAATCTTTTTCAGGAATTTAGCTAAAACCTTAATCACAGATCTTCAATACACTAAATGAAAATGCTAGAGAGATTTATACACAAGCTAACACCACAAATCACAAATCCTTTTCAGGGTTTCAGCTAAAACGTTGATCACAGATCCTCAATCCTAAGCATGTACTTCATTCAAATGACCAGAAATCATCCTCAGAGCAATCTATATATGTTCAATCTTACACAAATCATAGAACCATTTCAAGGATTAGCTAAACCACAACCCTGGTGAAGCGAGCCTAACACAGGAATGATAAAACAAAACCCTACAATGAAACTGAAAAACAAGGGCAAAAAAACAAAGAATAATTACTCTGAGCAACTATCAAGAAGCCGATCAATATCATCAGCTCCACCACCAGATCCTGAATCACCCAATTTAGCTTCTTCCAATTTCTCAATCTCTTTAACCCACAAAGAAGCATGAACTCTCTGCTTCTTCAATCTATAATCCTTCTTCATCGTCTCCAAACTATAAAGCGATTCTGCATCAATCTCTTTCTTCTCTCCTCTCTTCTCCTCCACTTTCCCACTCTTCCCTCTTCTCTCGTTCCAATGCTCATTCATATCCTCTACGAACGCCTTTGCTTCCACATCGGTTTCTTCTATCGTTGATTCTTTCGAATCGAAGTTCACGTCCGTCTCCCATGGAGCTCTGCTCTTATCAGTGAGATCATCTGGTAACCAAGCTGATTCCCAAGCGTCGTTCCATTTGTCTTCATCGTTTCGAGATTTTGTTGACATCAGATTGACGAGAATCGACGGGAGATTCGATCGGGAATGTGAAATTGTTGAAGAAATTGGACTTCTCGTTGTTCTTGTGACCAATCCTACTACGCGATGAAGGGAGTTCATCTTCTCAGTTACGAAAATGGAAGCTCTTCTACAGAGCGATGATGGCGTTAGAGAGATGAGTAAAATCAGAAACTTTAAACCCTGCAAGATTTTAGAGTTAATGGGCTTAAACATTATCGGCCCAATTTATAGTTGGGCTTTTCTTAAAAACATTTTAAGTTAATGGGCTTAAATATGCATCAATCCATTTTTAGCATTATTTGTCCATTTGTGACTTTTTTTATTAAAATACTAGGATTTACCCCGTGCTACACCACGGATCTATAATTTAATATATTTCATTAATTAGTCTTTTTGTAATTAGTTTATTTCATTTTAATTTTATATAATTTTATGAATTTTTATTATAAGTATATTCATAGATATATATGGTCAAACCACTGCACACCGCGAGACAATTTTTCTATAAAAAAATATATTTTTTTTTAACCCGTAAAAGATTTTAAATAGAGGCAATCTGTAAGAAAAATATAATCATATTTATGTGAACTCAAACCCGTTCAATCATATTTATGTAAAATATTAGAATAATCTTTTAGAGTTAAAATATTAAATAAGACTTTAATTTTTTGTAGACTTTAAATTTTTGTAGACTTTAAATATTTTTAATAGTCTATAAAGCTTAATTAAATATGATAATATTTGAAGCTTTTGAAATTTTTAATTTTAATAACATTTTAAACTTAAAAAAATTATAATATTTTGAAAATTTTAAAAGTTTTTTTTTCTTAAATAAAGAACCAGATGAAACTGAATTTTTTTTTTTAATTTGGATGCCTGAAAAATCAAACTTCACGCTCATTTGTAGTTGGCAGCATATTAATACTATTTGTAATGGTTTAAAACTATTATCTAAAATTTACTACTTCTACATATATTTTTCCTTTATCAATTGAGTTATATACGTCCGTTTTCAAAAACTTTAATGGCAAATGTGCGGAAAAAAATTGTATTTTTTATTATAAATATGTTTTATGTAATAATATAAATTTAAAACAAATAAGATTATATAAATATATTGGAGAGAGATTGAATTTATTAGATATATTCTAGGAAATGTTTTTGATGTAATAAATATTTGTTTCCAGTTTTGCTATTTGCTTGTGATTTAATTACAAATTTTACTTTTAAGTTTTGTTATTTATTGAGATGACAAGGGTCTGATTATGCAAATATTACCAAATAAATGGTTATAATCCAAAATCGATTTTAGTACAAAATGTACTTCAAAAATGTTAAGATAGATAGTTAAGCTTATCATAGTTCTAACTGCGCTGGATTTCCTTTAACAGATTAGTCATCTCTTTCTTTTATATTGTTATCAAACTCCATAAGTGATATAGGATTAGAATCGTCCCAAAAAAACATATTAACTAATGCATATGTGATGACATTTACTTAATTAAAATTAACTAGTAAATTACGAAAATCTAAAAAAAAAATAGTCTAAAAGCTAAAGAAGCGAAACAAAGAGTAGAAGAACATTGTTAAACAAAAGAATGTAACTTGTAAGCAACAGATTGAGATATCTTAAAGGACACAACTATAAAGACATAACATTTGCGCCTCCTTACCCCAACCAAGAAAAAACAAAAGTGACACTTTCTTTTTCTGTCGTCATAAAAATGACAAACACATTGAACCAACGCTGTAAAGTGAATCTAACGACTCGACCTGTTAAAAATAATAAAAGGAAAGGTAAAGCAAAACAAAAACAGAAAATAAAAGCAACAAAACTATGAACAAAGACCAAAAGATGTCTTAGATTATTAGAAAACATATTTGATTAAAAACACATACAACATTGTTAACCAGATCTGGCAAACTCTAAAATGCTTAACTTTTAACGAACTTATTGTAACCTGTTTCAGTTTTTTTTTGTTTTCTGGTCTCTAACAATACAGAGATGATCGTATTCAAATGGAAAAATTTGTAAGGAAAGAAAATAAGGAAGAAGAAGAAACATAAAGGTTGGAGCGTGGAACCTTCAATGGAGTCTTTTTGACTTTGTGAGCTAAACCCATCAACAAGAATCTGGAGGGTATTCAAATGGAGAGTATTATAAATGTATGTTGTTTCAGCAACCCATCACCGCGCAATTGTACACGAAATTTGGAGAATGTTTCCTGTCAAGCAATGTCCAATGTGGTGGACCGCCTTCGCTCGGTATCCAAGAATTCAGCTCTATGAACCCACCTCCCGAGTACTTCGGTCCACCTATGACGATTAACCGTTCCCCACAAGCTCGAAAAGCCAGCCCCCATCCGTTAACCGAGCCAGCTCTTTCAGGCAATCTTCCAACAGTTACCCATATCTTATTCTCCTTATCATACTTCCTCACTTCCATATCAGCATGATCAGCAGCATACAATTGGTTATTCACAACCGCAACAAGAGGCGGTGCTTCTGCTGCTGGTGACATATCAGCTTGATCAGCACGGCTTCTTGGAGGTGACAAGTCAGGGACTTGAGTCCATTTCTTGGTCTCCAAATCATATTCTTCACCGCAGGTCAAGACTTTAGACTCAGCACCACCGATTCCTCCAATTACATAGAACTTGCCATCCATGAAAACTCCCGAACACATCTTCCTCGGTTTGTTCATCCTCGGAAGAGTTATCCAGGTCTGAAGCTCAGAATTATACAATTCCGCAAAATCAAGAATCTTTCCCTGGGAGTCACAACCACCAGCGAATATAGCAATCTCTCCAAGGCTCGCGGATCCAAACAAACACCTTGGAAAGTTCATCTTCATACCAGAAGACCAAGAATTAGTCAGAAGGCTGTATCTGTATATTACATGAGACGAAAAATCATCTTTTCCTAAGACAAGCAGGTCTGTCCCAACGGCCAGAGACTCCTTATCAGCACACATGAAGGTAACACTCGAAGGCATTGTTGGCAACTGCATCCACTTCCTCTCGACAGGATCGAACGCAACCCATTCCAAGAGCTGGCACGAGAAGTAGACCCAATGTTCAACAAACCCATATTGCCGTCTTAGTCTATAAATCTCTCCACTCTTCACCAAAGAACGGAAATTCCGGTTCAAAGAAGCAATTGAACCGTAATCAGACCTCGAACAACGGATCAAACAGTCAATCGAGTTGTCCCGACCAATCTCATTGATAAGAGAATGCGAATCCGATGAATCACCACCATTGTCGTTAGAATCAGATTGTTCCTGTTCTTGCCCCTGTCTCGATGACGAACCATCACCATTGGCAGCATCAGCTTGCTCTTCCCCACTCAATGAATAGTCAGATGAATCACTATCATACTTAATCGAGAAACCCATCAGTTTAAGTGATTTGGTCTGTCTAATCTCACCAACAACCTCCAAAGCTCTTTTACCATTACCGAGCTTATTCTCAGAGACAACATCATCATCATCCTCTGGATACATGTAAGACTTAGACCACTTTGATTCAGAAATACGAGAGCTTGAGAAAACCCTTGAAATCAAACACGAATCTGGTGATCGATCTTCCAACATATCTTCCAAAAACTAACAAATTTTTCTTCTTTTAGATGATATGAAAATCAGATCAATCCCGAACCCGAATCAAACAAGTCTTCAAATTCCGAATCCAAAACCATTCGAAAAATGGATTCAGATTGTTGATTAAACCAATCACCTAATCAAATCAGTTCCTCAAGAACAAACCAACACGTAAAGTTCCCAGCTTTTCAAGATCCAGATCTCCAGATTCCAACCCAATTTCACCAAAAAAAGGGAGAGGAAGAGAAAACAAATCAAACCCGGAAACTCAAATCAGCATCTTCTTCTTCGATCCCCGATCTGGTTCATGAATCAATCCATCAGCTGAAGAAAAAAAAATTATAAAATCGATACTTTAAAAGATTAAACAAAAGAGGTTTGGTTGATAATTAACAGATTATTATATAATTACGAATCAGAGATTGGAAGAGAGAAGCTTACGAGATTTGGGATTAAGAAAGAGGAGAATTATAATAATTATTATTATATAATTAAGAAAAGCTTAAAGAGCTGTTTCAGTTCTTCGCGTTTCTTCTCTATGGTCGTCTCTTTGATTCGCTCTGCGAATCAGAGTGAAGCTTTGGTTTCTCAGAGAGCTTCAAAGTTAAAAAATAATCTTTGGAGGAACAATTCTATTTTTTTCTCTCTCTTGTTTATTCCTCTTTTGTTAACTTTTTTAATTTTTAATATCGAAATTTTTAATTGCAGTCAAATAGTATTATTTAAAAAAATAATTAAAACGGAAATAAATTAAACAAGGAAATATATAATATTTATTTAGTTCCTTTTTTATTTATCACAAAATAAAAATACTAATTAGAGAACGAAAACAATAAATTAGATTTGCTTTTGATTAGCTGTCAAAAAAGAAAGATTTGTTTTTTTTGGGTGTTAAAGCGAAAAAGAGTTAGATTTGGTTTTTAATTCACATTTAATAACTCCTAAAATGAAGACCTAAACCATTAGCCACTTTAAATACATGTAGTACTAATGTTAATTTTGTTTAGTTAGTGTAGAAAGGTTTAATCTCTCCTTTAGTGATGTTTTGGTCCAAATTTTTATTAATAAAATTAAGCTAGTAGTAGTAGTAGTGATGAAGACATTTTGATTCTGAAAGAAAAAAAACAAAATATATTTATATTTTGATGAAAATACCAAATTGGAATGTGTGAATATATTTTTAATTGCAGGATGAGGAAATCAGGAAAAAGAAACAATCAACTTTTCAGCGTTGAATGCAGATGTTTCAGAGTACTTCAGCTGTTAAATTTCAGTGGTCAAAAGGAATTTAATTTACTTACACAAACCCAAAAAAAAAGAAAAAAAAAAGTAGTTTACAATTCCCACGTCATTGAATTTTCATATCTTATCTTTGTGTTTTCTTTTTAACATCCTTCATGTTATGAAAGTACATTTTATTTTGCAAACAAGTAGACAAATATGCTTGACATGAAAAATAAAATGCTTATTTATGAGAGTTTAAATTTTGCAGTTATTTAACATTTTAATTATATTTAGATCATATTATATTTAGTTTTTGTATTTGAATATTTTATTACTCAAACTGTCAATACCAATTTTTTTTTTAACATCATTATGTTATCATACCATCATATTTTATAGGAAACTTATATTATTTCTTAAATCTTCTGTTTTGTAACAATTTTCTCCAAATCAGATAAAAATTATTGATCCATCTTATTTAAATGAATTTATCAATTTATAATAATACTATTATCTTAAAATTTAGTATCTATATGACTATTGAGTTGATCAATATCTGTTAAGGCATTTACATTTTAATAAAATTGGTTATCAGGTAATAATAAGGTTTTTATTTACACGATCGTTTATTATCATTTTCATATTCAAATTACTAGCTAGATATGAGTCTGTTTATGTAAAACTATATTAACAAATATATATAACCTTTACATTAACTATCTACATAAACAATTTCGAAATCGTATGCTGTGATTAGTTTACTTAAACCCTAAAACATTTCCAAGCTTTTAAAAAGTTAAATCTATTTTTTTTTTGGTAGTATTTTCATGTGGTTTCCATTAACAATTTTACTATAATTATTTATATATATATTGTACGGGGAGGGATAAGAGAATATTTGTTAGATCAGTTGGTTTCAGACTCACACTGGACGGACACAAAAGGATTATTAGGAATACGAGAAAGCTGGCGACGAACAATCTAGGGCCATGAAACACGTGCCTACGCACGTGAGGCTGTGATGCTGTCTATATACATACATGTATCATGTTACTATTATCATGTTTTCACAAGTTTCATACACTGTTTTGGTAAATGTTTATGTCCAAATCCTGATTAGTGATTATAAAAATAATTCAAACTTTCTAAGTCGAGCCGAAAGATTCTACTGTTCGAGCCTGCGACTAATGGCCATTGTTATCCAATGAAGAATCCACACGTGTGTAAGTCTTATATTATGTCCATGTGAAGTATTATTGGACGGTGCTAAAGTGGTTTTACGACTAATCTAAAAAGATCCCATCTTTAAACCAATCATATAATTTTATTTTTCTTTATACTATAGCTAGTCAATATCTATCATACTAATTTCTCGTTAGTTTTTTTTTTTTTTTTTTGTCGACCATTCGTTTTTATAACGAAAGTCCAAAATGGGCAAAGTACAAAAGCATGATACAAAGTCTTATTTAAGCCCAAATTAAAATGAACCCACATACTATAACATTGACACGTAACACCAACGTGTATGAAGCAAAAGCAAGAGGGCCCACTTCTTGTTTCTTCTCAATTCTTCTCACCGACTTAAATCTGAGACTGTACTCCGATTTTTACGCCGGCGACGAACGTAGCAACAGATGAAGGCTTGAAATCACGCTTCTGGGACCATCTTTCTACAAAATTTAACCGCTGCAAGAATTGGATCAACCTTAGGAAATGTCAAACTCAATCCAAACTCCAAGAAGAAGCTCCGCCTAAGACCTAGATAAGGTCTTCTTCAATCCTTAACGATGAAGATATAACGACGAAGATATTACTCTATCTTTGAAGGAGAATCAAGTTGATAGCTAATCCAATAAAAACAAACGGGATTCGATATATTTCTTTGTAGAAAGAGGCAAGAACAAAAAACATAGATTTTCTATCTTAGTCAATAAACTAAACAAGATAAACATTATTTAAAACTGACTAAGAAGAACAAAAGATCCGAACCAAGTCGGAAATCTATAAAACAAAACTAAAATTTTCCGGTTAACCGGAAATCGCCTTCTCTCTCTAAAAGATGAACTGTGTGTTAAGAGAGAGAAGTTCTAGTTAGTTAAATAACTTATATCGTGCACTTACATCATATTATCTAATATATGACAAAAAAAAAAAAAAAGAAGAAGAAGCATATATTATCCCACGATATATAGAACTGTAAAAAGCACTATTATGGGACAACAACAAAACACAATATGTCGAGAACAAAAATCAACTATAGTTTAATTTCCCTTTTCTCTCTTTTTTTTCTTGTGATTGATTTGATATATATACACCCACCAGTAAATTTCAAACCATTTTTTTAAGTTATGTGTGTGAGAATTTTTTTATAACACGAAATTTATATGGTAACTATCAACGAATTAGATGAGTTTAGAGCTAGATTAAAGTTTCACATATATACTTTTGTTTTCTCTTTTTATAATTTGTTATGAACAATCGAACTTTATAAAATTATCATTCTTCTTTATTATATTTTTTTTTACATAGGCTAAAACAAAAACATCTTAACTATTTGTATAGAAAAAAAGAAAAATACAGTATAGATTTGTTGACATCGAGAGAACGTCTAGGTAGTTACAAATTTAACATTTAGGGTTTTTTTTTTCAAATTACAAATATATGAAGAAAAAACAAACAAGATGATGTATAAAAAACGGACTCGAAACACAAACAAGATGATGTTTTTTTTTAATGTTTGGTTGGGACAATTAAGGTGTTTTCATCAAGTTGCTTTATAGATATTTCAACTTTATAAATGATTTTAATGAAGTGAGTGGATATAAGAGTTCGTAAAAGAGCTGTCTCCACGTGACGTGATTCTTTTTAATTTCTTCACGTTCTTCCCACATTTTTCTTTATCTTTCAATTCCATCGATGGTTACATTCTTAAATCTTAATCTACATAATGACCAATTGACCAGTTTATATATACATTATTAAGCTTTAACAGTTTATACGTGACGTGAAAGTGCCACATCCTTATGTAATAATCTGTAAATCACAACTATCACCTCTCGACAGAGAAAGACAAATTTGCCTAACCAATCACTAATTAGTTAAAAACAATTTTTGTATTATTGACGCACCTCTTTTTTATTTATTTTTACTGTATAACTTTTTTTAATTATGTAACTTTTTTAGATCTGTCGTTGGAGGAACGACGTCAGCATTGGACGCGCTCGGCGTTAAGGAGATGACGTGTTAAATTATGGTACATATGTTTTTTTTGTTTTTCTCTTTTCTTGTGTCGTGTCGTAGCCGCGTTCAACACGTGCTCTTTGTCAAAATGTAAACACTACATAAACTTAACTTTTTGTTTATTACTGTTAATCTTTAATCAGCTTCTTAATTAATTTACTTCAGATTAATACGAAGATCTATAAAGGTTCATATTTTTTTTTGGAGAAAATTAAGTCAAAGCTACCAAATTGTCTACTATATTGATATAGGCTTGAACTTTCTTCAAACCCTTCCTAGAGAAAAAAATTTGAATAATCCTTTTTTTTGCGTAAACCATTGTGTTTTTGTAAGCTTCAAATTTTCTAACCGAACCCAAAACATATGCTATGTAGTAGTTATGTATATACACGCATTATATAGATTTATAGCGTTAACAAAATTAATAACATTGGTGGTATTTTAAAATATTGATAGTTGTGATAAAATTTTTTAATTGTCAGATTAATTTTAAAGCTATGTCTTCAAAACCGAAGAAACTAATTAAGATGTAGTCAAATATTTCGTCATGGAATGCGTCAAATTAAACAATGTCTTATCATGTTTGCAAAAAAAAAAGGGGGAATTTTAAAAATACCTCTTTTCCAATACCACTTTTTAAAAATACCTCTCTTTCTAGATTTATCAAAAAATCACTATAAAATTTGAAATTTATCAAAAACATATGTGTAAACTTATATTTATAGACACAAATGATCTTTATATGTGTGTAAATTTATATATATATTTCATAAATACCGTATAAATACATTTTAAAAACCTTATAAAAACCTTATAAAAACTGTGTAAACCTTTTAAAAACCATATAAAAACATTATAAATGCCGTTTAGAACCTTTTAAAACCTTATAAATATTTGGATTTAGTCTTCTAGTAGTAATGATGACATCGATGTACCTTATTAACCATATAAAAGTTTATAATTTTTCATATTTGAAAAGGGGTATTTTTGAAAATGGATAGAAAAGAAGGGTATTTTTAAAAAGTGATACAGCAAAAAGGGTATTTCTCAAAAATTCTAAAAAAAATAAAAAACAATGTCATATCAGTTCTTGAATTAATTGAATGATTGATCTATGTATTATATATAAAACCAATCATACCT